ATCTGTGTGTTCATATAGTAGTGTGAATATGTGTGTGTCTTTGTCTATCTGTTTGTGGTGTGTATGTGTGTGTGGCATTGTATATATGTTTGTATATATGTGTGGCAGTGTGTCTATGTGTATGGCATTGCATATTTGTGTAATTTTTGCAATAAGTGTTTCTAATGGTGGATCTGTGAGTGATTCTGCATGAAGGAATGTCTGTGTGAATGTGAGGATATAGGAAGGTGAGTATTTGTGAATGTATGCCTCTGCGTGAGTGCAGTGTCTGCATGAGTGCGCATGGCTCTAGAATGGGGCCCCAATGTGACATCCTGCCTAGGGCCCTGGGCAATTTTAATTTAGCTCTGAATTTCGCTTGAAATATCTAAATAAAACAAGCTTTATTAGTATTTCTTGTAAACAACCTATGAAGACACAGCTCTGCATGTTAGTGTTTCACTGTATTGCACAAGATACAATTTCATAAAACTGTGAAAATTTAAATAAAGCTACCCTATTATTAACAATAAGGACACAAATATGGGCATGAAACATGGCAGACGCAGCTTTTCCTTCTAGGTCAGGAATCCCAGGATGTTCCTGAAAGGGGAGTGCAGACTTTAAAATAGGGCTATCCTAAATTTGTAGCCACTCATAAAACAGGATGTAGACATCTATCAGTATGCACTATTTTCAGACATAAACGGGAGCTTCACTTTGGATTAATTTGCATCCATTCTTAGCATATAAAGTTATTACTATTTTATAAAGAAATGTCTTTAAAAAAAAAAAATTGGCTTTTTAAAAGGAACATTGTTTTGCATATGTAGGGACACTCTGAGAGCTTGTAATTGTATTATATTGGATTCATTCATTATTATTATTATTATTCTTCTATTTGTCTTAAAGAGTTACTCCAAGCCGCTGCAGTACTTAAGCTGGACTACGGTGGCCTAGTTTAGCTACAGTTTGCCCCATTACCTGGGTTCCTACTGGGCCTCAATGCTCCCTGCTGGCACAGTGATGCACTTCCAGCTTCTGCAGAGCTGTAGAAGCCACAGCAGTCAACATTTATTGGTTGACAGCGTCAGCTGACCACTCTCCCTCTTACTTGCATAGAATTTACATTAGCCAACCTGGAACGCTAAAAAATAAAATAAAACAACACTGTATAGTGATATTTATTGCATAAAAATGGTACAAACATGCGTATAATCCTTCTATATACACACAATATGGTGTTTGTAAAAAAAAATTTTATAAATAATGGCGATTGTATAAAACAATAATAATAAGCCAATAGTTACTCACTGTGCACAACTCCTCCAGGTCAGAACCATTTATGATATGTGTAGTTGTTCACACAGCCTGCTTTCTCTGTCAACAGATATTAAAGGAAATAGAGAAGTGTCTGGTGTGCGCATATGTTCCTGTCTGTTTGTATGTCTGCTTGTGTGTGCTTGGCAGTGTATGTGTGTTGTTACGGCAGCCCTGCCTGAATTCAGGTCACTTCCTTCCAGCTAACCAGGATGCAGTGCGGTGACAGCAAAGGGAGAGAAGAGGGCAGAAAGAGAAGGAGAGAATGAATTTCGAGAGCTGGAGAGCAGCCTCAGACTCCCAACAGCTTCTGCTGATTCAGATCCAAGTGGTCTCCTAGGGAAGCCACCCTCCTGCACCAAAATGATATGGAAACAGGAAGGTGGCTACAAAAACGTGAATTATGACCTGAGTGAGTGTGTGTGCTATTGTGTGCATTTGTGTGTGTGTCTCAGTGTATCTGTATGTAAGTGTGTATCTGTGTCTGTGTGTGTCAGTGCATACATTCCAGCATGCTAATGCCATCATTAGACCCAAATGCATGCCTGCATACAAGTCTCAACACTACATCCAAACACACCATTACATTCAAATGCAAACTCAACATAAAAACACACCACTGCTTTCAAGAGGCAACAGTAGATACAAAATCACCTCTACAGTCACACACACATACATCATACATAAACACGTTTGCATTCAAACACACAAATGCTGCTCGGTGCTCATAAATTTAACTCTGCAATATGGCAATGCAGTATGGGAGATGTACAACAGATGGGGATCTACCTGTGTCCATTCTTGGACACAAAAATGTCTTGAAACAGGACCTCTCTACATTAATTCCACCACTGAAGCACACATATGCGGTCCCACAGTTATCAGTAAGCCATTGCTTCTGCCAGCTCTATGAAAGAAAAAGGAAGGAATCTGCAGCTCAGATTTAAGCCAGGGCCCTCACCTGCCCTACATCTTTATTCCTGCACTACTCCTCACTTCTTCTTTAAACTTATTTAGGAATACAAAAAATATATTACCACCATTGCATGGCTGGCTGTGGTGGTTCTGAAGCCAGTTACAGCTCTTCCTTTGGTGGTTATCTGCTGAGGGGACTTAGCCCTCTGCTCTGCTGGGGCTGACAGTGACAGCAATACAGCAGGTTGTGAGAGGTTATGATCAGTGTCGGAACTGCCGCTGTCGCAGAGGTCGCAGCTGCGTCACTCCAGGGGGCCCTGACTGGCTGCGAACCCATGTGACCGGGTGTCCACAGCCATGTGTTCCAGCCCATTGGATGGCCAATGCTGTTAGGGTCACCCGATGGAAATGAATTTCCAGTGGGCCTGGTCAGTGCTGCGCTTTAACAGCGGAACAGCCCCCTCTGATGTCAGCCGCTGCCACGCTGGGAGGAAGTGACTGCCCCGGTCACTCCTCCCAACAACCACCGGGAGCCGCGCGGGAGGAAGGAGAGGAGGGAGTCAGAGTGGGAACTCTGACTCCCATCAGCTTGAGCCACTGGACCCTAGGGAAAGTCACCTTCCTGCACCTAAAAGGTAGGAAACCGGAGGGTGACTTAAACATTTTGCATGTGTGTGTATGTGTTTGTGTGTGTATGTGTTTGTGTGTCTGTATGTAAGTTATGCCCAGTTTGCGCATTGGCAGTGCAGCTGATCACTCTTAGTGCTGCACCACTAGGCTTAGCTCATTTGAAATAGCCTCTGCCTTACACTAAGCTGTAGTGGAGGAAGGAAGCAGCACCTAGGAGACCCCAAGTAAGAAGTCAAACTGTTCTAAAATGGTTGACTCATTATAATAGGGAGTAACAAACAGATACGTGTCAAAATGCAGCTGTGACACTTTTTATACATAGTTTCTAAACACAGGGCTGATCCTAGGGTCACAGATGGCTGGGTGCAGAAATATTTTTGGTGCCATTACCCCACCCCCGCCCCCATATGGGCGTGGTCATGTTACTAACACCTCCCCCTTTGCAAATGTCCAGGCATGCATGTTTCTATGGCAACAACTCCACCTCTCCATTTATAAGCCCAACCTGTTTTTCTAATCAGGCACACACTCACTGATAGTGACATACACTCACTAAGAGACAAATACTGACAGACGCACACTTTCAATGACAAACACACAATCTCACTGATTTTAAACACACTCACTGACCGAAAGATAGACCCACTCACCTACAATCACACTCACTGACAGACACACTCACACATTCTTACCCACATTATTTCACACTCTTACAAATTAATTTTATTGTTTTTGATTAATTTTTTTATGCCCATCCAGCCTCCCTACCTCTCCTTGGGGTCCAGCGTGGGGCAGTGCTGTAATCCTGCCTTACTGAATAAGTGCCACTTTGGGGTGCATTAAGGTGGCCAGACAGCCACTTCCTGGGCACCCTGTGAAAGGACTACTATCAGTGCCCCCCACCTGTGGGGGTCCAGGCACAGTGCACCCCATGCACCCACCTAATATCGGTGCTGCCCAAGAAGATCATTAGGGGCCTATTGAGAGGGGATGGTATAGCAGTTTAGCCATGCATTAGGGTGTGCCTGGAAACACCACTTGCATACGTCTATGCTCTTCTTCACTCTATAGAGAATCATCAAACATCAAACTTTAATTAATTAAAAAGCAAGTAGCAACATTTTGGCAAAATTGCCAAGCTGACCTAAGGAGACTTAAAGAACCTTTCCATATATGCAATTAGAGTTTTTAATTTACTGCCACTTGAAATTTAATATATAAACCCTTGGTTTTTGCAGTGTAGAACAGTTTAGTTCGGAGACGGGAAGAGTTGCATGTACATTTCGTGTTAACTATTCAGCATTTTTTATTTACAAATTGATTAAATCAAAACATTTCAAAAGGCTATTCACTAATTTCAAAATTCAAAGTGAATTTCAAATGTAAGCTCAGGATAGATGAAATGGGAAAAAAACATAATTCGGCTATGCTTCCACATCAGCTACTTTGACTTTAAATTTGAAATTCACTTTGAATTCTCACTTTACTGAATAACCCTTTAAGTTGAAAATAAAAACATACTAAACAAAGCATAACCAAAATAAAAAGAAAACACTTTTTAGTTAGAAAAAAAACATTGTATTTTAAATGTTATTTTTGCTGTGGAAGGATTGTAATACATTTAGATTATCCAAAGCCTCCGAAGAGACACAGTGTGTACATTTGCAGGTAGCTGGAGTAACACAGCAATTAATACACAAAGAGCACTTAATCCGTATAACCCTTTGTGTTGCAAAGTCCATGTGATAATGCTTTCTGGAAGATCAGCAGTGCATGAGTCCTTGGTAAATTCATCCAGTCCTTCTCTGGTTAAATAAGTGAATTAACGAATGCTTCCAATTAATCCCACTCTTTAAAGCCCAGGGGCCCAGATGTTTGGAGAAGATTAGACCAGCGTGTCCACCCATTACAACTGCCACAGTATTTCAATGAGAAAAGGCAATATATATAGATATTTGACATATTTAAACTCTGTTGAACACCCTATCCTCTCTAATTATTGTTTTCCCAAAGAACTTCCTCCCCTGTTCCTTTCATGAGTAATTTCCATTGAACTCGCGTCCTGCAGATATCTCGATGTTCACTGCAGAAGGAGGAGTTTCCTATGTTATTGTTTTTGGGGGAAGGGTCCACCCAATTTTCCTATTGGAGAGAAGGAAAGATCTGTCTATGTCAGATTTCCCTTTCTTATCCTCCCAAAGAGCAGTGAGGCAGGACCAGTGATACATTCTGCTTGGAGATCAGATGTACATTCTATTCAGGCAGTCTGCATCAGCAGCCGGGGATCTTCATCACTCTAGCAACCTGGCCAAACATTATTGCACTTAGAAGACCTTCTGGATCACAGTGGACACAGAGAGATCCAAGGGACTAGGACTGGTGGAAGAAGAGATCGGGTGGCGGTGACTGAGCAACTGGAGGACAAAGTAAAAGAGAACTGTGCAGAGGGACCCCTGGATATTATAGGGTCCTGTTTAGGGAGATTGTACATTGGAGAAGCTTCAGAACAATTTAGAAGCTCATCAGCTGGTGACAAGCTTGCAAAGACAAGTGTTTGAAGAGCAGAGATGGCTAAAGTGAAGCTCTTGCTGGGACTCCTGTGGGCAATAGGTAGGTGCATGGACATCCTCCTTTGAAATACTTTGTTAAAACTTCCCGCTCCACAGAGCCCATCTTCTCTCGTGTTGAGCTGATTAGTCACACAGCCATGCAGTGAGCTGATACCTAGTGCATGGTAAATAGGGGGAGCTTATTGTCATTCTTTCCCTGTTGTAGAAGGGGTGTTGGGTAGTGCAGCATGTGGGATTCCTCTCATCCCCTTCCTATTGTCCCTGTGTCTGGTTGCCTTTAAGATTAAAGTCTGGCATGAAATGAAAAGAACAAGTTTTTGTTATCAGTCTGGCTGTATCGTTTGATAAAACTGTATATATAAAGTATCGTATCGTGGTCACTTTTGTAAGCAACACTTTGTTTAAACAAATCTACTTACCTTTAGTATGCAGCATCCCTTTTCTATGGATACTGCAGGGGGACATGCATACAGATTTGTAGTGTTATTTATAAAAAAATATACAATTCAGACATGAGTTTTTTTTTAATAGGAGCAAGCATCAAAAACAGTGATATTCCACCCACTGCAGTTTAAAGTTTATTCCCAAAGTTGATCTTTGTGCGCAGTTTCACCTGTCTTCTTGCGAGCAATACATTCAACATATTTAATAGCAGTCCTGGGGTAAAAATTTAAAAGTGGTGCAATCACTATGGAAACCAGTGGAATGCTTGTGCTGATTGGTCAACATTTTTCTTGGCTTGCACTTTATGAATAAAATCAGATTGTGTGTGTGTGTGTGTGTGTGTGTGTCTATAATACCAAGAGGGCTGCACTCACCTGAATATATATATACACACACACACAGTTTAAACGTGTGTATATATATATATATATATATATATATATATATATATATATATATATATATATATATATATATATATATATATAAGGCAGGGCTCTTTAGATGAAGAAGCAAATCAGTTCTAGTATGGCACTCATCCACAGCGTTTTACAATGTATGTCAAATAACATTTGTAATTATACAAACTGAATACATATTTAGTGACACTGCCAATGGGTTTGCAATCTAGATGTATGTAATCAAATGTATCATTGATTGTGCCAGTATAAGGAGTACATTATAACAATTAGTATACTATGCACAGTGAGTATGATGAAGATGGAATCTGGAAGCAGGTCTCTGCAGTCACTTTGCACTGAATGTGGAGAAAACTGTGAGGCACTGAGTGTACAGTAGTAATGTATAGAATAGAGACAAAATTAGGCTGATATGCAAGAAGTCCATTGCTTACAATGGATGAATCTACTGAAAATATGGAATTAGTTCACAAAATTGTTTTCTAATTTGTTTACTTGAGGACAAGTGGAAATACTTTCAGAATGCTATGTTTTCAAATTGCACAAAAGTTATAGTTTCAAAACTTCCCCTTAATTACTTCTTGCTATTTGGAGTTGGCATTGTAGATTTATGATGTGTAAAAAAAAAAAAAAAGTACTGGGGGATATTTCACTAAATTGTAAATTGTTAGGAATTCAAAGTGCATTTCAAATTTAGTGCAAAAGATCAAGTGAAAATGGAGCTGAATTGGATAATTCATTACGAGGATAATTGGCCCCAGAACAGAATCAACGTTTTCTATTTCAGCTATTTTTTCCTAAATTTTGAAATTTACAGTGAATTAACTTTAAATTCCCAGTAATTCTCCCTGAATATCCGGTTAGTGTTTCTGATCTTTTTTTTTTTTTTTTTTATATATATATATAAATCTTTATTTTCATTTTTTTTTTTTTAATTCAATCAGGTACAGATACAGCTTTCAACTGTAGTTTTAAACACTGTAGAAAATTACTTAGCAGTAAAATAGTACGTATAAATAACAATAGAACCGTGCTTCAAATATACATCTACCAGTTTTCTGCTGTATCTACAGCCGTACAAACATACCATACATACAATTCATCTTATCCATACCACATTTTCACTACTACCTACAATTAGCTATCTATAGGGGGGCAGGGGGGTTTGAGTTTTTATAGTTAATATATCTAACCCAAGGGACCCAAACTTCATTATATTTTTCTCTAGATATCTTGTTTAGGGCTATCCCAGCTTCCATGCTACGTTGGTAATCTATCTGTGTACAAATATCGTGCCAATTTAACACACCCATTTTTCTCCAATTTCTAGCCATAACTATTTTTATTGCCATACAGATGTGGATCATAAGAATTTTTAGTTTTATATTGCTTTTTGGCAGGTCTAAATGAAACAAAAACATTTGAGGCGTAATCACAGTCTGAATCTCAAACACAAAATCCATCAATTCCGCTAAAATTAATTTCATAGGTTTCAACTCCTCACAGTCCCACCAGATGTGGGAGAATGAACCTAACTCCCTACCACATCTCCAACAATCTGGTAGAAGTGTGGGTTGAAATCTATGAAGGCGGGTAGGGACCAAGTACCAGCGGTATACTAATTTGAAGTATACTTCCTGTATATTCACCCCATGTATATATCTTTTTACTGCTTGTAAACCCAATAACCAGTCCTCGACCGAAGATGAAAAATGAAGTTCTTGCCCCAGAACAGAATCAACTTTTTCTATTTCAGCTATTTTTCCCTAAATTTAGAAATTTACAGTGAATTAACTTTAAATTCCCAATAATTCTCCCTGAATATCCGGTTAGTGTTTCTGATCTTTTCACACTGTAGTAAATAACCTTTACAGGATTTAGTATTCGTATTATATTTAATGTAACTGTATCGCACCCAATTAGTTCAGTTGCTGACATCATATATGGAGTTATTTGAACTAGAAACTGGGGTGAATTGACAAAAAAAATTAAGTATTATATTCCAAAATATTTTAAAAATTGTCATCCTGGCTGTTTTTTCACAGAGATTTCTAACAGGTGTCAGTATTTTAGATTTTCAGTGAGAGAAGACATCTGTTTCACTTGACACATGCGTCAAAATCACAAAAAGACAATCTATATCCTTAGCCTAAACATACACTGTTGGTGCATACGTTATTATTAATTTTGAGAAGGGAGATATTTAAGGGATTTTTTGTTAAGTTTGTATCACGACACCCTATTTTATGTGTTTCTGTGTGAATGTGACTAAATTAATTTATAAACTGTATGTGTAAGTCTATAAACCATTTGAAAAGATCTTGTTTTTTTTCTACACCTTAGTTTTAAAAATGTAAAATGTGTAATTTTTATACAGTAGTTTGAGATCATTCTGACTACTGAAAATAATTTTTTGAAGTAGTTCCACATTTAGTTGTAGAATATAAAGAATAAGAAAATATTGTGCTGGTTTGAAAAATCAGTGTGAAGTAGAAATGGTGCCGATTTTTCTAATTCAGAATTTTATCCGAAATAGTTTTTTAGCCTAAACTTTGTGAATCAGTTTTCCTGTTTCCGCAAATTCTTACCTAATGAATACAACTCAGCCTATTTGGAAACAATTTATCAATATGGAGGTTGTTTTATTGAGGGAAATTCACAAATCTAATGTACAGAGCTCTCTATTATCCATCCAAGCAATCACTAATTGAATATCTGCCACTTTCTCCATGATCCGTACACTGTTAACACCAAAAACAACCAAAATATTAATCCTTTTTCTCATAATGTCGCAACTGGATTATTACAACTCTGTGTTAATGAGATTACCTTTCTATTGCCTATCCCCTTCAATCTTTCATAAACACCTCTGCTTTTGCCCTACTCATCGGTCATCTTCCACTTTGCCCCTTTCGTCATGTTCCTTACAGGTTCTGTCACTTCCAGAATAAAATCCAAAGTTCTGACCACTGATTGCTGAGCTGTGATACTGCAAATCTATAACCTCTGCTCTTTTTTTCACATACTTTATCACCTGCCCTCTTCATTCTGTCTAGGACTTGCACCTCTCGTCTTCTCTTGTTACATCCTTCCATTTCTGTTTCCAGGACATCTCCCCACATTCCATAAAATTAGGCAATCGTTGAAAACTCACCTATTCAAAGAAGCTTACTACGTCCGTATCATCTGAGACCTATACAGAATTCTAAATGAGTAAATCCTCTATCTGTTCCTACCTCGGTCATCACTTCCAGAAGTGTCCCCTGCAACCTGACTTTCCTCTTCTTCACAACACCCTTACTAGGGCTTAAAATGTTAAATTTATAGTACTCTGCTACTAGTCAGATCTTAAAAGCTACTCACCATTGCAAACCATAGTATACCCTTCAAGGCGTGCTTTTCTACTTGCCAGGGCTAAATTTTCACTCGCCAATATAGATAGTGGAAATTTTGAGTCCTGTTCTTACCTTTTGCTTCTGTCATTCATTTCCCTTTGTAGATTTTGGGCTTGCAGCAGTAGGGCTATCAGTTTTTCTATTCCAGTATGTAGCCTTGTGTATGTTTATGTTTTACAGTATCTAATGTTAATCGTCATTAACATTAGATACTGTAAAACATAACATACAACACTGAAACACTGGGTTATTGTGTTAATAACCCAGTGTTTTACAAAATTTATTCCTATTTATGTCTTTACACATTTGATTTAATCAAAGGCAATATTGAAATGCCCTTTCATTCATTACATTAAGGATGCCATGGTCCTTGAGAGCTATAATCCTCTAAGATATTTAGGTATTCTCCACTAAATAGGTAAACAGTTAAATAGACAGTCCAGACACTATTAGCATAAGTAAGACAGTAGTTATAGTGCTAGGACGTTGTCCCTTTTCAAAATGTCTAGTTTTCTTCATACAGTTGTAAACAAAATTATTTAACAACCATCAGGTTTATTGTCATAATTTTCAGATCTTTAGCTGTTTGCAATGAACAAATAAAACAAAAGCAATTGCAGAAGCTCAACACAATGAATGCTTCAAGTGGTTTCCCAACTGAAATTGCAACTTATAATGACTTCTCCAGTCTCAACATTTTTAAACCCAATAGAATCCCTTACAACAGCACAAATGCAAAACCGGTATTGTCTCAAGCATACCTGATGCAACTAATCGAGGCTTCAACACTTGAAATACCTGAACTGGTTGGGGGTTGTTGAGTGTCACATTTGACTGCATGTTATAAGTTAAGAGAATATATAATCAGCCTTCACAAACAAGAAATAGTATACAAAAATATAGTAAAGGCTTTGAATGTTCCTAGAGACACAGTTGTAAGCATAGTTTGCACGTTCAAAGTTCAAAGAACAGTGGTTACACTACCTGGACCAGTCAGAAAAAGGAAGCTATCAATGGCTGCTACCAGATTTCTGAGAAGGCATCTTGTAAAAAACACTCGAGTGACTGCAAATGATCTGCAGGAAAACTTGGTGATAATAGGAACTGAAGTCTTAGTAAGCACAGTAAGGCGCGTACTAAAAGTAGATGGTTTCCATGCCAGAACTCCAAGACGTATACAACTGCTGATCCAAAAGTACAGAAAAAGTTTACTCCAATATGCCCAAAATCATATAAATAAGCCACAGAAGTTTTGGAATTCTGTGCTGTGGAGCGATGAAACAAAACGGGAACTTTTTGACCCAATGGATCAGCGGTATGTCTGGAGGAAAAAGAATGAATCAAATGCTGAAAAGAACACTCTGCATACAGTAAAGCATTGTGGTGGTTTGGTGATGTTCTGGGGCTGCTTTGCATCCTCTGGTATTGGAAACAAGATGGATTCATTGAAGTATCAGGAAATCCTAGGAGAAAACATTATGCTATCTGTGAGAAAGCTGAAGCTTGGGCGTCATTGGACCTTCCAACAAGACAATGATTTCATGCATCTCTCAAATTTCACCAAGGATTGGTTGCAGATAAAGTCCTGGAAAATTCTACAGTGGCCATCACAGTCACCTGACTTAAACCCCATAGAGAATCTCTGGTGAGATTTTTAAAGAGGGCAGTTGTAACACGCAAACCCAAGAATATTACTGAACTGGAGGCCATTGCTCATGAGCAATGGGCTAAGATTCCTCAGAAACGCTTCCAGAAGCTGGTATCTGGCTATGCATCTCATTTGCAGCAGGTCATAACAGCAAAAGGGTGCTCAACTAAGTACTAAATATGCTTGCCATGAAGGAGTTGAATACATTTGAGAGTGGAGAAGTCATTCTAAGTTGCATTTTCAGTTCAATTTGGTTAAACCACTTAAAGCATTTGTTGTGCTGTGCTATTTCAGTTGCTTTTGTTTGATTTGTTCATTGCAAACACATGAGAGTCTGTAAATTTTGACAATAAATCTGATTTATAAATGGAGGATGAATAATTTTGACTTCAACTGTATATCCTAAAATGTTCCATATCATAACTCCACTCAGCTAGTGTCAGGGATATGTGCGTCCTCATTTAACTGTACAAATATTTAACCAGTCTAGTTGATCAGGGCTCTTGCGTGAACAATGAAGGTGGGCAATGGTGCTGTGTGCATGCTTATTGACAGACTAGCTTTATATAAAGTAAAGGTGGATTTCTGTGAGTATGCAATGACTGCTCATTCTATAGATAGAAGTTTCCTTTAAGGACATTAGAGACTAAGGGTGGAGTTATAATGCTCAATATCTTATGACGTTAAAGGAACACTTCAAACACCATAACCACTACAGCAGGCTGAAGATAGTCTAACAGTTTGCTAACAGGTTCATTTCTTATCTGGGATCTGCCAATTGCTTCTCATTGCCTCTCCTCTGTGTGGAGAGCCTTCTAGGAGCTTCCAGTAGCACTCTTGAGCTAAGCACTGCAATTTATGACCAACTCATTTGCTGAGAGCATCAGCCAGTGTGAACGTCCAAGAGAACATCTGGCTGCAGAGAGACAAGGATTGATGCCCAATAGACTCCAGGTAAGGAGTCAAATCGTTAGCAAGCAATTGAATACTTATAGTGGGGGAGAGGGTGTACCAGGGCACTCATAGCATTAAATCCACTATAGCGTGTGCTTTAAAATGTGAGCTTGCAAGAGCATGCTCTTTACACTTTACCAAAATAATAAACTGTAGTGTTTATGGTATTGGAATTTTTTTTAAAATTATTTATCAATTGGCAATGCATGTCTCCCAACCATCCCAAATTTGTCAGGACAGTCTTGATTTTCCAGTCCTGTCCCACCTTAGTTTCCTCTCCCTCATGTCATGCCTGGAATGGTTTTCAGTAGACGTGCTTGCGCTATGATTAGCGCATTAGGACTCGAGCACTGAAATTGTGCTCCTTGCAGAGTCTGCCCTCAGTGGACCAGGTAGCCTGGTGTGCATTCACACCAGGCTGAACTGCCATTAACTCTGATGACTCTCCCGCCCCCTTTCTGGATGGGTTTTTACCCTTTGGAGGTGGATACTCCCTCCCACCCATCATCCTGAAGAATGACATTGCTATTGCTTTCATTTAAAATCTATTGTGAAGTTGAATCTTTTCTTAAATTGGCAATGTCACTGTTTGGTGACTTTTCCAAATTTGCATAGTCCTCCGATGGTGACATGGCTGGTAGTGATCCGGTGGTGTTCGCCGCCATCTTGATTCAGCAGGGTCTTCTTCGGCACCGACGTCACTGCTGTACCGTCGCACATGTGTAAGAGTACAGAATTGAGGTCTATGGGGGCGCAGGATCCTCCATAGAAGCAGCTAATTCCCTGCAGCCGGAACTGATGAAGGCTGCAAGGATTGACTCTGTGCTCTGCCTGAGTCAAAGAAAGACAGGTGGAGGAGAAATACAGAATACCTAATTTCATTGAACTTCCAACACAGTCAAAAGTGGTTGTAACGGAACTCCCTGTACCCCTGGCTGGGTACCTCCGTCAAGGACCGCTTCCTAGCTGGAACAAGGGACAAACCTCAGCACTTCTGCCCACAGTCGCCGTGGCTTGACTGGGGTCTGGGAGCCGTTCCCTCCTGGAACCAAATGTGGAACTCGCTCTAGCAACCCCCAGGCACTGGACGACACTCAGTCCTGTGAGCTCTAGTCCGTACAAGGACTTTTCCCATTGAATCCTCCACACTGGAACAGTGATCAGTTATCACTTTCTCTTCCCAGTAACCAGACAACACATAGTCCTGGGAGTACAAGCTGTAATCTTTTAATCTGGCCAGATGGCTTGCTTTTATACAATTCTAGACACAGTTAAGCACGCCCCTGACACTCCCACACAAACAAGATAATCCCTTTCCTGGACCTGAGAGGGGATTCGTTACCAGTCCCAAACTCCTCCCCTGTGCCTGAGAGATAATTGAGTCAGGAACTGAACTAGCTCAATTATCTCCAGACACAAAAATCCCACAATTCACAGACATCCCAAAAATCCCTTTAAAATACACAAAAAAAAAAACATTACATCCCCTGATATCCCCGATCTTGGTGACCAACATATCGAAAAATCACCCAGATCGGTTCCGGGTTCGGGAATTTCCTGGAAGTCCTAATTTGACCAACCATACATGAGGTTCCTGCCCAAAATAGTTCCATAAGATCAGGGCTAGCAGTCGGTCTAGTTCAGTAGTTTGAAACCGAACAAACTACCGAACATAGTCAATATTCTTACCCTGGAGCTTGTTTCCCTTGTTCGTGGGAACATTTCCACCGAACAGTGTCCTCCTAAGTGTTCTAGAACCGAACGCAGGTGATGCTGGAAGTCCAGCGGTGTTCAGGAGTTTCTGTGTCCTTTTTCAGTTCCATGAACACGACGACCAAACACCGCTGCCTGTGTTCGTGCGAACGAGATTGCCGCCACCTTTTGTTCGTCCATAGGAAATGCGGCCACAAGACAAACACCCAGAGAACACTGCGGTGGAAATTGCTACAAAGTAGCAATTATGCTTAACAAGCTCCCGGGTGGTCTCCGGTTCATGCGGCTGTTCAGTTCCCAAACCATATAGTCAAAATACACGAACAAAGACTTTTATAGTGCATATTACAGGGCCCATAGTCTATGGGCAGGAGGCTGTCAAGCAGGCTCCTCCAGGAGCTTGTGGCAAACTCACATGGGAAGGGGAGTTTGTCACAGTAGTATTTCATAAATATTCTATCTTTATGAAATACTCATTTTTGTCGGGTAGGGTGAAGGGGGTAGGGGGCTGACCTTGTCACTTTAAATAGTTTTTTGAATTAATAATGAAATTGTAAAAGCAAATGTGTAGATTATACAGTCAACTGTGGTGAAATGAAAACTGAACTTTAAAAATTCAAATTGTTAATTGGCTATCAATTGGGGTCTAGAGAGTGAGAATGTGGGTTGCTGCTTGAAACCTTTCTTCCAAAAATTTAAATAGTGGGAGTGTTTTGGGATGACTGAACAGTTCTGCAGAAGTAAGGCTGCAGGCAGGAATGTTTGCTGTCCCGACACAGACTGGGACGGCTTATTGGGATGGTATCTGAGACTGACCAGGCTGCCAGATTGATATCGCTGGAGGTATTTTCCACTGTCAATGAGTGAGATTAGACAGTGATATTTATTATATTTATAACACACTCTGTTATATAGGATTGAGCAAATCTTTACTGTGAGTAAACCAACTTTTATTATTTTTTTTTTATTATTATTATTTTTAGCGGTACAGAGAGCACTGTTTTGTGTATTTATTTTCATTTTATACACTGGTGAGCTCTCACTGTGATAAAACGGCACATTGAAAGAGACCACTTCTACGAATGCTGAAAACCACACACTGCTGACCGGCCTAAGCATACCTTTTCCCATATGATTAAAACCGAGACAAAGATTAGCATATCCACAGACGCAAATTTTTCCATCCAAGCAGACATATCTGGAGCTTATTTTAAGCTCCACAAAAAGATTATTTGTGCATTTCCTTTGTTTTATTTATAATCACCAGCATCAAAAATACTACACCAAATTTCGTTTTATTTGTCCTCTTGTTTTACATATCGCTTCATCTTTATTTAAGTTGAGGACACTTGTGAAGGCGCTGTTTCCCTGCATTCCCTTTCTATTTATTTATATTTGCCCACCTGGCCAAAGGTTGCCAGCCTTTCCTTGCCAATCAGTGTATATAACTGACTTGAAAAATGTGTCAACCACAGCTAATTATGGATAAATGTTGCAATAAAGTTTTCAATGCACCAATCTAATCTAACTTAATAAAGCTACCCCTTTGTACGCTACCGCCTATCCACCAACATTGGGAGACATTCTTGTCACCAGTGAAGCTCAAAATGACCAAGTCTTCCCAAAAAAGGGGCTGGTTCCTTACTGACAGGACCTGGCAGGGAGAGTTGCTGAAGAACTCTCTGCAGGATCCTACTACTCGCTGCATAGTGCATTTGCGTGTTCTGATGCTAGACACCAGGGAACTAAAGAGGGAGGGAGGACGGGACAGGACCCTAAAAACTGAACTGCCCTGCTGTGACTGTTGGGTGGCATGACACTGGGCTAGACTAGGTTGGTTTGCAGTGCAAAATAAAATGTAGCATTTGTGTGCAAGGTACTGGAAGGAAAGGAGTTACCAGACATATTCCCTTTTGAGTCAAATGATTTGAAGAAAAATTAATTAATTTTCCCTTTAAAACTAAATGTTGTTCATAAAAGCAATTACTTCATCTAATTTAGATTTCAGTGAAGTGCACCTGGCGTGTTATATAACTGCATACAGGGTTCATACAGTGGCAGACATGTAGCCTATGGCTCTCAGTGCTGAGATACCTCACAACATTAAAAAAAACAAAAAAACACTGAAGAGAAACAGGCGTTTTCAAGGTGTTGTGGCTGAAGGAAGCAGAGGTGAGCCAAGGGTCAATGGACTGGAGTACATGACTTTTTAGTCTTATATATGGATGTAGGTAAATTATTCTTTTCTTTCCTCATCTTATTCCCCTCTCTATTTATCTGTCTGTTTCCTTTATGCACCACAGTCTCTTCCCTTCATAATAATGGGTATCATAAGAAACTAAGGGGGATTTGTCAAGGCAAAACAGGAGCTATTTTGGATGGAAAGTTCTACATTTTGAGAAACAGTATACTCAGTGGCGAAACTAATGTAGAGAGGGCCATGGAGCAAGCAAGTTTTTTGGGCCCCCTCTAGTGCAATGTGGCCATCTGTCCATCAACTACAACAATGCAATGCCAGCTGGGACTCTACCATTTGCTTATCCTGGCTGGGTCATATTTGTGATCAGTGTTTGTGTGTTTGAATGTGAGCATGTTTTTGTATAGAGTTTATGTGTGCATGTAGGGGTGTATTTGTGTGTACTGTTGCCGTTGGAATGCAGTGGTGTACTTGTGTGTATTGTTTGTATTTGAATGCAGTCTGTATGTTGTGTTGGCTTTTAAATGCAGGTGTGCTTTTGAGTGTAATGTTGATGTGTGAGTGAAGGGGTGTGTTTGTATATAATTTTAGTGTTTTAATACAGGAATGTGAATGCATGTAATGTTGGCTTTGAAATGTGAATGTAGATTGCAGGAGTATGTATACATTTTGGTGTTTGCTTGGCACATACAAACATGCGCTGCCACATACATGCATACTTACACAGACATACATTAACACAGACATACATTAACTCACAGATACAAACACATAAACACACTGAAACATACACACAAATTAATATCTTTGGCAACTACATACCCTCATAAAACCAAGGCCAGACAGGCCCACTGTGAAACCGGGAAATTTTCCTGGTGTGTCTGCATTCCAAAAGGTGGGGCAGGCAGCTGCCTAGGACCCACTGACTTGAAGGCGCAATTGCCAGGTGACCGGCAGGAGGGGAGCACACAGAACAACACTTCCCTTCCTGCCATTCACTTCATGTAGCATGGCTGTGCAGACCGTGGTAGAGGATCTTTTGCATTCTCTACCCAGTTTAACAGAAAACGCTTGCTGGGAGCAACAAACAGCTTCCTGTTAAATCGGATAAAGGATACAAAATATCCTCCACTGCAGTCCATGTGTCCATATTACATGGAGGCACGTCAGTAGGCACAGGAAGGGAGAGGGAGTGAGACCTCACAGGAAGTGGAGGAATGGGAGAGACCACAAAAGGAGGGGGGTGCTGTGAGAAAGATACACTGAGGAGCTTGGGGTGTGAAAAGGGGGCTGGAGAAGAGAAAGAGACATGCAGAAGGGCTTGGAGAGAGAAAGACACACAGAGGGACTGGGGGGAGAAAGAGACACACAGAGGGGCTGTGGGAAGAAAGACACACAGAGGGGCTGGGTGGAGAAAGAGGTGCACAGAAGAACTAAGGAGTGGCTGTGGGTGGGGAAATAGAGACAAACAGAGGTGCTCATGGGAGAATGAGACACACAGAAGGGCTGGGTGCCATTTTACTGCACTATGGTAAAGAGCACACTCATAGGACTTCAAAATAATAATAATAATAATAAAGTATTTAACCAGGAAAGGCACATTCAGATATTATCTGGTTTCCAAGTAATCCTGGGGATGTTACTTTTGCCCAACATCCAGGAGATGTTACTATTACCCAATTTAATGGTACTCAAATAAACAAGATACCATTTTTTTCACAGCCGTGCTACAGTATACATTCACCATTTCAGACTTCACTTATGTCAAGGTAGTTGGACTGAAACGTTGATGATATGGAAATACACGTCTGCTTAAAATAAATCCACTTTTTGTTTATTTTGAAGCCCTGTGAGTGCTTTCTTTCACGTTGGAGTAATAGTTTTCACTTTTAAGTTATCTTTTTCACCTTTATAAGTGCACGCTATGCTGGCTCAACGCATTATTGGACTAGTATAAAAAAAACTTTTTTGCAGGGCTGCTTTTAGTTCCCAGTCCGATGCTCTTTTTCTTCTTTTTTCTTGTACCCATCTGCCACAACATTCGACTACTTTGACTTATAATATCAAGGCTTAATTGTAATAATAACACACTTAAAGAAAAAATTGTAAATTAAATGATATTTCATAGTTACCATTAACTTAGATATATTTAAAGAGAGAGCATAATGTTTACAGTGATAAAATAAACATACAAGAGTATTAAGTGTTTATTTAGTGATCATCATTTAGGGGTTGATTTGGCAAGAACAACATGTGATTTACATCAGAACTCTGGACGTTGAAAGATAACTTACTAACTAATGAATTGTTAGTATTATTTTGATTCTATGCCACTCATAGAGATCTATTCAAACTATACCTTTATAAACCCTGTGCTTTTATCAATAAATTGATGAATTGTCACATTGCACTAGAAACTCTGTCAGTTTGATTATTCTTCTTGAATAAACAAGGGCATATCCATAAATTGTTCAGTTCTCCAGGTAAAGAGATGGTTGGCTAACCATAAGAGAAGTCCGGGCAGGAAAGAACCCTAACAGGGTGCTAGGCAGCTGATTCGTAAAATCTGTGTGAGACCAATTAAGGGCAAGAAAAGTGGTAAAAATAAATAAATCCTTGCTCCCAGGCTCCCAGAGGGCACCCCTTGATATCCTGTTGCTCAGGGGCTCTGTGAGTTTTCAACCCACTTCTGCCTTATTGTACCATAACTACTACATTAATCTATAGTGGACATGGTGTACGGCGTGTACCTTTAATTGCCCTATAATTGTGCTATACAGCAGAGTCTGTAATTTAAGGAGGGATGGACTTTCCTGCACTTTGCTAGGTAAGGTCAGGCTAAACATTCTCTTCCTGTCTGCAGTACATTCCCAGTTGAACAGGATGTATGTGCTCAACACAATGTTACTTAGTAACACACTTTGTACTACAACAACAAAAAAAGGATAAACAGCAGATAACTCATTTCATGTTTGGATAGTGTCACTATAGCTAGTGTAGTTATCAAGCTGAGGGAGACATTTATGGGTTTTATATATTAAATTTAAAATGTGTAAAATGCATGATTCAGTGAATGTATGTGGCAATTATGTGGCAATGACAGCCTCTAGCCATTACTAAATAATTGTTTTAATTACTGTGTTGTCAGGTCCCAGCCAACTTCATCCACATTTCTACGGGAATCGTAATTTTGATGACAAATAGGATTTTCATATTTTCTATTCATATAAAGCTATCTATGAATAATTAAGAATGGCCTAATAAGATAAATAGCATATATTATTGGTGAATAGGTATGCACACATTCTGTACATTATGCTGGCTATATCACCTTCCATTGGAATGTGTGAGTGGCTGCATGCCTAAATCACTTGTGCAGTGTCCCCAAAGCACGACGTATGATGTTGTTTGCGTGTGCAGCTAGCGGAGTGTCATTGTCATTATGGCCACTGTGGCAGCTGTTAATACATTCTGACCTATACATATGCTAGCCTTTTAGCTAAGCCAATACAGAACAAAATATTAGCACTACAAAAAAGGACAAACCTGCATGAGACATGGATTTTAAGGTGCCAAATACATGAAAGAAACTAGATACGAATAGTCTTGGTGTTGGAGTTCCAAGAACAAAATTGGGGTTCTGCTGTGATTTGCCGATCGACTGGCCCATTAACTTGGGGCCACCCGAACGGTATCGCTGAAATTATGTATTATTGGATGCTGGAAGGAGCTGACAGAGTGTCACTTCTGCCCAGACTTGGAGCATGCCGAGCAGGACTGAGAGAAGGCAGGGGAAGGGAGAGTGCAGTAGCCAGCAGCACCCCAGCTCCCCAGCACCCCACTCCAACACCCAGCATCCAGCACTCCAATACCCAGCATCCAGCACTTCAACACCCAGCATCCACCACGCAATACACAGCAGCAGCACTCCAGCACCCAGCTCCAACACCCAGCAGCTGCACTCCTGTGTTAACCTAAGTGTGTGTATGTGCCAATGTGTGTATCTAGGTGTCAATGTATGTATCTGTCAGTGTGTGCATCTGTGTCAGTGTATCTGTCAGTGTGTGCATATGCATGTGCCAGTGTGTGTATCTCTGTGTCAATGTGTATGTGCCAGTGTGTATGTGCCAGTGTATATCTATGTAAGTGTGTATATGCAGACATCCTAGCAATCAAACACCAACACAACATGCAAACACAAACATGACATACAAAGACACCCCTGAACTCCAACTCTAAAATTAGTTACTTACACTCAAACACACCCTTCACTCAAACACCAATACTACACACAAATGTACATCCACATTAAAATCCAACACTACATCCAAACACACCACTGCACGTAGTTGTAAGCATAACATACAAACTCACCCCTTTATTAAAATGCTAAACTGATGTACAAACACCAACTCTACACACAGAAGCACAAGGCTGCTCCTAAGTACTACAATCTGTTTACTGTCCGTAGAAATTTGCCAAATATATAAAACATTACGCTCTGTTAATTGAAAGGTTTATGCTACGGCGCTACATTTTTTCAGGGGTTCCACAATGTTGGTACAGTATGTCAAAGGGTTCCACGAGAAAAATTAATTGGAAACCCCTGACCTAGTCATATAGTTAAATACTGTTTCCTTTCCTGTGAAATAAACAACCTGTAGAGCATTTTAAGATCAAATCCACACAGAAAAAAAACAAGCAAACAATGAACATATTTCTACATAAAACATGGGTCCATCTACAGTAGCGCCTGGATATAGTTAGGAGTTTATTTACTAAAGACCACATTTTGTCTGAATGGACAAAATGCTGTGAAAATGGCCAAAATCTGACAGGAATACCAATGCTTATATAAACTAAAGCCATCTTGAAATTCGCTCAAATCAACTGAATCTGCACCAGTCAGCTGAATGCATTAGGTGTATGGATTAAAATCAGATTAGCAGAAAGCAAGAGAAACAACAATTTTAAGTAGTATTTGCCCACTGACAGTACTAGCAGGCAAATAGTTTGGATTCTTAAAACCCAAGCCCTGATTTTAAACATACAGACTTAAGCTATCTTTTGGTCCAACTGAAATTCATGCTTGTTTGGAGCCTGCATTGCAAAGTCAAAAAAATTGTGGTGTGAACATTTTGCAATCTAAATGGCCATTTGGTGTAAATAAATAGATAGCCGAATAGACCCCCTAGACCGGAAACCCATCCAATGCAGAATGCAAGAGGGGGAGAAAAAAAAGTATAATTTATTATTATTATTTTTAAATGTGTATTATCCTGGGAAATGCACTGCTAGACAGATTTCATGTGTTCTCCATACGTGTCTAACAAAATAACAATCATCCGATTGAGAAGGCTGTAGAATGCAAGCCCCGTTAATCACATAAAAAACAAAGAACAATGTTTTACTCAGTCACAGAGCAGGTGACAAATCTTTACTATTCAAAGAAAATACGTGGAAATTCTGGAGCATACATAATAACAAAATAAGAACTACATGGAAAATCTGAGCAAAGTACTGCACTGGAAACTTTTTTTATGATTATAGACAACAGGTTATACAGACATTTGCCACCTGCATATTTTAATCCACGGATAGCAACAGGGTTTCCACGATTAACACAATAAATAGTTGGGGTTTTTATTACTGTACATGGTAAATGGTCTTTTTCAGTGGTATACAAATGGTGACATTTTGCATTATATAGCAAAAACAAAAAAGCAAAGGCAATAGTTATTGTAGTGTTAAATACCTGTTTAGTAACTATTTGTAGAAAATAAATTGCCTGCATGTCAGGGAATTAACCTGCAGCTATATTTACTTAAGGCTGGGGTATAGGTGAATGTGTGGATACTTAAAAGTGAAAAGCTGAAAACAGCTGTGCATGCATGATCAGCTATTCACTATTGTCAGAGTAACTCTTTTGGCCTTAACCCAGAAAGGACCAATGACATTTGAGGACTGTTGGAATATGTACAGTGGTTAATTAAGACTTGGTTGAGGAGCTGAACACAGGGAAATTGAGATATCAGCTAGTTTTCTACCCAGTTTAGAGTAGTCCTCCATTTGTATTGAATTGGATTGGGTCAAGAAAAAGCTTAGATGTCGAATATTGTGAAGGTGCATTGATTTATGAAAAATTTTACTGTCTGGTGTAGGCGCAGAATAACAGTAATAAGCAATCCTAGGAGTATTTGCAGGGGTGTTGCTAATGGGGACTAACTGGGGTCCTGAAAAGCCCCATGTATAATTTCTTTATAAAATTGTTATGTAATTACTACTTTTTTTAGTACAAGCTATTCTCAGCAGAACTCAGCAGAAGCTTTTTACAATAATACATTCTCCACATTCTACATGAGAGCTCATCTCTACTATAAGGGATTCTCACAAACTAACTTTGTTTTGGATCATCCCCAAAATGCGTTGAACTTTTTGGAAAGTGAAGCTGGAAAATGTGGTTCATTTTATCTGTGAATAATGGTGGGAATGAAATCGCACAACATGCTTTCGCTATCATGAAAAAGCTTGGTGCTCTGTCCAGCAAAGATATGTCCAGTCTGACAAATTGGATGTTTCTGGAAATTTTTTTATTTTTTTTCCTTTTTCTGGATTTTATGAGATAAAAGAGATCAGTAACATTGTATAACCAGCTACCATAAATAATACAAGTATTTTTTTCATTATAAAATCTGGAAGAAAAAAAACCTTTTACTGTTGCCTTCGTGTAATATTGGGAAAATGTGGTGGAGGCAGGTGGGGGTACACAATAAAAAGAGTGGGTCCCACTCTTGATGTATGGATGTGATTTCTCTTGTAGTACTTTAAGAAAGGAAAATGATCACCCAATAAGACTAAATATACTAAAAGCAGTAATAATATCAATACAGCTTTTTGGTTATGTTACTGTATTAAGACAGAGATCCCCTACTTCAGGGACCAGCCTGTACTATTTTTAAAGTTAGTCTGCTTGGGCCTAAAACTTTACATTCACATTGAATTCCCAGCAATTCATAATTTAGCAAGTAACCCTGTACTACATTGTACTGTTATCTTGTGCAAGTCTATTGTGGGTTCAGCAGTTTGAAAAAACAAAAACATTCTCATAACACCACTGCCACCAGCATGTGCCATTGACTTATGGATACAGTGGCGTACATACCAGGGTCGCAGGGGTCGCGGCTGCGACCGGGCCTGGCCCACCAGGGGGCCCGGCCGCCCTTGCGACCCGGTATGTACCCACAGGGCCAGCCTCTTCCCCTGGGGGGCCCAGGAGCCGACCACCCCAGGGCCCCCTGAGGCTGGCCATGCTGACACCCGGCAGGCGGGTGGCCAGTCGGGCAGGCGGGCGCGCGAGGGAGCACTCAGTGCTTCCTCTTCAGCTCCCTCGCGCACCGCACTGATACCGGAGCCGGAGGCGTCATCTTCCGGCACCGGCATCCCTACGCGGCGTGCGTGAGTGAGCTGAAGAGGAAGCACTGAGTGCTCTCTCGCGCGCCCGCCTGCCCGACCGGCCACCCGCCCAGGAGCCCAGCAGCACCACTGGACCCCAGGGAATCTCCCCAGCACTCCAAAAGGTAAGGAGGCTGGGAGGATTACATTTAAAAAAAAACTAGTGTTAGTGTTTGAGTGTGTGTGAGTGTTAGAGTGAGTGTTAGAGTGAGTGTTAGAGTGAGTGTTAGAGTGAGTGTTTGTGTGTGTGTCTGCTAGTGAGTGTCAGTGAGTGTGTTACTGTGTGTGTCTTACTGAGTGTGTGTGTGTTTTAGTGAGTCAGTTTGATGTCTGTTAGTGAGTGTGTGTGTGTTTGTCAATGAGAGTGTATGTTTTGTAAGTGAGTGTGTATGTATGTCTGTCGCTGAGTGTGTCTCTGTCAGTAAATGTGTGTCTGTTAGCTAGTGTGTATGCGTCTGTAAGTGTGTGTGTGTCTTCAGCACTTACCTTTCTCCAGCGCCAGACTCCCTTGGCGCTGGGGATCCCTCAGCCTCTCAGCTCCGAATGCGACCGCGCACACATTCAAACCGCCCATAGGAAAGCATTACTCAATGCTTTCCTATGGACGTTCAGTGTGCTCCTCTAGCGGCTGTCAGTGGCTTCTCTGAAACTGCTATGTTTTCAGCTGCAGGGTTAAAACTAGAGGGACCTGACACCCAGACAACTTCATTGAGCTGATGTGATCTGGGTGTCTGTAGTGGTCCTTTAAGTGTGTGTGCATCTGCATGCACTGGCGTACATACCGCGGTCGCAGGGGTCGCAGCCCTGTAACCCCTGCGACCAGGTGCCCACCGCCATGTGTTGCGGCCCGCGCGGGGGGGCCCACGGATCAATTTTCGCACCGGGGCCCCATGGGTCATGTGTATGCCACTGTATGGATGCAACTAGTTTACACAAAAATCTAGCCCTACCATACGCAAACCATAAAAGAAATAACATTTTGCCTGCTTAGACATTTTTTAATGATCTGACCCTGGCAATTTTCTAAATATTAACACTTTATGCTTAGCAAGATAATATGGAATGACCAAACCATTCTAAAACCAATACATGCAAACACATAGCTCACCAGAATGTTAATATATATGTCATCTACCTCTACTGTTTGAGTAGATATTTCAGTTATGTACTTCAGGTATGTACTTCACAAGTAACGCCAAGCCTCCATAGCAAGCCCGTAACCAACCTCATGCATTAACAACAAAATGGCTGTCCATGAGTTGTTCACTGCCTTTGCTCCTCTTCCTGAGTTGTGTTTCAAAGCTGTTGTATACAGCAGACACAAAGGAATCCATGTATAAAGTGGAATTATGGCAAAAATGTGTCTTTGTTAAGCTCATCTGCATACGCCTACCCAGAATCCCTTGCAGTAGTGAGAGCACTGTTAAAGTGAGATTTCTGTGGGAAAAACAAAACTCATGGCTTGACTGGTGCAATGTATTATATATATATATATATATTTATATATATATATATATATATATATAAATAGAAAATATACCGGCACTCCTAGGTTTTCCAAGACAATATTCTTTATTCCAAATCAGTACATCAACGTTTCAGCTCCAGCCTGGCTGTCCTGATGAAAGCTCCACAATAGAGCTGAAACGTTGATGTACTGATTTGGAATAAAGAATATTGTCTTGAAAAACCTAGGAGTGCCGGTATATTTTCTGTTTATATCTTTGAGCAACCAGAGCACCAGGTACTATCGCAATTTTGTTGGAGTGCAAGAGCTTTTTGTGATTTATGATTTATGATTTATATATATATATGTATATATATATATATGACTTAAAGAAAAATGTCCAAAGAAGAAGATGACTTCACATTTCACATTTTCCTTCATTTGAAGGAAGGGCTTTTTTCATGTGGATATGAGTAGTCACCCCATGTGGATGCACATCAATATAAAACAATTCTAAAGGACCATTTGGATGTTGAATAATGAACTGTGCAGCTTCAAAGGACAATATACAGAATGTTGTATAATGATTCATGAAAGCCAAATTCTGTCCCGTGCAGCTTAATCCACCCAAGGAAATGACTTAAATAGTTGAGGTTCGCTGACTCAGAACGTGCAGCATTGGATTTTCTGGAAGTAATGTCCCATGATACTAATTGTTTCTTCTTTATACCTGTATAATAATTTTATTTGCCAATAGTATTTAACTAAACAAATGTATAGGGTCAACATTAAGGTTGGCAAAAATTACAAATGAACATGGGTTCTAAGAACAGACAGATTTTTTTTTAGTAGGGACACTTGGGAGGTTTGGTAAATTGTCAAAGCAAACTGGTTATTTCTTTTCATTCTTTTTTTTTTCTGAGGTACTCTGTTTTTTAACATCTTTGCTGTTTATCTATATGTTTCCGAGCTGCAAATATTTAGCTTCATCAACATTTGGTTCCCATTCCTCTAATAAATAAACTTATCTTTGTCAATCAAACATTCCTTATGTAATCTCATCTACACTTTAACGAACATGTTACATTTGAATGTTTGCATGTTTGAGTGGTTACTACTATCTATCCTGCATTCTAGATTTAGGCTTACCATTATCTAGATCAGAACTAGATTCTCTCAAACAGAGGAGAGGTGTGTTATTAAATACTGAAGCTAGTGATGTAGCTATAAGCATGTATATCTAAGTCACTGTGTTAGCAACAGCATTGGGTATAGTTGTGACATATGGTCCTGAAATTGCCTGACCTAGAAAAAACATATGAATTCTTTTAAAACACTCACCTCCTGAATATTTGCTTTGTTGGTGTCAGTATTTGCTGTATTTTCAAAGACATATATAAATATACAGTTAAATATATATTACATAAACTCAACCTAATGACCTCAACTACTATATAAGTAAATATCGCCTATCGCATAACATACAAAAAACAAGTAAGACTTATTAATCAAAACCAAAAATAATTAACCTGGGGTGTGAAAATAAAAATAAAATTAACATAACAGATTTAAATGGAGGATGGAAGCAATGAGAAAATAGGTTTGTTCACTAATAAGTTGACAATAGAACTGTAAACTGGGCTTGTTCATAATATATACTAAATTCTACATCAAAAGAAGTACCAAGGACTGGATCTTGGATTGGATTCACTTTTATACAAGGTAATTTTAAAGTTTGTGGAGACTCGCAAATCTTCCATTAGTATCAATCTGACTCCAAGTGTCTAACCTCGTGGTACACACTCCCTGCAGCTTAGATTTATAAAGGGGGAACCAAAGCTATCTACTTGAGGTGTTGTCACCAGGGGGCTACCCTGCATTATATCTGGTGGTTATGCACCTCTCTACTTAGCCGTAATCGGAATCTGATACGATATGTCCAAAGATAGATATGAAATATATGTCTATTTCATACTTATGGACACTCTACGTGGAGTCTCTGTGTCGGGCTCTCCACTGGGAGCTTTGACAATAGGCCATTGCTATCACATAAAAGGGGACTTAGTGACCCAGTGTCTCTGCCGTTACCCAGTGTTTCTAAATTGCATGAATGTGTAATTGACCTACAAGCTTTTCCCAGTCCACGTATGTTTTTGAGAAGAGTTTAAAAAGGCAAAAGTGCTCTCCTTTCAATTTCCTTCCCCTTTTTTTCTCTTTTATTATCCCTCCTTGCTATATCGTCTTTGCATGCAATGTTTTTTTTACCACAGCTCTTCCTGTTCGCTGTCTTCTAGATCCATATTTCCTTTTCCTTGAAAAAACATTTGTGTTACTTACAAACTTTGTTTTATAGTTTGCACTATGCCATTTTAAAACGGCAAACTCAAATAATTTTTTCTGATATACACATAAAACCTCATTATAGTAATAATTTTCAAACAATAATTCAGGACACATTTTGTATTTATATATATTTCAACTTACTCAATAAAAATCTCAGCTTTAAAGAAATATTGTTATAATATCAATAATAATAGTGTTGTTGTGTTTTTAATTATTTTGCCAGTATATAGCCCACAACAGTAAAGATTTCCACAGCCTCCAGTTCATCTTGCGATGAACTAGCTATACAGTATATTGATAAAGCAAATGTTAGATTAGTGAATTATGTTTGTGACACATCAGAAGTTATATGCGATTGTGCAGATGCACTGGTTAAATTTTGTTCACTATGTGTTCGTATCATGTGCTGCAATTGTTACAGTAAAGTAGGCTGGGTTTACATCTACATCCGGCCTTTATATAATTGTTTCTTTATTTAGAGAACTGCCAATTGTTCCTGAAGATTTTGGACATTGTAGAATCCTACAGAATAATTTAGCTATTCCTGTGCCCTTATTCACCTCTTGCCCCTTTCCTTTTGAAAGAGTTATTTTTACAACATATTCAGGAAATGAATCAAATAGGTTCCCTCCCTTTGGCAAACTCCCTTGAATTGTATGAAGAGCCATGAAAAAAGATCAATGACAGGTACCTTTTGAACTTGGATGGTATATTTAAAGCATATATATCATTTGTAAGAGACAGGTATACAGTCATGGAAAAATGCACTCTTTTTTAATTTTATGGTTTTACATATCAGGGCACAACAATCACTGTTCCTTACTAGGTCTTTAAATTAAGGTAAATACAAGACAAACAACAACAACACATGACATATTACACTGTGTGATGATTTATTTAACATAAATAATGCCAAAATGGAGAAGCCATGTACTAAGTACACCTTATGACTCAATAGCTGGTCGAACCACCTTTAGCAGCAATTACCTGAAGTAATAGTTTTCTGTATGAATAAATCTATAAATCTCTCGCATTGTAATTTTGTCACACTTTTCTTTACAATGGTGCTTCAGTTCATTGAGGTTTTCAGCTCTCTTAAGGTCCCGCCACAGTATTTCAATGTGGTTGTGGTCTGGACTTTGACTTGGTGATTACAGCAGCCCACCTGTCGTAGATTAGCTGGTGTGCCTGGGATCATTGTCCTGTTGCATGACTCAGTCTCGGGAAGGCTTTAGCTGTCAGACAGAGAGGCTTACATTTGCCTCTAGAATACTTTGGTATACAGAGGAGTTCATGGTCGACACAATGGCTGCAAGGTTCCTAGGACATGTGGCTGCAAAACGAGCCCAAATCATCACCCCTCCATCACCATGCTTGACAGTTGGTATGAGGTGTTTGTGATGATAATATATGTTTGGTTTTCGCCAAACATGGCATTGTGCATTATGGCCAAACATCTCCACTTTGGTCTTCTCTGTCCAAAGGACATTGTTCCAGAAGTCTTGTGGTTTGTTCAGATGTAACTCTGCAAACCTAAGCTGTGCTGCCATGTACTTTTTAGAGAGAAGAATGCTAAATCATTACACGTTGTAATATGTCATGTGTTGTTCATCTGAGATTGTATATACCTCATTTTAAGACCTGCAAAGGAACAGGTGATTGTTATTATGTATTGATATGTAAAATCATAGAATTCAAAATGAGTGTACCTTCTTTTTCCCATGACTGCATCATCTCATCTATAGTTCCCCTTAACCCTTGTAACACCATTAAGGGGCACTATCGTACCCAGAACAACTGCAGCTTATTGTGGTTGTACTGTCTATAGCATGTCACTGCAGGCATTTTAAAGTAAACCATGATTTTTAGAGAAAAGGCAGTGTTTCCATTACTGCCTAGTAACACCTCCCCGCAAAGATGCACTGATTTAATGCATCTCTATGAGGAGATGCTGATTGTTGCAGGACATATTTTTGCATGCGCAATAACCTCCCAATGTGTTCCTGTAGAAAAGCATTGGACCGGCTGAGATCATCAGAGTAGAGAAAGGTGGGCCAGAATCAGCGAGACCGGTGACTAAACTCACCCTTTTACGATAAAGAAAGGGGGTCCGGAATACCGTTTGTGTTCCTGACAGTACAGAGTTTCTTTAATGTGTGTAGAAACTGCTCGAACGATATTCAGATTTGCTACTAAACACAAATCTCAGTGTGTATTCCACGCATATTTCCTAATAATATAATTCCTAAAACATATAAGCAACTACATCTGGTAGTACCCCTTCCTCTAAACACACCACCAGAAATTCTCCTTTAGGTGTAAATCTCACAGGAATCATTCTCTAATACAAAGGGAAGATTTAATTATAGATAGACTAAATATGGATGACAGTAGTTTTGGGTGGCAATGCACATTTAACCCTACCTTAAAGGGGCTTTCTAAGCAACACACACACTACAGCTAGATCTAATCATTAGGTTGCCTACAATCCCGTGACAGTCTCCCAGTTTAATATCAAACTTCTGAAGTACAGTTTGATAAAAAACTGTGTCTCTTTCCGGCATCTGCATTGATAATGCTACATTAATACATTCAATGTCAATATCATTAAATCTGGACAACCTTGATTTACTGAGAATGCTAGGGGCAGGTGAACTGGGAAGAGTCTAAGTCTATAGCAAACCTTTCTTAAAGGAAATTTCCATGCACTATAACAATATAACACACTGGTAGCCCCCCTTTCCCTCAAAATATGTTGTCAAACTGTTTTAGAACATTTTAACTGCTTATTTGGCATGTGTTCTCCACTTCTCTGCAGCTTCCAGGTGAGCTTGAAGCCATTAGCTCTCCCGAACTAAGCCCTATAGGGCAAGCTCAGCCTCCAGGAACGTTTAAATCTGTTAGCTGTCTTAACTTAAGCCCATTTGCTGATTGCTCTTTCAGTGAGATAATCACTGTATCAGGCTTACCTTGGTGGAGCTGATTAGACCTCCTTGCAGGAGCTTCTGGCTCCACATGAGCACATGACTGACCAGTCCACTGCCCGATCATCCTCAATTGGTTTCAATACTTACCTAGGGGGGCTCAAGGGCACTCCAGGCACCATAACCACTATAGCATTCTGAATACCATGCGTCATATATAAATCATGACTCCTCAGATACATATTATTGTCAGAAGTGAGTTATCCAAATCATTAGTTACACAAAGGTTATACATGTTTGTGTAGTGGCTACAGATGGAATCTAACAATAGGATTTGTCAGTGATGCAGAAGGAGAAAGTAGGCTCTTTGTAACAATGTACTTATTTAGTCCTCTCTGGGCCTGCTGGCTTTAGGATATTCTGTAGCCACAGGAAATTTTGACAAGTTTCTACAAATTCCAATTATATTAGTGTTACAATTTTTTAATTTCAATAAAATACATTATATTTCTTCAAAGGTCTCCTGTGATTCCTTTCCTGTCTACAGTGTCTGTCATCCGGTAAAGGAAGCAGTGTAATTAACCCAGGGAGGTGTCTGCTGTTTGTCCCTAATGTGACATGATTCCTTTTTTTTTTATTATTATTATAACAATGGTTATGTTTCTATAAATGACATATCCAGTTTCAAAAACAAATTTTTAGAAGCAACATTTCTAGCTTATAGTGATACGATGGAAAAAGTGTGATCCTGTGCATTCCAGTCTCGACAAAAACCATGACTTCATTTGAACGATCATCATGGTTCGTACATAGGGTTGACTGTAGTGAAAACAAGAAGTGCCAAAAGGTACCCCCAGATATTGTAGAACTGCAACTCCTATAAAGGAAGGCTATGTGTTATCCGTCACTGGATCTGTAGACCTGAATTTACAATAAAGGTTAGGGGCTGAGCATCATATGGTCCCATTACTTTGTAGTGCTACTTAAACTCCTGTTTTCTTATATAGTATGCATCCTTCAATTCATACAAGTTACTACCATTTCAAAGTTAGATGCTTTGCTAACCACTTTATTAATATATATAGTGTGAATTAATGGATGTAAAATAAACTATAATACCACAAGAAAATGTTGCACAGTAGATAACTAAATCCTAAGAAAATTAAATAAATTACATTTGTATTTTTTTTTTTGTACCAGCTTTGTAGATAGTAGACCAAGTCAATATATGAAGAAGACATAGCTAGTTTCTTGCCCCATTACCTATTTAATAGTTGGTCCCCAATGCATTAGATCTTAAAGTATCATAAGTGTCATAATGTTTAATTATTATTGAAACTAAAAGATTACATGTATTATAACCTCTGTGGATATTCATTTATTTGTAATGCATACTTTTAAGTAAATTTCTATTTTCTGTGTGTCTCCTGGCTTAACATTGCTCTGGAAGAGGCCACCTTAAAAAAACATTTGTCCAGAACTGCTAGGTTCTGGATAAGTGGTGCAGTGCTTATGACCAAAGAATATTTAAAAATAGTTGTGTCCATATAACAGAACTAAGCTGCAAAAAAACGCAAGTAATGTATGCATTATAAAATAATACACACAGGAGCTATAATACCTATTATTTAAAGCAGCTTTGTCACTTCTCACTATTTCATAAAGATACATGCGTTGGGTAACTAAATCTTTTTTTCAATGCACCCCCAGACTCTAACTGGAGATGTCACCTGTGGGGGACTTTACAAAAGTTTATGTTTAAAGTATTACCGTTTTCCTTTTTCGTTCAAACTGATCCCAACAAATTTTGCAAGTCACCAAAAAACAAAGAGGTGATTATGTTTCAAGTTCACTTTAAACATAAATTGGGCTACAAACCATTGGGTGGTCTTCCAGCTGACTCATAACAATGAAAGAATGCAAGGGGATGTGTGGAATTCAAAAGAATGGAAAACAAAAAGTTCTGCTTTTCAAAATGAAGTGCTATTGGGACAGGGGAAGAAATGCCTTTCTAATTTTGGTTTGCTTATCAATGGGCACAAATCAGCTTCTGATTACCCTTTTACAATGTAATGATTATGTGGAAATCTGTTCAAAAAGATCTATGCCTTTAATTGTGAACATTTGCTTTTAACTGTGGATATTACGTATTTTATTCTTAACTTCTAAAGTAGCTAAATAGTGTGCTTTGTGATCAGCTGATTTCCACCACATATTAGCACATATTGCTCGGAACCAAAAAAAAAAAAAGTATTGCTAAAACCTTATTAAACAGCTAATTAGAGACTCCTTTTATTACTGAAAGATATAAGAAATAGCACTAAACTAAAATGACATATTGGTAAGGTCTGCTTTGGAATACAAATACATAAGAAATGCAGGCATTTTGGAACTAAAATGTGGTCTCAGTTTAACTTTTAACACCTTAGTTGGGCAAGGGTTATTTACTAAAGTGAGAATTCAAAGTGAATTCAAGGTGAATTTAAAATCTACATTCAAAAGAGCAAATCTGGCTTTCAGTTCAACTATTCTGGCATTAAATTTAAAATTCACATTGAATTCTCACATTAGTGAATAAACCTGTCAACGTCATATCATAATTATTCATAAACTTTGTATATAACACAATACCTTTTTAGAATTATAAAATATCCATCCAAGACTATTGACTGTCAGCGTTCCAAGTCTGTGATTTTTAGGTTAAATCATTTTTTGTAAATAGTTTTTTATGATCTAGTAGTCATATTTTTCTGCATGTGTAGTGACTACACACAGTTACTGATCACTGGTCGACTCTGTGCCATATAAATGTGATAGAGGGATTTTTATAAAAATGTAACTTACAGAAAATTGTTTATTTGTAAAAGTGAATGAATTATCACAAAAAAACAACAAAAATGTAAACAGTAGGTATAAGTAGTTGCTTCACTTTTAGAACTCTATCCTGCTTTTCCATTAGTCATACAGTGTCCCCAATAGTCCCAGGTTTGGTAGGACAGTTCCACTTTTAGACTGCTGTCCCACCAACCTGGGTTTGTTCCGTAGTGTCCCCATCTAAAGATACATTAGTCAAGTGCCTCTAGACACAGTCATGTTATACCAACTACACCCAAGGTATTCAACCCATAGACAGAGTTCTTTATGCCCCAGAGTGGGGTTGACCAGCACATGGCCAATCAACCTGGCATGAAATTTCTACCAGACTAACACACCACTTTTTGGATAGTGTACCCCCTTTCTGGCATTAGTCGCATCGTTGGCATTCTCCTATATACCTGTTCACCCATCTTCCCAACTTCATATTTTTCTATGTTGGGAGGCGTGGGATATGTTTATAAATCTTCAACTACTACCCAGACCCCTAGTGAAATAGTTTCCCCGAAAGCAAGTCATAAAATACTGTTCCATCCTGAACACGTGTTCACTTCTTCTGAGGAACTGATCCCATAAAACATCCAACAAAAAGAAAGGGGTGTGCATTGTTTAAGGATGATAAAAAATATAGGAAATTTATAGACTTACACAGCCTGCCTAAACACTTCTTCTAGAAAATCATCTAATCTATTACACTTCCTTTATTGCAAATTCTGTTTAATTTAGAATTTCTTATCTCCTGCTCTGATAATAGCTTGCTAGACAATGCATAAGCCTCCTGTACGTAATTAAAGTTCAATATATGGAGCAGGAGATCAAAACATGTAAAGTGAATTAGATCTGATTGAAAATGAAACCATTTAGTTTTTTATGCAGATTGTGGCAGTCACAGCCAGGTGAGGTGTGGCTAGGGCTGCATAAACAGAAACAAAAGGGATTTTGCTTAGAAATGGCAGTGGATTGAGCAGTGAAAATTCAGAGGCATGATTTATACACTAAAACTACTTCATTAAGCTAAAGTTGTTTTGGTGACTATAGTGTACCTTAAATTTTCTTTAATTTGTTTGTTGTTGATCTTGAAATGGGTGTCAAAAGTGATGTGTCCTGGGCCTGCCCCATCTACACAACTACTACCTCGCGGCCCAGATAGCTCAGATAGCCATGTAGCATTCGACACCAGGAGTCCGCAGATGGGCAGACCTGGAGGCCTGCATTATGGGAGCAGACCTACCCCAATTTTATGTATGGCTACCGAAAGAACACAGAGCCCTACTATGCACCCAATGCCCAGCAATCCTAAACTCCATACGGGTCTGGGACGCCACAGCCTTAAAATATAAACTGACAACATCACCCTCCCCAATGATGCCAGTCCTGAGAAACAGGGCATTCCCACCAGGAATGCGAGCCAAAGACTTCACAAACATAGAGGGGACGGGCCTACAAAGAGCGATCCATCTGTACGAGGGCGACCAGGTACTAACATTTGAAACCCTGGCAGAAAGGACCAGGCTACAACCCTCAGATTTCTTCCGATACATCCAGATCAGGGATTTCGCACAACACAACCTAGCAAAAACGGCAGCACTAACTAAACCAACGGGCTTTGAAAAATGTGTCTCAAAGAAAACCCCCCGAAAGGGCTCATCACGACTCTCTACCACACCTTAGCTCCAATAACACCTACTGGAGGGACGTACATAACACAACTCAATGGGAATCAGATCTGGGAGAGGTCTTGGAGGGCACAGACTGGAGAGAAATCTGGGACGCAAACAAGGCCCCCTCAATATGTGTCACACAGCAGGAGCAGGCATACAAAACCATGTTCAGATGGTATACCACCCCAGTGAAGCTGTACCACATGCGCAAAACCCCCAACGATCTGTGCTGGAGGGGCTGCGGACACAAAGGGACGTATAAGCACATGTGGTGGGACTGCCCGAAGGCCCAGGCCTTCTGGCAAGAAGTAGGGAACCTATTAGACAAAGTGTTCCAGAGAAGGGTGGGCATAGATCCATGGGTGTGCCTGCTATCCAGGCCAATCGATGAATGGCCAGGAAAGAACCAAAAACTCCTACGCAAAATCACCTTAGCAGCTAGACTCACCATGGCACAGGCATGGCTCAAACCCGAAATCCCCCAGATCCATATGATGATAGACAAAATAAGAGATATCCACGTCATGGACCACCTCACGGCACTGGTGAGAGCCACCATGAAGGCATATGAAAAGGTCTGGGAACCCTGGAAGGTCAGCGACAGAGAGGATGGAGTCTAGATCAGGAAAGGGAACACCGCCACTACTAACTAACCCCAAACATAAGCCGGACGGAGCTCCGATCTCCGCCCCCCATCCACACCCCATAATATTGTAAGAAACGCATTTTACGTTGTAAATATGTACTCAACAGTGTGAGTGTATGTACTAAGTTATGCATATTTATAAGCCACAGTGCAATGTCACGACACGCCAAAAATAAAAGAATAAAAAAAAAAGAAAAAAAAAGTGATGTGTCAGTGTTTGCATATACATTGAAATGCAAGTACATTGTATTTGCCCTTGTCTTTCTTAATGTTTTAGTGTGGTGTCGCTGGAATCCCGGCCTTGTGCATAAGAGCATTTCTGGGAAACTCCCACCCTACCTTAGTAGAATGCTCTCCCCGGCTGTTCCCACCTCCCATAACCTCCAATCCAGTACTAGCACGATATTTAGCATACCGCCATACAAAAATAAAGTGGCTTGATCCTCCTTTTCTTACAGAGAACCGCAATTATGGAATAACATCAGAGAAACAGTCAAATCTTCATTCAATCTAAAATATTTTTAGATGTCATGGTTGAATATATTTATTACCTGTTATGTGTTACATTTATATTTGTGTGTGTGTGTGTGTGTGTGTGTGTGTGTGTGTGTGTGTGTGTGTGTGTGTGTGTGTGTGTGTGTGTATATATATATATATATATATATATATATATATATATATATATATATATACATACTGTGACAAACTTATGTTCCTGTGTGTGTTTGTCCAGGATCTTTTGGCAACCGCACAGCCTTCTAGGGTAAGAAAACCAGGTCAAGACAAAGTCCAGTTTCAAAAAGGCCTCTGGCCTGTTTATTTTCTGTTGTTGTGAAGTAACAGGATACAATGAACAGCAAATCTTCTTTCTCCACAAAACACTTTCTTTCTCCTCCAAAACACTTCCCTCACTTCACCCTGCTTTAACTGCAGTTATATAGCTGCTCACAGCCCCTACAGGTGAGGCTAATGACCTCGTTAGGCAGTGAGCCAGAGCTCTATGGGAAACCTGGGCTGGACTCATGCACAACCACTCTGACAGTGGGTGGAGAATCGGCCCACCCTGCTCTTCCGAATACTCCACCCCAGGGACCCAAATAACAACAGAGGAAAAAACTACATTTAAACTTAACTTTCCCTGGGGCTGCATGTGCTTACCCACATGTCAGGATAGTGGCTGTGCAAAAGTCTGGGTGCCAGATATACACCCCTGACCACCATCCCCAACACTCTGTTACAATATATATATATATATATATGTATATATATATATATATAGAAAAAGAGACTTGAATCCTTGCACTCAGGCTAAATGATAAATTTTGAGGGCCGGGTGCTTTAAAGCCAAAGCCAAATGTCATACAAATACATGAAATAGCTTGCACTCACGGACTTGAAGTTTAGAAAAACCGCTTTATTCAAAGCATATCAAACAATCATCACACCGACGTTTCAGCCCTTGTCCGGGGCTTTCCTCAAGGTGAATTGACAGAAATAATGACATTCTTATTTTTGGTCCATTTCCTCTCCTGATTTCTCATTATCAGGAAACTAAATAGCAGCTCCTATCTGGGTAGACCAGAGTATGTATGTAATTTATAAATGATAACTCTCTGGGTTTTGATGACATTGATAAATCACTCACTCTTCCATATGATCTAAACAGGGCTCAACATTTTAATTTGTACTTTCACTAACTGGCAAGTAGAAATTGAGCCCTTGTGAGTTAATTTTGCAGTGTTTTGCCAATTTAATGGTCTTAATATATAAAGTGTAAGCAGTGACCTCAGGTGCATGCACAGCACACAGCAGAGGAGTTTTGGCACTAGGAGCATTTGGCCACCAGTATACTCAATGTATGGGTTGTAGCCTCTTAGAATCAATTGTTCTTCTGTTTAAAATAAACTTTATGTCTGTTAACAGAGTACTGCAGGAGTGAGGCAGCAGACAGGAATTATGCAGGATTTATGCTAATCCAGCATTGTGTGGATTTGTGCTTGGGCTGGTGGTCTCAATTTTAAATGAACTCTAAAGGCATGATAGCCTAGAGCCTAATTTACACGGTTTTTAATGCCACCTCTAGTCAATCTGACAGCAACTATAGGGACTTCCTGGATTCAATCCAGCAAAGTTTTCATGATTGACGCTCACCGACACTGGATGCTACCCATGGAGCTACACCGATTCAATGCACCTCTATGAGCTGATTACCTCACATGCACACTAGCCTCCCAAACTTCACTGATGCCAAAATCTTGACGTCATATCTTTATTGATGTAACAGTGCAAAAAAATGAAAACAAAAGGTACTCTATAAATTACATATTTCTCGCCCTATATAATCTTTTTATACCCCTGCATAGCTGAAGGAAGTAATTGCTATGTAAGCTCTTCATCATCATATTACACATGGGTAAACAACTACAATATTTAGGCCTGTATTATTTCCTGCTTACTAAGCCACACCTACACTTCCTAAACCATATTAACCCCTTCAGGACGGAGTCAATAGTACACGTTCTGATAAAAAAAAACTTAAACAAAAACTGGAATTTGCGCTATATGTCTGTTCAACCGTAATTCACCGATGTCACATTAAGTGCACCCACACTTATTATATATCATTTTGTTCAGGAGAAACAGGGCTTTAATTTATCATTAACTATTCATATATGGAACATAATTTATTATGAATAAAATTTTAAAAAATGTGAGAAAATAAGATTTTTTTTTTAATTTGTATTTCCGTCTGACATTTTAGCTGTTAATGTCATAATACTGTTAGGTTTTACTGCAAAGAAATGCACATATTTGTAATCAGCGATGTCTCACGAGTACAACAGTACCCCCCATTAACAGGTTTTATGGTGTTTTGGAAAGTTACAGGGTCAAATATAGCACATTATATTTTCAAATTGAAATTTGCCAGATTAGTAATGTTACCATTGAGATGGTGTGGTAGCCCAGGAATGAGAATTACCCCCATAATGGCATACCATTTGAAAAAGTAGACAACCCAAGGTATTGAAAGTGGGGTATGTTTAGTCTTGTTTAGTAGCCACTTAGTCACAAACACTGGCCAAAGTTTGCATTCATATTTGTTTTTGTGTGAAAAAAGCAAAAAACTAATATTTGGCCAGTGTTTGTGACTAAGTGGCTACTAAGAAAGACTGGACATACCCCACTTGCAATACCTTGGGTTGTCTACTTTTGCAAATGGTATGCCATCATGGGGGTAATTCTCATTCATGGGCTACCATACGCTCTCAAAGGCAACATAACCAATCTGGCAAATTTCAATGTCAAAAAAATGAAATGCAAGCCTTAGATGTGACTCTCTAACTTTCCAAAACACCATAAAACCTGTACATGTTATGGGGTACTGTTATTCTCGTGAGACTTCACTAAACACAAATATTAGTGTTTTAAAACAGTAAAATATATTACAACAATAATATAGTCAATAAAAGTGCCATTTGTTTGTAAAAAATGCAAAAAACTTCAATTTTACTTAACATATCATCGTTGTAATACAATTTATCATTTTGAAACACTAATATTTGAGTTCAGCGAAGTCTCCCGAGTAAAAAAGTACCCCCTATGTACAGGTTTTATGGTGTCTTGGAGGGTAAAAGGGTCAAATATTGTGCTTGCGATTTAAATTTTCTGCACTTTCTCCCTGTGTTGTCAGGCATGTCAATCAAATTTTAATTAATCAAATCTCATAATTATGTTAAAAGATTACTTAAATATACACATAGAATTTTAATATATATGCATTTATAGGTATTTAAATTCTACATGTATACTAATGTAATCTTTTATGTAATTATATGTATTTATCTATATATATATTTGCCGTTATTTGTATTTTATATATAGATATATATATATATATATATATAGAATGTCATTCTAAGTGTATTTTGTTACCAATATATATATATATATATATATATATATATATATATATATATATATATATATTAATAACAAAATATAGTTAGAATGAAATTACATATGAATATATAATTTATATTAAATTTTGTTTCAATATTTTATTTATTTATTTTATTATTTTATTTATTTATTATTGTAATTATACGTATATATATATAATATATGTGTATATATCTATTATATATATATATATATAATATATATATACATATTATATATGTAACGTCATTCTAAGTGTATTTTAATACTTATATATGTACTTATATTAATATTAAAATACACTTTGTATGACGTTACATATATATAATATATATTATATATATAATAGATATACATATATTATATACATAAAAATACATTTATTTTAATTTTACACGTCTCATTCTTTTTTTTTTTACTTTCCCACCAGCAGGGGTACTGTGACATTTCAGACAGTCCCCCTGATGGCAGATCCACAGCCAGCTATAGGGGGCCACGTGATCGCTCTTTGAGGGGGCCTCCTTTGCCGGGGGAGGGCTGCCTGGGCTGTCAGGCAGCCCTCCAGAAGAGGATCGCGGCGGAGGTAAGTACGCCGTACCTCCAGGGGCTTAAAGCCGTTACGGCGTTCTATGCCGCCGCAACGGCTTTAAAGCCCACTTAATGCGGGACGGCATAGAACGCCGTAACGGCGTTAAGGGGTTAAAACACAATACCAGATGCTAATAAATACATTCTAAAATACACTTCCAAACACACAGAGCAGGGAAGGAAAAAATAAGAATATAAACAAAATACAAAAAGCTATGTTATGTTTCTTTTAGCGTTCTGGCACTTTTTATGCATAAATAAATATGTTAGAGGATTAAGTAGGTAAAAGGAATAAGATTAACACAAAGATTTCAATTTTTTTATATATATATATATATATATATATATGTGTGTGTTATACTATTGGTTTGCCAAACTGCATCTCTTAGATGGTCAATACCTTTCATATATCCTATGAGCACGACAGCAATACATATAGACAAGACTAATCAAGTAATCTACTAATAACTACATTAAACTTGTCTTACTAGCAACTGCCAGTCACGGGAAGGGGCAAGTCTCGTGGTAGTCCTGAGGTGATCAAATAATTAAAACAAAGGCCTTCACTAAAGTATGGGAACCCTGGGAAACATATGAGAACACCTCACGGGAAGCATCCGCTGCGCTCCTTCCCCCATCCCCCTCCACCTAGAGGACCTATGGATGCTCCATGTGCTGATGCCGACCAGAGACCCCTGACCCTTTTCTTCTCTATACTCTTTTCTTTCCTTTCTTTTCTCCCTTTTGTCTCCTTGACTCTCTCATATCTGAGCTCTTGGGATTCTTTATTTCTCCTAAAATCCCCAAAACTCGGGGCAGATGGTTATTCAGGTTCCATCTTGGCATTACTACAAACCTAGTGAAGACAATCTCTTATTCTCAGAGCTATGCTTCTGTATTAACATTGCTTGCAACCTAGATCTTATACTCCCTTAACTGGGGCAACCTTAATGCCGTCTCACTACTGCAACGCTTGTACCATAAGTGATCAATGTACAACCTCCTCTGATGTCTATTGTCGCACATCTTGTTCTTTTATAATGCGACCCTGTATTTCTATTATACATGCTGAGATGTATACCCTCAATGATGTCTCCCGTGCTTTTGAAAAAAAAAAAGAAGTTGGGAGTTTTTCTTAATTTTGTTTTTTTTAAATTGGGTAGCTGGCATCTTAGGACTTCTTAGAGGTTAGTATTTACAAAGTACTTAACCTCCTACGTCTTCTGTAGTCTGGTCAGCCTATGATTGATAGTATAGCTGCAGGAGCTGTTATACAGTGTGTATTACTCATTGCTGTCCCTGCTCCTTCTGCTAGGCATTTCCGGTGTGAGAGGCTGTTAATGGGCAGATGGAAAGTGATCACTTTCTGTCCAGCCTTCCTGTCCAGCCTCACACCTTCTATAACTGTTCCTGCAGCCATGCTGTCAAGCATTGGAAGCAGACTAGACTATAGAGGACACAGGAAAATGCTCTTGGTACTTATCTCTCAAATAAAAGGCACATTATAAGTGCTGAAAAGAGGTGCTTCCTACAGAACATGCCCCTGTAGGTAGATGCCTTCTCTGCGTAATAGGTAATCAGGCTCTGTTGATATCTCTATACTGTATGAGGTATGTCCAATTTTCCTTTCCTCACAAAAATATATAAATCTAAGTATAATTATGTTACTTGTTTGTATCACATATAAATCTCTTATTAACAGGTAAGTATTTTTATTAGTTGAGCAGGCAATAAACTAGGGTTATTAGTGAGTAGCCTACAAACCAAGGTCTGTTTCCTAGTGATGATAACCTGAGTGTCACGTATTCTGAGTTGGAATTTAAACATCTTTGATCTGCAGACCCCCTAGGTGAGTAAGTAGGAGTAGTAATTTTTGATAACAGATACTCTTTGTGCACATTCAATTGTACTTATTTTTTTATATAAACATATGTTTTATAGTGTAAGAACTGCATTGAGAATGCCCCATAACTAGTAGACTGAAACATTTATATTTTTAAATAAAAGATCACAGTGTGTCTGCATTCACCATTCTATGTTAAAATGGCCAACAAGTACATATATAAGCATATGAAGTTCATTGATCATATTTTTTTTCATTTTTATTGCATTGGATTATGAATGTGTATGTTTCATATAAAATGTCGACTTGATTATGTGAAATGTGTTAATTGTTGCAAGGGAGCTTTGAATTTCCCAGTGCATGAATTGTTGGCAAAAGATAAAAAAAAAAAAGACTAATCCAGATTAATTTAACCTAAAACATCTCCAAACCTTCTCAAAGTCTTATCCACAGTTAATGCTGATGCTGTTTTCATTATATTTCAGTCAGTGAATAACCTTAAAAAGCATTGAAAACAAATATTACTAGGAAATAACTGACTATGAAAAACGTATTTAGTTATAATTCAGTTAAAAATAATTGTTTGGAATAGACTTTCATTAAAGAAACACTACAATGTCAGAAATAAAAACATGTATTCCTGTCACTATAGTTCTAAAGTTACTATTTAGGTTCCCGGTCCCTCTGTAACCAGTGTAGAAGGTGAGTTTACTCACCTTTATTCCAGCGCTATGCGGGACTGCTGTGACTGACTCCGACCCTGGCCCCGATCCACCTTCCTGGCTGAGGTGATCAAAATTGATGATCTCAGTCAATCTAATGCTTTCCCATAAGAAAGCATTGGGAGGCTATTGCGAATGCGCAGCAAAACGCAGCACTGGCCAATCAGCATCTTCTCATAGAGATGCATTGAATTAATGCATCTCTATGGGGAATGTTTAGCGTCTCCATGCAGAGCATGGAGACACTGAACGTCACTACTGCACAACCAGGAAGCCCCTCTAGTGGCTGTTAGGTGTTCCTAAGCAGTAATGTAAACACTGTCTTTTCTCTTAAAAGGCAGGGTTTACATTAAAAAGCCTGCAGGGACATGCTAAAGACACCATAACAACTACATTAAGATGTAGATGTTCTCGTGACTATAGTGTCCCTTTAAGAGCAGAGGCATGATGATAAAGTATGACCCAGAATTTACTGTACTCTATCTAATGAGAGATAATTAAATGTAAGTAGAGAGGGCTCCCTGATAGGATCTCTAATAACAATTGGTAGTTAACATTTGACTCCAATTGATCACAAAAACACTACATATTGCCTTCCCTCTTTCTCCATCTGGTGGGATGTAGGGTGGAGGAGGGTAATAAGGTCAGGGGACCTCTGACCCAGAAGTGGTTACAAGGACCAGAAATTGGCCATGCTCCTAGTCACCTACCCTAAAAAAGACTCTGACAACCACTTAATACTAAGTGTTATATACACTGATCAGCCACAACATTAAAACTACTGACAGCAAAAACAACAGCAAAACCAAATGTGAGAAAGGCTGAACTTGATGGACACGTCTCTTTTCAGCTATGTAACTATATAAGATGAAGTGAACAACATTGCTTTGGGGACAAAGAGTTCAGGGTGTTCATTTGGCCTCTAAATTCCCCAGATCTTAATCTGATTGAGCATCTGTGGGATGTGCAGGAAAAAAATGCCAATACATGGAGGCACCACCTCGCAACTTGCAGGACTCTGCCACTGAGCATAGTTAGTGGAAGAGGAGAAACAGAATCTCTTTTTTTCACTTTTTTTTTTAAAATCTTTATCAAGTACATTACATATATTTTATATTTTCATCTTTTTATAAAAATTACATCTCAATATAATCGTATACAAAAATGTTCAGATTGTATCTTGATACATTTTTATTAGAAAAATGCATTACCCTTCCCCTTCCTCCCCACTCCCCTCCACAGCCTCTGCTGTCAAGCAGGGAATATTGCTCAAATAAAACATCATAAAACCTTATAGCCCTACCAATTAAATTTTTTCCTGTGACCCAATTTCTCCAAATATGAGCTTAGTATATTAGAATTCCTATTTTTTATCCACAAACCTCTCTCCATCCCTATTTGATATAACAACTGGTTCTCCGCTTCCTGCCATATAGGAGTATCCATTGTCCTCCAATGTCTGGCAATAACAATCTTCTTCTTCATTGATTAATATATTTAAATCTCTTTGCTATTTTTTCAGGGTTTTTATTTTTATATTTTCCTCCACCCCTTCCATTATTCTACTACAATGTGCAAGCAAGCCCTTATTGTTGTTTTTTTGTTTTTTTTTAAGATTAGTTAATCTATCTATTTTATCTGTATCACCAAAATATGTGTGTTTTTTTTAAATATCCCTTTTCTCTCAGATAGTTAAATATTTTGTTGTTCAATAAACCATATTCCAGTTGTATCTGACAGAAGGGCTTTATATCATTATGAGCTATAATATTCTTAATTTAATTTAACTATTCTTAATTTTAGTTATACCAAGTACTCTCCATCTTTCTAATTGTATATTTTGTATGTTGTGTTTTAAAATCTCAATATCACTGTCCAAATCACCTTATTATTTAGGCCCATGCTTATTCTGATCTTGTTCCAATTTTGGGATATATCCAAATTGGTTCTTGGGAACAAATTTAGATTTTTACTTTTTCTTTTTTTTTTTTTTTTCTTCATTTCTTGTTGGATTTTATCTGAGTCTGTAGTTTTCCCCAAAAATATATTTAGATTGTGATTATTCAATACATTCAATTGTATACCAAGTTGTCAAAGCACTACTATTTTGTTGAGTTATTATAGCAGGGGATAATCTACTTGCCCTATATATTTGTCCCACATTTGGTATCCCCATACCCCCTTGATTAGGTTTTAACATCAATGTCCTAGCATTTATTCTTGGAGTTTTCCCCTGCCACACAAATTTTCTGAATGCTGTCTGTATCATTAGTAACCAGGCCTCTGGGAAATTTAGCAGAATAAGTCTGAAGAGGTATACCCATTTTGGCAAGAAATAAGATTTCAATATATTTACTCTACCCCACAATGAAATTGGGATTTTTTTCCAATCATTTATTTTTTTTATTCATCTGTTTTAACAAGGGTAAAAAGTTTTTTCTGATATCTGAGCTAATTTGGATACCTAAATAATTTACTGAGTTTGATTCCCACCTAAATCCATATTTATTTCTCAATATTTCTCTATCCCTCTCTACAAAATTACTACCGAGCGCAATTGATTTTTCAATATTCAATTTCTAACCTGATATCTTAGCAATTTTTTTCACAATATTCATTACAGCCTCCATAGAGCTACATGGGTCTTGTAGTGTTCAGATAACATCATCTGCATATAAATATAGCTTAGCTTGTATCTGGCCATATATAAATACTCAAATTTCCTTATCTTTCCTTATCGTAGCTGCCAAAGGTTCCAATGACATTATGTACAATAGAGGGGACAATGGGCAGCCCTGTCTAGTTCCATTTCTCAATGTGAACCATTCAGAGCTAAATCCGTAGCCCACAACCTTCGCTGATGGACTTGAATACAATGCCATAATTGCATAAGAAATTGGTCCCTCTAAACCATATGCCATACCATAGATATCTCCACCCAACCCTGTCAAAAGCTTTCTCTGGATCTAATCTAACTTTATATAGTCATATTGTCTATTATTAATTAGCCTAACTAGCCTAATTCCAATTCTTATCGCTGGAATTCAAGGGAGGTGGTCCATTCTGGCTCATTTTTCCACTACCAGATTGTATAAAAAATTACCTAAGGCTGTCCCACTAGAGATGTAAAATTACTTTCTCTAAACACCAATATAACATAAATGGCAACTAAAAAAAATGGAGATAATAAAGGTGAGAATAAATATCAAAAGAAAAAGGAAGAGAAACCTTTGGAAAAAAGGAATTATAAAGATAAAAAACTGGCCTCCATATTCTCTCCAACTATTACCAGAACCATTTCAAGCGATGCCTCATATAGCCTAATTGATGAATCTATGGCAATGGGTGATACAGACTTAGATAAATCTCATTTAGATTCCTGTGGGGAATCAAAACCACAGGTATCCACCCTTGACTCCCTAAAAATATGCTTGGACAAACAATTTGCTCGGTTACAAAAATAGTCAATATGGTCAAGAACACAAAAGAAATAATGTCAGAAGTTAAAAGACTGGAAGAAAAAAATTGAAAAAAATGAAATCCAACTATCAGAATGTAAGACTAAACTGAATACTGCTTAAGAAACAATGGCTAACTTACATGATAAAATCAAATCACTGGAGCTTAATGTTCAGAACCTGAAAGATAGACATAGAAGAATAAACCTGCGAATACGAGGAGTCACAGAGGATATACAATCTCAGGATCTGGAAGAATACCTCACAGAATTTATATCTGTTCTAAAAATTGGAGATAAATATAAAGAAATATTATTCAAGAGAATGCACAGAATATCTAAGCCAAAAGTCATTCCAGAGTCTGCTCCAAGGGATATAATTATAAGATTCCATACTTACAAACACAGAGAACTACTCTTACAAGCTTTCAGAGATGTATCCGCATTTCCACGGAAATTCCAACACTTAAGATGTTTCCCAGACTTGTCCAGATCCACAAGAATATTCAGAAGATCTTTCTATGAGACTACCACCACTGTAAGAAATAACAACATAAAATATAGTTGGGGTTTCCCAGCAAAATTGGTTGTTCACTATGAGACCTCCTCCATTGTGTTTGACTCTGCCCAAAAAGCCACTTCTTGGCAGAAGTTAAAAAAAAAAATTCTAAATGATGATAATGGTAAAATGTAGAGTTTCAATAGTTAAACTAATTTATTGCTCTGTTTATGTTTTTCCTTCCTTCCTACTATAAAGTATAGTTAATTTAGTATACCTATCCCCTTCTGTGATAAATGCACTTCAGAGTTGGTGGCATAAGATAAGGAAGAGAGGGTGTAAGAGAAGAGGGAGTAGTAGGGAGTAGACATATGGTGGGAGGGATAGGGTATGGATAGGGAGTGGAGATAATGGAATAAAAGAATTTAGATATTTACAATAATGGGTAAAAATAGTGAAATAAAACTCACATGGGATTTTTTTATAGTTTAATTTAAATTGCGCAAAGATGGAAAGTTTGACTAAGTTTGCTAGAATGGATAGATAATGTAATACCTATTAATTAAACATCATAGTTCAGATATAATATTCACACAATTTAAAGTTGGGATACACTCACAAGTATGTTTAACAAATTTTGATATTTACTTATGCTTAATAATGGATGAATGTGTATTAATATTGTAGAATAAATAACGTAACTATTCACTAGGGGGATAGAATAAAATAGGGGAAACAAGAAGGTTGCAATCAGATAGGTGGAGAGAGAAAGACAAGAGTATTATCCTACAGGTTTGGGGCCCTCACGATTAATAACTATATTGAGGAAAGATAAAAGTAATTAAGTGTATCTGTTCAAATTGGTTGAGACTAAGGACAAAGAAAGGGAAAAAAATTAATATGAAACATTAAATTTAATTGCAAATCGTACTATATATGTGACCACGCTCATTTTAAAGAAAAAAAAGGGGGGGGGGGGTTAAATATCTGCTAATATGAATAGGTAATAAGGTTTATTAAAGTAAGAAAGAAGAATCAATGCGTAGAAGAAAATGTTTTCTTTATAAATTTTAAAAAATAGCATAGGGAGGATCAATGTTAGAGGGGAATAAGATTAGGATTATAACTTTGAACGTTAAGGGTTTGAATGCTCCACAGAAACGTAAGCTTTTAGTAGATCATTTATGGAAAAAGAAAATTACTGTCTGATTTATACAAGAAACACACTGGAAAGCTAGAAACTCAAAAACAAAAAGTTTCTATTATCCAACTCTTGTCTCCTCAGATTATAGCTCTAAAAATAGAGGAGTTGCAATTTTTATTTCAAAGAATGTAACGTATAAAGAACTATATAGAGAAGTGGATAAGAATAGCAGATAAGTGTTCTTGATCTTTGAATTGCAGGGGAAAATCTACTCACTACTTAATATATTTGCTCCAAATAAACAACCTGAAAAATGTATTAATAACATATTAACCAAGTTTGAAAACAAGGTACAGGGGTCCTTTATAGTTGGAGGAGACCTTAACTGTGTGGTAGAAGTATCATTGGATAAAAAGGTTCCACAAGAAAGGAATCAACAAAATATCATTAAAAAATTGGTTCTGCAGAATGTCATATCTAAATTTAATCTATATGACATGTGGAGAGTGAAACATCCTGATGAAAAGGAGTTCACTTTTTATTCTAAACCTCACTTTTTGGTTAAAATACAGTTAATTCAACAATGTTACCTAATTAAAATTGAGGATATCACCTGGTCGGACCATTCGGCTGTGATTATGGAAATAGGATTAGATGCTAATGAACCACGATCACAATGGAGGCTGAATGAGAGATTATTTACTGATTCTAAAACTATTGATTATATGTCGGAGAGGATTAAATTATACTATAAAGAAAATACGACACAAGAAATCTCAAAGTAAATTTTATGGTGTGCCTTTAAGAGTGTAATAATGGGTTATATAATTAAATTGGGGTCTGGAAAAAAAAGGGAACAAGGCCTATCTTTAAATCAACTATACCTTGAATTCTATAATTTAAATAAAAAAATAAAATCTCCCCTACAAAGGAGTTTGATCAACAAATATCAGAAATATCCAAGAAGATCAATACTACTTTATTGGCAAAAGTGAATTGGTACTATAAAAGCAACAAAGCTGATAAAATGCTTTCCAATAGACTAAAAAATAGAAAAGCTAGATCGAGAGTCAAAAAGATCATAGTAGATGGTCATAGTTATAATGACCCAAAATCAATAGGTAATGCCTTTAATAAATTCTATGCACAACTTTATAATCTCTCCTCCAGACCCCAGGAATTAGATATATCTGAATATCTGGATGGGATTAAATTGCCAACTCTTACAGATGGCCAGCAGAAAGAGTTAAACTTACCTTTCTCTGAATCTGAGGTTAGTCTGGTAATTAACAGGCTTAAGCTGAATAAAGGCCCAGGTCCTGACGGGTATACTAATTGGTTTTTTAAGAAATTTAAAAATGAGCTATTGCAACATCTAGTAGATACATTTAACGAGATTAGAGAATCAGGTCTCCCTTTGAAAGAATTATTACAGGCTAATATCTCACTGATATTAAAATCTGATAAGGACCCAACTAATCTGGTTAATTACTGGCCTATATCTCTTATAAACTCCGATATTAAAATTTATTCTGCTGTCATTGCAAATAGACTAAAATTAATTATTCCATCTTTAATTCATCATGACCAAATAGGTTTTGTTCAGAATAGAGATCCAAGTAATAACACTCGAAGATTGACTGCCCTGATTGATTATGTAACAAGGAGCAAGATCCCTATGCTGGCCCTGTCACTAGATGCTGAGAAGATGTTTGACAGGGTCAGCTGGAGTTTTATGAACCAGACTCTGGACAAATTTGGATTTGTTGGCTCCATTAAAACTGCAATAATGGCTCTTTATTCTAGTCCAACGGCTAAAACCGTGGGCCCTGGCAGCTCCGCAGATTGGTTTACAATTTTAACAGGACCAGGCAGGGATGTCCCCTGGCCCCGCTTTTATATATTTTGACTCTTGAACCGCTCACAGTGAGCATAAGAAACAACTATCAAATTAAAGGAGTTATTCTGAATCATTCTGAATTTAAGATCAGCCTATATGCTGGTGACATAATATTAACATTGTCTGATCCGGATATATCACTAGGGGCCTTGTTTCGGGAGTTGGAAGACTATGGTAGAGTTTCAAACTATAAATTATATATTGGTAAATCCCAAGTTATACCCATCAATTTAGGTTTTACAACAATTAATCAGTTAAATATCCATTCACTTGGTCATCACAAGGTTTTAAATATCTTGGGGTTCATTTCTCTTATAGTTTAAAATAAATGATCGATAAAAACGTGGATAATCTTATAAAATATACCAGTGATAAATTACTCAAAGAGTGGAGAAACATAGGAATTTCCTGGTTGGGAAGAATAAATATCATCTAATCATATATTTTTTCTCATTGGTCATACCTGTTCAGAATGATCCCTTTATCTATAACAATATTTAAACTTAGGCAGATTCATAAATTATTTCTGAATTACATATGGGATTATAAGAGGTCAAGGATCTCAATCTTACATGTAATTAAAAAGTCCAGTAAGGGTGGCCTGGCTGTCCCAAATCTTATCAAATATTACCAAGCCTGTAGGCTGTACCATCTGTGGAGATGGCAGGGCCCAACCACAATAGAAGAGCCTTGGTATAAAATTGAATCCTTTCTGTGTAATTCAAAAGATCGTTCTAATATGTTATGGATTGATGTTGGGGCTAGTGCAAAATTCATCTCCAACATAGAAACTTCATACATAAAAGATATCTATGAAATTTGGGTAAAATACAGGAAACTAAATCACTTTTTAAATAAAATTTCTAAGTATAGTCCAATTAAGACAATGGAATATAATATGAAAGACCTACATTTAGGTAATTGGATCAAATTTGGTTAAACTAAAATAGATGATGTATTAGAATTGAATAAAATAAGGTCTTTTTCATATCTTCAGTTAAGTCTTGACCCTAATTCAAGAGAGTTATTCTCATACCTAAGAATCAAAAATTATTTGGATAACCATCTGCTTTATGACAACACTAGGATAAATAAAAATTTTAAATGATCTATTTAAAAATATTACTAAACGTAAATCGATATCTAGTTGGTATGAAATATTGAGAGAGGAAGAAAAAGAGTCTAAACCAAAAGCCTGGAAAATCTGGGAACAAGAAAGTGGGTCTCCAATCGAGTTGGAGCAGTGGTATAGATCAATTCAAGAAGTTAAAAAATCGTTGCACTGTTTAAATATCATAGCGCTCCATTATAAAATTCTTCATCAATGGCATAGGGTACCAAATATTCTAAATAAAACCAACCTTGATAATTCCAAACTTTGTTGGAGGTGTACTTGTGCTGAAGGTAGCTCTAAACATATCTGGTGGGGATGTAAGCTTTTAAGACCTATATGGAATAAGGCATTTAGAGTTATATCAGATTTAGTGGGAGATTTGGAAGATAACTCAATGGTTGCTCTTTTTCATTTTAATTTAAGAAGATTCTCAACTCAAAATAGATATCTAATAATAAAAAGACTCCATCTTGGACCCAAGTGCTAACTCAGCTTAAATACCAACACAATATGGAAAGGGAATATCTTTTCAATATGATAGCCACTTAAAATTTGATGAGAAATGGTTACCTTGGCTAGATAATCTGATATAACTATATACCTTGTTGCGTTCTCTGTTATGAATATCCTTAAATATAAAGATCACTCTAGTTCTTCCCTATGGTACTGTATGCAGGAAATTTATGAAGTAACCTAGTTATTATAGTTTAGGCCCGCCTAATCCGCTCAGTCCTTTTAAATTGTGATATTTGTGTTTTTTGTGTGTGAAGTTTACTCAACAGTTCATATATACTTCCATTGTAAATCAAAGTCTATGTTTAATTCTGAACTATTTTTGTTTGTGATGTTACATATGTAAAATTTGCAAAAAGAATAATAAAAAAAGGTTCCCCCTATTTTAGGGTGAGGGGGTAGGGAGGGGTTAATTTTTTTGGGGGAATAGGGGTGACTAGGGGTTTGTGGACCCCTAGTCACCTGGGGGGGTAACATTTTTATTTAGGGCCCCCCACGCCACTCAGGGGTGGGGGCCGAGGGGAAGGACAATAGGTCCCCCCTATTGGTATTTAGGGCCCCCACCTGCTGCTCAGGGGTGGGGCTAGGGGCGAGGGCATTAGGTCACCCCCCTTATTCCAATTTGGGGCCCCCACCCACCGCTCAGGGGTGGGGGCCAGGGGGGAGGACATTAGGTCCCCCCCTTATTAGTATTTAGGGCCCCCACCCACCGCTCAGGGGTGGGGGCAAGAGGGGAGGATATTAGGTCCCCCCCTTATTCCAATTTGAGGCCCCCACCCACCGCTCAGTGGGGAGGACATTAGGTCCCCCCCTTATAAGTATTTAGGGTCCCCACCCACAGCTCAGGGGTTGGGACCAGGAGGGAGGACATTAAGTCCCCCCCCATTAGTACTTAGGGCCCCCCACCCACCGCTTTTTAAAGTGAGCAGCCATGGGCTCATTGTTTAATAGACATGGCCCTACTCACAGTATAGCGAGTAGGGGCATAATTTACTAATACTAAGTAATCCTTACTTAGTATTAGTAAATTTGGCTGAAAGACCAATTTAGGTCTTTCAGCCTTTTAGTAGATAGCTCCCTAATACCGTGGGAATTAGGGAGTTATCTACTTATTCATTCCTGTCATTACACTGACTGGCTAAGTAACTTACATTTTATATGAATGTATGTTACTTGATTGTTGTAAGTGTTGCAAATGCTTACAGCTGAATCCTGACTATGTTTGTATACTTTTTATTTAAAATTGTATACAGTGTAACATTCTTCATTCTTCCACTGGGTAAGTATATTAGTTCTTAGGCAATACTGTACTTCGGCACTTCGGCACTTCAGCACTTCGGACCTTCGGCATTTCGGCAATTCGACACTTCGGAAATTCAGTAATTTCAGAATTTTAGGACTTCAACCATTCGGCAATTCGCCAATTCATCTATTCGGACATTCGGAAGTACCCGAATGTCCGAATTGCCCGAAATTTGTCCGAATTCACACTGGGACCGAAATAAATTGCACATGTCTACTAAGAATACGTTTGAATTCCTGATACTATAGTGTTCCTTTTATGTGTTAGTTAATGGTGTAATTTCCAGAGAAATGGCGTTTCCCTCTTAGACATTGATTTAAATTGTATTCAGATATATTATCTCTCCTCTTCTTTTTGTACTTTGTCATTCTATGTTTGTGTTTTGGTAATAAATGTAAAATGATTTAAATGATGAATCATTTATTTTATAGTCAAACTCAAAGCATCTTTCAATGATAGCTTCTAGAAAAAGTGATAGGAACATTTCAGTACTATTTTTTCAACAAAATAAAAATTAAATAAAATGTTTTGTTTATTGCTAGAAAGGAAGGCATTCACATGTCAACAAATATGGTGATAAAAGCCATGGCAGCAACAATCTTTACTGAATACAATGTAGGAAAAAGGTTTCATGCGTTCTAACATGGTGGACCAGAGTGATAAGAATAGTACAATGCATGATGCAACAATACCTGGCTAATAACAAAAAGGCTTGTCTTATCAGGGCTAGTCTGCATGTTTCAAATAGGAAACAATACAATTCTGTTATTATCCAAAAAGCGTTGTCATTGAAAAAACATCAATTTAATATTTTTGGATACACTTTTGAAATTGTTATTTCAAAAAAGTTGATATTTTTATATTTTTTCAATATATTTCTTAATTTATATTTTTAAAAATTATTTTTTGAAAGCTATTCCAAAAAGAATAAATCAATTGAAAAGCGTATCCACACATTTTATATCGAGGCCTCTGTACATTATTGGTAGGTATCTTAGATTGCACAAGTCTCTTACGTATCATTTCATTTCCCCACTGTAAAATGCATGTAGCTCTAGTAGAGCACATTACTGCCCAGCATGAATTCCACATAAAGGAAAATGCAGCTCACTGTTTATATTAAAGGAACACTACAGCACACTATAGTGTTTAAGGTGCCACTAGTGCCACGGTGCCTGCCAAACTCCAGCTCTATTGCCAATGAGAGCCAATGCTCCTGCTAGGAGTTTCCATTAGATTATTTGACCTTAATAGAAGGAAAAAGTATATACAGTATATAAACATGTAAATATATTTATTTATTTTTTACTAATTTTCCTCCTATTGGTTACTTTTTCTCACTTGACCTGTTAATCAAGTGGCAGTAAAATAGCCTGTCATTGTATTGCAAAATAGATACATAATATTTACATTGTTTCATTGTGCTCTTTTCTCTTTATTATTTGTTTTACAGTGTTATATTCAATAAACCTTCTGCTGTATAAACATGTTTTTATTGTTAGTAATACGGCTTTGTTTTACTTTAAAATGTGTTCTATTAAACTAGGAATTCTCTAGAGTGATTTCTATACATTAATACTGTACCCTTTGTTAAGGTCATTTGGGATTCCCACCAAAAGTCTAAATAAAATATGTTTTTATAATGTATTGATGTTAACATTTATACCAAAATAGAAAATTTTAATGGAAATATGAGGGCAACAGTATTTTTCTTGACAAATTTTAATGGTGGAATTAAAAAAAAAACACTGTATTTAATTTCCTCGTAAAATTGGCACAATAGGCTAATGTATAGTTTTCACTTTTATCATGTTATTTCTTTTTGCTGTGTTGTGTACTTTTTTCCCCTATTATTTTAAAAAGGTCCATACAGCACCTGGTTTGCTGATTCTACACGTACTAACTTCCACGGCGTAAGATGCATTGTCCACACACAGCTGTTTTCTTGTCATTCTGAGGAGCCCGCCCTTCTGATTTGTTTTTTCCCATGTCTTAACCTTAGAAGATATTGAAACCTTTGCCAGCATTGTACATGAGACTGTGTCTGCCTGCCTGTCTGAATGGGGCGTGCTCACATAATTTCCTACAATATTATTTTCAACTTCCCTTTTCACTATTTATAGATGGGAGACAATGTAAATTATTTTACATATACTATGAAAAGACTCCATAACTGGGAGAGATAAGGACAAACTTGTTCTAAGAGCATAAAACCTCACAGTTGGATAGGTGACAATAATAAACAGAATTATTTTTGTTTTGCCAGCTGAAGGATTTTACTTCCAATGGTGTAGTGTCATTATAAAAAGATACAAACATGGTGTATCTGTGTGTAGATCAAATTTAAAGATTCATTAAATACACTGAAAGAACATAACTATATTCATGCTAAAAGCATGCAATGCTGATGAGGCTTTGTCAAATTATTCTTCTGTAATTATTTTTTATCAACTCATCTTTCAGGATGTGGCACATCATTAGGTCAAGATAAAACAACAAGCATCACCTCAGGAAGTGATACTACATTAACAGTAGTTGAAACTACAACTAAAGAAACCACCACGCCAGTTTCTACTACACAAGGTCCTAGTGCAGCAAATAGTGCCACCAACACGCTTTCTGTCACCACCATTCCGCAGATAACAGATGCACTTTCAACAGTAAGTGATACACCAACAAGTATTACCTCCAACAGTGCCATTGTGCCACTTACATCATCTGCTTTGACTGTTACTAAAAATGTGGACACAAGCAATCTTACTGGAATCACGACAACTAAACCAACAACCGAACAGATCTCACAAATTACAACAAACACAGGTGAGTAACATGGTGAAACTTTAATTCATATAACGGAGTGGCAATGTTTCAGACACAGATAGATAAATTGGAATTGTGTCTTCTAATGCAGGCGTGTTATGAGTCTAAGTCTGGATATGTATATAAACACAGCAAAGCTGGACACACACAAACTTGCCAGTGGGTGTGTTTTTGGAGACATTAGGGGTCTTTTATTTATGAAACCATTGACCTTTTTTTATTTCCGAATAAATGCCAATCAGAGAGATTAGTTAATGTTTAATGAAGCTGTACCTGATGGTCCTGGGTGAGAGAAAACGATCAAAGGTTTCACCAAAATAAAGTAATCACCTCGTGGCTTCCTGAGCAAGAGACAGTCCAGACACAGTACAGCAATGTTAAAGAGACACTCTGGGCAAATGAACAACTTTTAATGTATCTGATAGATTCTGTCATTAATATAAAAATACTGTATTTTTTTGGACGCTGAAATATGTATAGTTTTTGCAAACAGCATAAAATATTTTGTAGCATTATGCACTAAAACCTTTACATTACTCACACCCCCTATTTTAAAACACTTGCTTCATAACTCCCATATATAACTCCCAAATATACACATCACAGCTACTGACAGCACTAGCCAATCAGCTGAGCTGCAGGAAGCCATGGACCCAGCACTACAGGAAAAGGACATCCAGGAAGACATTTAGAGAATATATTTCACATGTTAGCCTGTCTGTCGGTGCATTTGCCTCCCTTTGCAGGTAGTTATACTTCCAAAGCAAAGTAGCACAATACTGAAAAGTAGGTGGCCCCACTAAGAGTGCACCTGTTGTGTATACGTCATTTGTGTCACGCAGTGATTGCCCTCACTCAGTGGTGTATTTAGGATTTGTGCTGCCCTAGGCAGGACAGTGCTTGGGAATCCCCCCTAATTTCAATTTTCCCCACCCCTTTTTGTCAAGGCCTCACTTTGACTGACAGACGCTCACTCACTGACAGACGCACACTCACTGACAGACGCATACACTCATTGACAGACACACACTCTCATATACACTGACAAACAACGACACACACACTCACTGATTTGACACACTGACAGACAGACAGACACTTTTACTTGGACACACACTGACAGACTCACACTCACTGACAGATGCATGCACTCACTGACCGACACATACACACTTACTGACCGACACACACACACATTCACTCACAGACACACACTCACATAGACACACTCACATAGACACACACACTTACAGACACACACATACACACTTACAGACACACTCACTTACTTACAGACACACACAAATTCACTTACAGACACAGACACACATACACATTTCTCCCAACACTCACAAATTATTATTTTTTTTAAATGTGGATTGCTTACCTCTGGATCAGTGGGGCTGCTGGTCGGGCAGGCAGGGGCAGACAGGCTGAGTAGGCGGCGAGGGAACTTTAATCTTCCTGCTCATCTCCTTCGCGCGCCGCTTAGTGATGCCGGAAGCCGGAGTGACGTCATATTCCAGCTCCCGGCTTCATTATGCAGTGCAGAGGGAGCTGAGCAGGAAGAGCTCAGGTGAGCATGCTCCCTTGCTGCCCACCGCCCGCTGCCCACCTCATGGGGGGGCTAAAAAGTGGCCAGCCGGCCAGCTCTTGAGCCTCCCAGGACATGAGGCCAACAAAGGATTTGCCTGGGCTTTTTTTGCTGCCCCCTGCAAAGTACCGCCCAAGGCAGTTGCCTTGTTTGCCTCGCAGAAGATACATCCCTGCCCTCACTTACAGAATATAGAAAACCCACAATGGAGTGTCATATGGCATATAGACATATTGTCGTGCCTGATAGATAGATAGATAGATAGATAGATAGATACTGAGTCAGCAATAGCCAAGGATTATAGAAATACAAATATAAGAAGCCATAAACAAGCCATGTCAGGAATCCAGAAATGCATAAAGCCAATAAAAGCCAGGGTCAGTATCAGAAATAAAAGAGAGACTTACTGAGCACACTACCACCTACACCACCACCCACAAAAAGGTAAGAGTGAGTACCCTGGACGCAAAACCCCAGGGGGGTGCAAAACGCATCCAGGGTACTCACGCTTACCTTTTTGTGGGTGGTGCTGTAGGTGGTCTTTCTCACGTCTGGCAGCAGCAGGTATCACAACTACCTAATATTTAATTCCCTAAGCGTTCCTTTTTGTGTGTTGTCCTTGCTTGGATATCTGTATATTCATCTTGTGATTATTATATGCTGTTTGCATTACTCAATATTCCTACTCCTATATTCAACTTTTTGGAGTGCTGCCGTGACTTTTTTCTGCCATACATCGCTGCAATTTTTATATCAATAAATGTGCACGTTTTCATTATTTCTGTGTATTTTTCTGTGGATCATCATTACTCCTGAGTGCGGACTGCATTTTGGTTTTTTTTGTTACTTACCGCATATGTGGGATAGTCCAGCACCAGAATTAACCCTATCAAGGCTTGCTCTCAGGATTATTTCACCTGACATTTAAGACACTTTACTTGGAGTTGCGATATCGTCTGTGGGTGGGTTTCATACCACACAAACATATTTTTTGTAATATTTTGTCACATTTTAAACACCCCTAAAGAAAATATGCACCTGGTCATGTAAAATTATTAATATTAGTATTAAAAACATCTACGGATGAATGGATGGATGGAATGACAGACAGAGCTGTGTCTATTAATATCTATCTATCTATCTATCTATCTACCTTAATAATGTATAAATGGACAGAATGATAGAGAGACAGATAGATAGACAGACATGCTTGTAAATAGTTTATTGTGCTTTGTGTACTAAAAAAGATATTCCTTGCTACAGTAACATCTTAAACTTTACATATTTCGATAGCAAACACTGCAATAAGCAATGCAACAGGAACTCAGCCAACATCTGGGGCTCCCAGCCAGCCGTCTCCTCAGACAGAAAATTCGACATCAACTGGGCAGAATCCACCCGGCAACACAACTCAAACACCTGTACCAAACATACCCTCTTCAACAAGTTTAACCAGCAACAAAACATCTGAAACTCCTAACAAGACCTATGAAAGCACTACCAAATTGACATCAGTTATAACAAACCCTAGCCAAATCTCTCCAAGCCCAAGCCAAAATGCTACTAGCACTAGCCAAAACTCTGTAAGCCCTAACCAAAACATTGCAAGCACTATCAATAGCCCTGTACATCCTGCTGTTCATAAAGAGACAACAGCCTCTGTCAGCCCAACTTCTACGAGAAGTGTAACTCCAGGACTCGGCTCTGCTGTCCCAAATATTAACAAATCTACTGTGGCTTCTGGAGAACACTTTCAGGTAAATGTACAGTAATTCTGTTAATAAGTACTTCACGTGAATATTAAAAGGTTACTGTAAGCACCATGACCACTTCACTGATTTTAAATGATCATGGTGCTTTTAGTCTGTTTGAAACAGAGAAAATGTACTTTGCTACCGGACGAGAAAGCCCACCTACTTCCAGCAGCACCATTAGCTTGCCCAGAATGTCTCTCCCTCTCCATGCCACCCAAGGTCTCCCCTTTCAAATGTTGGAAAGTATGATTTTACTAATAATTGCAACTCGTGCTTACCGGAATTCAATGTGGGCAAATTAAGTCTGATAAATAAGGAAACTTACAGAAAATAAATCTACAGTGTACTAAGTGTTTTGTTTTTTGGTTTTTTTCTTTTTCAGATTATTTGTCAAAACGCAATTTTCAATGACTCTCAACTAAAGATAATAGTAAAAAAGGACAGCACACAGAAATGTGTAAGTATTGCAGGTACTTTATATTAAAAGCATGCAGTCTCACTGAAAAAAAATATTATCCAATGTTTAGTATTTTTATTTCGCACACTTTCTGTTATTAATTGATTTTTTTTTCCATTCATTTATGTAATTATTCTTTTTTTCTGCAAGATGCCTAGTATATTTTTCTAATTAGATGTAATTGTTTATTTTGAGGTATATTTAAATTGATATATAAATACTGTGAGTATTAAATATTTTTATAACTTTTTGTTATATAATTTTCCCTCTCTTTTCATTTTGGGTTGGGCATTCTCATTCAAAAATTATTCTACATTTGTTTGCCTAGTGTTTATTTTAAAATATAAAATAAAAAAACAATCATCAGTACATTTATGTATCAGACACAGTCCTATTTATGTTCTGGTGACATAGTGCCACCTGGTGGAGGTCAGTGGTCTAGTTCTAGGTTTAGGCTAGAACTGTAGAGTCCCTCTGTCATGAACCACACCACTCCTAGGCAGGCACGTAACTTGCTTCAGTTGGTGAAAGGATTAGAAATCACTATTAGTATATCCTAAATAAAAAATAGTGATAAAAAAATCTCTCTTAACACCACCCACACTTATAAAGCTGCCATCGCCAAGGCAATTTATAAATAGGGTGCCTTAGGTTACCCCAGCAAATCATATTTAAAAACTCTCAAAACACATTTTATCAAAATGTCTACAGAATCACAGTATTATTCTATGAGTCTTTTCGGTAATGTGGTTCTCAGACAAGACGAAGGATGAACTCATCCAAGGTTGTAGGCTGGCCCCCTGAGGAGGAGTGGGGGAGTGCAGGAATCCCATTTCTTTTATGTATTCCAGTATTACAAAAATTGGCTGAAATGTATAATGCAGTATATTAGTGTAGAAGTGTTTCTGATCTATTTGTAACAAGGTCAGATCATCGTTTAAAACAGACAATTAATTTCAGACTAAGCATTATACATATGTGATACGTAATGCCCTGAAAAACAAATTAGTATCTAAAATTTCCAAACTTTTCAATGAACCTTTACTGAACTTGCAATATAAGTGTTGTGCCATTTGTCAAGCTCTCTCAGACAGCCTAACTGATAAGGTCTAGTTATAAATATAACTGGACTTCAGATGCCAAAATTCATCCACACACTGTTTGGTTTACAAACTGGAATATAAAACATGACTTTATTGCTAAAGCATTTCAAGGTATTTAATAGACACCAACAAGATGTAATTACAAAACAAAGTATAGGTGGTGCTCAATAGTCAAAAAGTAGGTGCAACTAATTCACCCAAGTATATTGTCACTAAATATACTTAGAGAAAGGAAAACAGTGTGAAGCTGAAGAAAGGTGATAAGCGCACACAAATAAAAGGAATTGTTACCTTATACATACATTCCTCTTTTTATAGATAACACAAACATTTACTATACAGAAATAAAAATAAAACACAACATAGTGTAATCTGTATAAATGTTTCTGTAAGTAGGTGTCAGAATTAGGAACACTCACAATTTTCTAAGCCCATTAAAGTTGGCTCTGGACTTATAGAGCATGTATGTATCCTTAAAGACACAAGGTAGCTTCCTCCAATAATGGGGTCCCAGAAAGTGCAAGATTGCTGGAATCAGGAACTCCAAGAAGAGGTAAGTTGCTAAAAACTATTTATTTTGATGAAACATAAACATAAAATATGCACAATGCGTTTCAACCCTACAGTGAGTCTTCCTCAGGTGCTGTTGAATATTGCACTGGTCCAAACATATATAAATGTATATACTAATGAAAAAAAAACACTCCCATCTCCATATATGGCGACATTTCCGGTTCGTGCACAGTGTCTCCGCCATATTAGTAACCTCTGATATGGGTAATCAAGTTAAGCAAATAGGAGATGGACATTTAAAATATAAACACATAAAAGAAAAAACTCTTTCTGATCTGAGGTTCAGTCAGTTGAATACTCTCCAAGGTCTTTTTCAATAACCTCTGTCGTCGTGTACATTCCATTACATAATTTCCTGTGATGCATCTGGTTTGTATGTTGGTTGCCAATAAGTCACTTCCTGTGACGTCTATGTGCAGAATGATTTTCTCCACGGATAGTTGCATTGTCCAAAAATGTAATCGTTCAAATAGGTGACTGATACAAATGAAGTCCAGGAGTCTTACAAGCCCGAAGCCACGGGTGCCATATATGTTTAATCCCTTTGATGCTAAAGTGCGTAACTCGAAGATCCATTTTGATTCCTAAATACTTAACTTCTTGGCAATATACCCCCCTCTCCAGTGCATGTTCACTTTAAATCTAGACCAATAAAAGTAAGAATAAGTGAACATATCCAAAACATCCAAAAAGGCTTTTTAAATCAGAGTCTATCTAGACATTTTTTAGAAAAACATAGGTCAGATCCTAAACATCTAGAATTCTGTGCAATTGAAAAAATAAACATGCATTGGAGGGGGGGGGGGGAATATTGCCAAGAAGTTAAGTATTCAGGAATCAAAATGGATCTTTGAGTTGTGCACTTTAGCTCCAAAGGGATTAAATATTGATTTTGAAATCAACCCTATCTGAAATATCTTCCTTCCCCTTTATTTCTCCTTCTCTATTGAAAGCTATTATGAACTCTTTTTTTATTTTTATCTTGGGTTTCAAGTTTTAAATGTATATGTTTTAGAACACACCCCCCTTTTTGGATAAGTGTTCTGTTTTAGTAATTACTATTTATGGTTTTATGTTTTAACTCTTATTTTTTTGCCCCTTCTTTGATATATTATTCCGGATTTTATACCTTTTAGTTTTTTTTTCAATTTGACAATTTTTATTGATTTTTCTGGACACAGAAGAAAGATAGGGTGAGGGGGGAAACAACAATCCTGACATCGCCTTGTTTGGGTTCGGCTTGTCTTCACATCTATTGTATTCTCTAAGCTTCATTTATCTTTTCGGTGAGTGGTAGTTCGGGTGCAGGAAGGGAGGGGGGAGGGGTACAGAAAGAAAATGGGAAGTTAAGCGGAGGGGGGAGGAGGGGGATCCGACACATTAATTTTTACTGGTCGTGTTACCTTGCCATACTAACCAGTGTCACCCTTATGACCTATTTTCTTTCCCTCTTGTCACTCGGATCAACCGTCTCTAGGGCCTCTCAGTGGTCTATTCTCCTAGTCTAGTTACCAACTTTTTGTGATCCTTTTTAGCTTTGTCTGCATTTGTGGACCTGCATAGAGGCGTCTTTCTGTTTGTGTCATTAAAACTATAACCTATAAACTAAGTACATGTGGGTTAACAGGCCCAGGGTGGGCGGCGGTCTCTATTCTCCTGACCAATGCGGCGTTCTTTCTTACTTTCTTTCCCTTCCCTATGGGGGATGCTTTGTCCCAAGAACATATTTTTTTTTTCCTCCCAACTCCCTGTACCCCTCCATCTTTGTTACCCACTTCCTGTGGGCCAAAGTGGCATGTTTGTTGGAGGGATTTTGTCTGTTCAATCCCTGTTCGTACTCCAGATTCGTGGTTATGTGCTGAAGCAGAGCCTCTTTTGTAGGTGCTTGGGCTGTTTCCACGCCCTTGCTATCTGGTTATTGGCTGCCACCAGGATATGAAATAGTAAACGGGAGTCTGTTCTGTTGAGCTCTTCTAAACCCATGAACAAGAGTCCACATTCCGGTGTTATCCTGATCTCGCTACCTAGTGCCCTTCTCGCTATGTCCTCCACCTGCCTCCAGTATTTAGCTATGATTGGACACTTCCACCACATGTGGTACATCGATCCCACCTCCCCTCGACATCTCCAGCATGCGCCGGAGGAGTTAGGGTAAATTTTTGCCAGCCTCTCGGGTACCATGTACCAGCGGTATTGGAGTTTGCGCATCTGCGGATTTTATACCTTTTTAAGTATGGAGCCCGTGGCTTCGGGCTTGTAAGACTCATGGACTTCATTGGTATCAGTCACCTACTTGAACAATTACATTTTTGGACAATGCAACTATCCTTTGGCGATAATCATTCTGCACACAGACGTCACAGGAAGTGACGTATCGGCACCCGACATACAAACCCAATTCGTCACAGGAAATTACGTAACGGAATCTACACACACGACGACGGAGGTTATTGAAAAAGACTTTGGAGAGTATTCAACTGACTGAACCTGGTATTAGAAAGAGTTTTTTCTTTTAGGTGTTTATATTTTGATTGTCCCTCTCCTATTTGCTTAGCTTGATTACCCATATAAGAGGTTACTAATATGGTGGAGACACTGTGCACGAACCGGAAGCGTCGCCATTTTGGGAGTTGCCAATATGTATCCGGTCCGGACCATATTTGGAGATGGGAGTGTTTTTTGTACAATATGTGTATGTTATTGTTCATTAGTATATACATATATATATATATGTTTGGACCAGTGCAATATTCAACGGCACCTGAGGAAGACCCACTGTAGGGTTGAAACGCGTTGTGCATATTTTATGTTTATGTTTCATCAAAATAAATAGTTTTTAGCAACTTACCTCTTCTTTGAGTTCCTGTTTCCAGCAATCTTGCACTTTGTGGGACTCCATTATTGGAGGAAGCTTCCGTGTGTCCTCAAGGAGACTTACACGCTCTAAAGGCCAGAGCCAACTTTAATGGACTCAGAAAATTGTGAGTGTTCTTAATTCCGACACCTACTTACAGAAACATATATACAGATTACATTATGTTGTGTTTTATTTTTTATTCTGTGAAGGGAATGTTTGTGTTATCTATAAAAAAGAGGAATGTATGGTAACAATTCCTTTTATTTGTGTGCGCTTATCACCTTTCTTCAGCTACCAACAAGATGTGACTTATTGCTTCCCAGACACAGTTCACCTCTTAGGTGAATAGTTAAATGCAGTCATATTAACCTTTACCATGCTGTAACCAATCATAAAACCTCTATTTGGTACCATTGCATGCATCCACTACACACATCTTATTAGTTATCCATATTTTGACAATGAAAAATGAATACACACAACATTAATTGACAATATTTTTTACAAGGAACAGTGAATCATGCCCACTGGCCATGCCACCCTCACCAGCAATACATATTGTTTGATATCTTTAACTTTGAGCTATATGACATAGAGGTGCAAGTGTCCACTTAGCTCTAATTCTCTGTAGAAATTACATGAGCAACAAAACAAACAAAAAAAAGATACTGGGCCCTGCAGCAACAGATAAAATAATCATGAAAGATTCATGATTGACTCTGGCTAAAGATGATCTATGTTCCTATCACAGTATCAAGTATCATCTTATCAAGCAATGGACAAAGGATACATAACAGTGATAAATTCCTTAAACCGGCACTGTCATGCCAAACTTACCTTTCCCCAATCGCTTCCTCTTCTCTCCCTCTCTCAGGATCTGTTCTTCTGTTTTTCCTATCTGATATAGTTTTCTTTAAAACATAAGACAAAGCAGGGACTATTTTGTCTTTTGTACTTTTCCTACGCTTGACCAGCTCAAGTGGGTCAGAAAAATTTCCCCACAATTCTCACCCTTTCCTCCGTGATCTCGCGATGCCTGCTTTTACTAATCCTGAACGTCCTGAGAAGTGGCCTGGGTGCCTATAGTGGTCCTTAAAGGGGGATTAAAATCTCCCTTCTGCCCCTACTCGCTATACTGCTATACATACTCGCTATCCTGGCTGCTCAATGTTCACTCCTGTGTAAAAAAAAAAAGACCCCTACTCCTATGTAAATAATGAAGAGACATAGTGTCCCCCCTCCTGAGCCCCCACCCATTTTTAACAGACTGTTAATATCATACATTTTGAAATGGGAAAATGCAAATACACTTTATTTAGTTTAGTCTCCTTAGCAGCCCTTCCCAAACAACTGGTCGTCACAACTATAGCAGTCTTAGTGTATTGGATAGTAGGTAGTCTGTTTTAATTCTCATTTTGCCAGCTAAAATGTAATACTAGTAGATCTACTTCAAGACCAGGGGTAGGCAACCTAGGGCACTAGTGCCATGCACGACACTCGAGGTGCCTTTGCACAGCACTCAAGGCTGCTAAAACCAAACAGGCTCTGGCCTATCAGGAGTCCCAGTAAAACTTCAGATATCTGCTAATACAAAGAGGTGGTGAAGGACAATCCTCAATTTATGCATTGCAGCATGTAGAGGAAGTGATCTCAGAGCACTTCATTCCGGCACTTGTGAATGGGAATCCACACAGTAGTAGAGCAGCTCGCAGTTGTTGTTGCAGCTTCGGTCCTTGATCTGTACCTGGCCAACATGGTCCCCACTGGAACACACACTGCTAGATATACACAGAAATGCAGAAAGACCCTCCCCTCATACAAATAATACGGACAGCCCACACACATACATACAGACACACAATCCGCACAAACGCAACACCACTAACAATCCACATACATGCACACAACCCCACATACAGCTTCTCACATGCAATACCCCAAACAGCCCCCACACATACACACACTACTAAACACACAATGTGACATATCCATCCACACACACAATTCCACAAGCTGCCCCCATACACAGCCCACATTCATATGTATCATACATGATACCACAATCTACTCATGAACATATACAATATAATAGCTCATATACGCACAAATACAATGATACAAAGCAATTACAGTATAAATAACACAAGCAGAATACGGCAGCATACACACTTCAATTTAAAAAAAAAATTAAATAGGACCGGCACGCTACGGGACATCACAATCCTATATCGGCACAGTGCTGCTAAAAGGTTGCCTACCCCTGTTCTAGACACTTAAAAATAGAACTTATGGAAGCTCTGTAATACCAGCTTATCTTATGTGATGAACAAAAATAAAAGTTATATATAAAAAAAGAGCTTATGACTAATTTTTGCTACTTTCTAAATGCCAATTGAACCAGCTCAACAATGACTTCATGCCAATGTAACCTGAATGTGATATCATTAATCCATACCTAATATTTTAATTTATCTGTTTGGCTCTGTTCCTAAATAAACAAAATCATTACTCATTTTGTCCCACTGTTACATCCAATATGTTAATTAAACTTGTCTCCTGATTCATCATATTTCTTGGTGTTCTCAAGTAACTATGCACAGGCATTTCTACGTTATATCACTTCTATTATTCACAGTCAGAGAACAGTGCAAATGTAGTAGTCCATTTCCCTAAGAAAAACAGGTCTGTATGAGACACCTTAGCTCCAAAAATCTGTGAGCCAGGCCATCCCTATGACTGGGTAATGAGAGGTTAAGCTCCAAAATCATCAAACTTTCGACAGAATATCTTTCATTTCTTTATTGTTCGGAACTTTTAGAACCTTCTGTGCAGGACAAAAGATCCCTGGAGAGCTTTCAGCTCCACATGACATTTCTCAAGGGAGATCTTATTCCTCTGAATCCCTGCTGTAACTCACAGATAAGACTGCAAATGCCCTAAAAAAATACAAATGTACTAAAAATACACACAGTGAGCGGAGATAAGAATCTGTTTAAACTTTAAGTTCCTATAGTGCCAGATAGTCATCAGAGATAATGTAAGACATTGCTGGGTTGGGTAGTCTTCTGCATTTGTGTTTCAGGAAAACAGTGATGGGTATTAAATAAACTGCTGTGCTGCCACAAAATGGATGCCATGGATGCTCAGAATGTTTATTTAATAAGGTTTTGCAACTGCTCTACTGTGTGTGAGTTCACGCAGGATATTTTTCAACACTGCACTGCCATCTAGGTACGTAAAACTCTTCTGCAACTTAGTTTGACTTACAAGGCCTTCTCCCCTGTCTGTTACACAGTGATCTGTGCAGCATGAGGAAGCATTTACAGAGATTTGTGTAGACCTAAGTAATGCAAACTCTTTATCCCATAACTCCATAGAAAGCCATTGACTATTGTTGTCCTGTAGCTGGTGGCAAACAACCCCATATAATACATACCCATCACAGGCTGAAAATTCATTTGGCCCCAGATACTGCAGTTGGTCAATCCAGGCCCTGAGATCATTAACAGGGTTAATTAGTAAAGTGAGAAAATTAATTTCAAATATAAGGCCATAGTAGCCAAACTGAATGCGTACCTGACTTAGAGGATTTTTTCCAGTTTGGTTATTTTGAACTTAAGTTTGAAATTCACTTTGAATTCATCCTGAATTCTCACTTTAGTGAATAACCCTGCAAGATTGTGGGCTACCAGCCCCAATACAGAGTCACACAGGGCTGGACTAGCAAAAGCTATTTCTTGTCTGCCACCTCTCTAATGTACTATATGCCAATAGGCATCACAACACACCTCCATCTAATCTCAACTGCAAAGAGATCTGTGAGTATAATGTTCATGAAATAGGCCATTAGATAGTATTTGCCCCAGGTCAAACTTTGCAAGATCTAACCTGCCTAAACACCACACAAACATGCCTCAAATTCCACCAAGGCTTGGTTGCAGAAGAAGTCCTGGAAAATTCTACAGTAGACATCACAGTTACCTGACATGAACCCCATAGAAAAATCTCTGGTGGGCTTAGAAGAAGGTGATTTCAGCACACAAATCAAAGAATGCTACTGAACTGGAGGCCATTGCTCATAAGCAATAGGCTAAGATTCTTCAGGAACATTGTTGGAAGCTGGTGTCTGGCTATGCAACTCATTTTCAGCAGGTCATGACAGCAAAAGGGTGCTCCACTGAGTAATAAGATGTTTGCCATGGAGGGGCTGAATAATTATGAGAATGGAGATGTCATTGATTTTTCAGATGAATTTGGGGAACCACTGGAAGCATTAGTCGTGTTGAGCAATTTCAAATGCTTTTGTTTGATTTGTTCATTGCAAAAAGGTGAAAGTCTGTAAATTTTGACAATAAACCTGGTTTTTAATTGGGGTTGAATAATTTTGATTGTAACTGTATATATGTAGCACTTAAATGAACACCATATGCAAATAAAGTGCTCAGTGTACTTACCAAATTGCATAAAGTGCATTAGTATTTATATTTCTCAGATAATGTGCTCTCGACTAAACAATGCGAATTCAAGACAATGTCCATATCCTAAATAGTGCTTTACCAAGTGTGAATGTAAGAACTCTCTAATGTACCTACACATATATAAATGTATCATCTTATATGTGTGTACAGTGGATTTCTCACATTAATTTGGATTGAATTGTGAAGTGGTGTAGGAAGGAGACACAAAGAGTGTTGAAAGCAGTTGATATATATGTTTGTATGGTAAATGTATTCGGTCTTTAAAAAAACATTTTTTAAGCAACTTTTTATTTTACCTGTCTTAATTAGCTCAGCATTATGGCTGCAGATTTATTAAATGAAGGAGCCTGTCAAAAAACCTGGACTGGGTTTTTCCCACATAGTTATTGTAATAGAATGTATCTTGCCTAGATAAAATACTTTGTACTTGTTCAAAGTGACATAGTTACACAAATGGCTAATGGTAGCTCATGCTTATCTAGAACAGTTCTGAAACATCTCCACATTTCCATACATACAACCTTAAAGCAGAACTTCAATAAAATTTACAGCCGGGATGGAATGAGCTCCACTCTACTAAATTAAAATGTTGAGAGGTATATTAAAGGGACATTCATCAATTTAAAAACATCTGTCTCATTAAAAAGCTTTATATTTGAATGAGACAGTTCCTTCACGATACAGATTGAAACAAGTAGGTAAATAGGATTTTGTTTCCACATATTTATTTGCTTCTTATTTCTTATGCTTTTTACACCCACTCACTGGGGGAACACTGATCTAACCAATCAGTGTCCTATCCCTAGGAATGCTAGAAAACTGCAATGGGCATGTACGACAGATTTACACACTTGTAGTTGGGAGCTCATTTAACCTTGGAGCATCCTGACAGCGGGAGAGGAGAGGGAGTCTGATCAGTGTGATAATGCAGAGCAGGTTCTGATGTTAGGTTTCTCTCTCCTGCTGCTGCAATGATGTCTTGTTTCTATCATTAGTGGAATGGTCTGAAACTGCCATGGGTTGGTAAGATGGGGAGGGATTAAGGAAACTCTTCTAGCTGCGAGGTGTGCCCAATAATGCAATCTGACCAAGTTTACAGTAAGTGTATAAACACTTATTGAGTACTTTTCAAAGTATTTCTTGCTTAATTTTGGTTTGTATACTTGTTTAAAAGTGTCTGCTTACCAGTTTAACAAATCTTGTGTTTCTTTAAATAGAAATATATACAAGTTTTCATGATATTTGTTTATTGATTTCAGAATAACAACCTAAGTGATGTAAACCTAAAGAGTGCAGTTGAACAAGTGTGCAAAGCAATAAAACCTGGATTCCAGATATCCACTGACAAATGCGAGGTAGTCCTTGGCTACAATGCTCAACAAGATGATCGACTGGCAATAATGCAAGCTGTGGTGGAAAGTAAGTACAAGTAAAATATGAGATATTAATCTGAGTCAGCATCTTTTGAACGCGGCTAAGTCGCTCATCCCATTATATTGGAAACGGACAGAGATACCCAATGAAGAAGACTGGATCCGCAGGGTCGAGGATATCCAAGGAGCTGAAGCACTACAGGCATCCTTACAGGATAGAGGGGACAAACATGCCGAACAGTGGTTTCCATGGTTCACTTTCATATCACGAAACACGGGGGATTAGGACGGTGACCCGACAGCGTGCGCGGGGGCTCGGGCTTCTCCGGGGCAAGGCCAATGTGCATATTCCAATTATATGACCCTAACCCCACCCACGCCTCCAGTAGAATGGGTACATCTCTGCTACCCCACTCTACCTCTCGTTTGGTCATATATCTAAATTACCGCCAGTGAATGGTTGAATGTCCTATTGGACCCCTGCACACCCGAATGAAGACGGAGGCCATGACATAAGTTCACGTAGCTCAGTGTCAGTGCGCTCGTTACCTGTTAAGCAGAGCACAGTATCTCACGAGAAGGCATAAAACCTACTCCCACCACACCCTGATGCCGTATGAAAGGCATAAATCTAGAAAACCAAACCATGCCCCCTCCCTTCTCTCCTCTCCCTCTCCTTTCCCCCCCTTGCTATTCCTTTCTACTCAAACACTCAGTGATACACACTACTCTAGTCTCCCTGGGTGCGTTTCACACATAGGGGGACAGGCTGAGACATTACAAGCATATGGAAAAGGCGAATGTAAAATGATAGTCAGAATCTATTATAATCCACTGGGCGCGAGCCCTATAGCTAGCATTAAGTGATAAATTCTGGACCCTGAACTGGTTCTCTTCTCTTTCCATGGCCCAGTTAGGGTGTCTTTCACACAATAATAAAAAATACTGGTAGAAGGGAGACCAACAATGGCCCGGGAATGTTATGTAATGCATTGTGATTACCGCTGTTTTGTATGAAACTTTTTGTATCTTGTTACAAAATTGAATCTGCTTTCACTCTTTTCTACACAATAAAATGATATTCATAAAAAAAAATAATCTGAGTCAGGGTTGGTAACAGACTTTCACAATAGTACTGTTTTTGTTCCCCAGTCTTCCTCTTCATAGAGTACATGTTTTGCTTTGCTTCTGTGATATAAGTATATCATACTCAAAGAGTTATTCACTAAAGTCCAAATGGCCCCCTTAAAGGACCACTCTAGGCACCCAGACCACTTCAGCTTAATGAAGTGGTCTGGGTGCCAGGTCCAGCTAGGGTTAACCCATTTTTTTTATAAACATAGCAGTTTCAGAGAAACTGCTATGTTTATGAATGGGTTATTCCCCCAAATCCTCTAGTGGCTGTCTCATTGACAGCCGCTAGAGGCGCTTGCGTGCTTCTCACTGTGAAAATCACAGTGAGAGCACGCAAGCGTCCATAGGAAAGCATTGATAATGCTTTCCTATGCGACCGGCTGAATGCGCGCGCAGCTCTTGCCGCGCGTGCGCATTCAGCCGACGGGGAGGAGAGGAGGAGGATCGGAGGCAGAGAGCTCCCCGCCCAGTGCTGGAAAAAGGTTAGTTTTTACCCCTTTTCCACTTTCCAGAGCCGGCCGGGAGGGGGGCCCTGAGGCTGGGGGCACCCTCAGGGCACTATAGTGCCAGGAAAACGAGTATGTTTTCCTGGCACTATAGTGGTCCTTTAACTAATAGGTCATAAATATTTTCTGTGTGCTGTGGTTGTAAATACATTATAGCACAGTTGCTGTGTGAAGTAAAAGAGGTAATAAACTTGGAATTTGTTTGATTACATAAAAAAGCAAAGATTAAAATAATGCTCCATTAAAAAAAGTAACAGTATAGTATATTTAATTCCCCCCAAAACATGCAGTTATACAATTAGTTTTGCATGATTTCTTTGGGGGTATGTGAAATCTAATATCTGCAGCAATATATATATATATATATATATATATATATCGATAAAAAATTATGTTAGTCCAATAAAAAAGGTATTACAAGATACAAATTTTATCTGTTTTATATATATAGCAAAAGCCAAAAAGGGAAAAGGTTGTGATTGAAAATCCCTTCCACCTGAAGTCTGTGGATAGTTAATACAATGTTAAATATAAATCTGTACACTAGTCAAGCCATAAGACTTGCATTTCCCCCAGAAACCACAAATTTGCAGTGATGTTACTACCGCAAAGGATTCTGGGTGGGCATATGCGTATTAGTTTAACAAAGAATCACATTTTTGCCTCATTCTAATTTTAAACATGGATTTTACTACAGCAAAAGATTTCTGTGGGGAAAATCAAGTCTTATAGAACATGAAATATTGTTTCACAATAACTGCAGATCTAGTAGCTGCAGGTACTGCAAGCGATATCCTTCTTTCCCAACACAGACCTTCTCATCTGTGCCAGAAAGTAGCAGGGAATAAATTCAGATGCTTGGCTATGTGCATGGATGTCCAATCACAGACTTCTCAATAAGCTCCATCACAGCTCATTGAGAACTCTTCAAAGGCAGACACACTGTGCTCAGCTCCTCGACACATCCGCTTGCCTTTGAGATTAGCTAGCTGGAGTTAATTCAAGCAAAAGTACAATAAGGGTCTTACTAGCTATGTTTGGTGGCAACATTTAGCTTACTAATTCATGTTTTTCTTATGTATTTGCCATGTACATTTTGCAGAAATCCAACAGCATTATATTTTAAAACCACCTGTAAACTACCAATCTTTAAATTGATATTTCTGTTATTTGCAGCACATTTAAACGCAAGTGATCTATTTCCGAAGTTAAAGAGCATCAAATATGAGGTAAGTTTTTTTTAATTTTTCCACAATTACATATGTTTATAAATAAAGGGAGAGGTAACACGCATATACACATGAAGCATTATGGTAAACAGAATATTAAAGGTCTAAAGGGGTTCTAATAACAGTCTAAATAGCAAATTTGACTGAAAGTCATTTGGCTTTTGGATGTCACCATAAACTCCCATCTCCCTATAATACGTCAATGTTTCTCTGATATGTGTTTTTATATTTCATAGCCAATGAATAATGCTTTGATGTTTATTGCTTGGTTTGACATAATGCAAGATACACTGGATTAAGAAGATACATATTTTTTATTGATAGGGTTCTATAATGCAATCGCATGGCAATGACATTTATTTCTCAAGCTGTGTAATATGCGTCTATGAAGATTCAGCATGCTAAATACATGATAGGTAATAATTCGCTAGAGTTGATAGATTATGGTACTTCTCTTTATCGTCAGGTTTAGGGAATGACCATGACAAACTTTATGATTATATTAAAAATAAATATATGAAAATAATTGCTATACCAGAGAGAGAGAGAGAGTGTGTGTGTGTGTTTTTAATTTACGGTTTAATTGAGATGATAACATTTAATAAATGATTCTACATATCAGGGAGAGTCATATATAGTAATATTATGAAGCAAACTGGCAAACAGAAAACATTTGATTTTGTGGATTAAGAAACTAAGACAATTGCAGTAGCATTGGTATACACACTCTACTATCCACCAATTGAAGGGTATTGTGCCTATCAATAGCTTTGGGTAGTCATGTGCTCACTAAGGTAAAAGCAGGCTAAACATAGCATTAGTAGAACAATGCATTAACTGTGGTTTTACAGTGATGCAATTCACTAAGCTAAATATAAAAAAAGAAAAACCATAAGAAAAATTAGTTGAGTAAATATTGTGTGTGGCCTCCAGTGGGATATAAGACCCAAGACATAAAAAGACATAGATCAGACAAATAAGACATAAAAACACCCTTTTGCCGTATTGGAATTTATGCAAAAAAACGTTCTATATCAGGAACAGGATAGTGAATGCCTTATATACTGTGCAAAGTACAAAATGATGAAAGTCTTGTGCTGAGAGTTAATCCTTCTGAAAAGTCCGTCGGTTGCATGCTCTGGCATGCTGGGATGCCAAGGGAAGTAGTCTTGCTATGGTCAAGACAGGAACAGCTCGGTGATCGTTCACTCCTACACATTAATAATATATGGGTAAAATCCCTCCCTGCGAAAAAGAGTCAGGACCAAGTTAGCTTGTGTTCTGCTCTAGTTGAGAGTTTCATTTCCCAAAAGGGGGCTGTCAAAGTAATCCATATGTTTGGAATATGTCAGTGTCCTATAAATGGAATAAATAAATATGATGCAGCATTTTATATACTGCATTGAGCTAGGAAATTGAGTCTCATATTGTGCATCAGAGCAAATGAATGTAAGCCTAATAGATCTTTCATACGCACATCTCATTCTATGGTTTATATTAACATCACATTTGCCATATTTACATTTCAGGATGGAACAAACATGTTTGCATACGGTGACAAGGTCCCCACAGAAGAACTTGATGACTGGTTGAGCATGCCACTTATAATAACTATAGTGAGTTTGGCAGCATCTTTGCTAATTATAGCAGCAATCTATGGGTGTTGGCATCAGAGGCGGTCTCAAAAGAGAGATCAGGTAAAAATGTTTGTACAATAGTAAAAATGTTGTGAAAATTAACACGTTTGAGCTTTATGTTTATCCATGACATCATTGTTTCATAGGCTGTAAGATTGTTTGACTAGGGTCGTATTCACCTATTTTCTTTTCTATGATGTAAAGCACTGCAGAATATGGTGGAGCTATATAAATGCTAATTGTAATAATTGCCTCTGCTACTAGTATCACATGTTGAATTATGGACTGCTAATTAAAGGGACAGTATAGTCACCCAGATCACTTCAGCTCAATGAAGTGGTCTGGGTGCCAGGTCCCTCAGGTTTTAACCCTTCACATGTAAACATAACAGTTTCAGAGAAACTGCTATGCTTACATTTGGGGTTAATCCAGCCTGTAGTGGCTGTCTTCCGGACAGCCACTAGAGGCGCATCTGAGATGCTGGAGGCGAATTTCTCCTCCATCGCGCAGAGCGTCCATAGAAAAGCATTGAGAAATGCTTTCATATGGACACTTTGAATGCACGCGCGGCACTTGCCGCACATGCCCATTCGGCTCCAGTGACGTCGGACAGGGAGGAGAGGTCACCAGCGCCGAGGGAGCCCGGCGCTGAATTAAAGTAAGTAACTGATAGGGTTTTTTCTAATAATGGCTATAATGTTAAATTGTATTTATTTGTATAGAATAGACTATAGAATATATAAACTGTTTAACAGAACTAGAGTCTGCAAAAGTCTTCAATGCCTTTTTCTAGACTACATTGCTGTTTTAAAAAAACAAAAACCTTTATTTACATTTCATGTGTTTAATAGTCTAATCCATTTACAACGTTAAACGAGTGTTACAGATCACCATCTTTAGCATATCAATGTGCCACGGGAGGGGGACCGTGAGGGTGGGGGCACCCTCAGGGCACTATAGTGTCAGGAAAACCGCTTTGTTTTCCTGACACTATAGTGATCCTTTAATACTACCAGAGCTGGAGAATACTTTTCAATCAGGGTTGTAAAACATTATAGATCGGGTTTTAAGGATACATTTGACCTACCCTTTTAGATAATCAGAGTACCAGAAAGAATAAAATATTGATTCACAATTTCTGTTTTGTATATTTGGATAGAGGCTCACAGAGGAGCTGCAAACCATGGAAAATGGATACCATGATAACCCTACCCTCGAGGTGATGGAGACATCTCCAGAAATGCAGGAGAAGAAAGGAGGTCTTAATGGAGAGCTTGGGGACAGCTGGATTGTGCCATTAGACAACCTAACTAGAGAAGACCTGGATGAAGAAGAAGACACTCATTTATAAACAAATTGGACAAATAAGACATTGGAAAATCCAACACTAAGAGGCATCACATGACCAGTAAAGCAGATAAGCAGTAACCAATCTATCCCTCTTTAATGAGTGCCAAAAAAGTGAAGAACTGACTGTCTTTATTTCAGCCATGCCCCCATAATTCAAACTATACATATATACTATTCCTAACACTCAGTGTGATATGAATGCTTCTCGTGAACTCACCACTTCTAACTAGTTTGGAAAGGGATACTAATTTTAATCCATCTATGACAGAACCCTTCAAATTTGATGACTCAAAACCTGGATGGTAAACCAGGAAATGAGAAAACAATATGGAGTGCCGATTCTACTACTTTTTAAATATAAAGCACAATCTTTGGGCTCTGCAATGTACAAGTGAAATGTAAAGCAGCATACCAGTGTTCTACAAAGCCCTGAAGAAAACTGGATAAAAAAACATCCCGACTTATTTTTATATCATTTTTATTTTTGCTTTTCCATTACACCTTTTCTAAAAATAGCGCAAAAAAAGTATGACAAAGCAAAGGATTATCAAGCGGTGAAATATTTCCAAATGTGCTTTATTTTGTGTCACAAGAGCGTCGATGTAAGTCTCTCATACAATGTCTTGGGTTTTTTGTTATTGCTTATCTTGTATGAAATGACAATTGGTTCTGTCACTTCAAATATTTAGCTAAAGAGTAAATATTTTTAAAATGAGCGTCAATTTTCTCTCTGTTTCATTACTCTTTCTCTTGGGCTAACTGTATCTATGTTCAAAAAGGAATTGGAAGGTGAATGAAATGTAAATAATTTTATAGCTGCAAAGCTTTTTTTGACATATTTTGCAACGTGAATACCATATGTATTTTCCCACAATTTCACCAACTGCCATTAAAGGCCTTCACAATTCTGCTTCATATAATGTAATTCAAACGTTGGTTTGTCTGGAATGAAAAGACATAGCAATGCATTCCCAAAAGACATAGCAATGCATTCTACATCAGAGTGCTCTGAGGGGTTTAGATAACTTCATGACAGTAGGGAATTCTGGGAATTATATGAAGCTTTGACAAGTGCCACTGAGAGATCTTCTGTTCTGAATTTCTTTCATTGTCACGCATTTTGAACTTGACTTATTTTGCATGGTAGGGCCACTAATTTATACCTTTCTAAAACACTAACTTAACGTGCTACATAGCTTTAAAAACAGGCAAACACTAAATGTGGTTTTTAACTACTTCTGAAGCAATATAAGTTTCGGATTTCATAATATTTTAAATTATATATTTGTATTCCAATAGTTTGTACTTTAATGTTGTTGTCTTTGGTCCTGTTGAAAAAAAATACATTAGAAGTGAAAAGTAAAAGTTTATCTGAAACAATGCTTTAAAATAATTCTAGCCTTAACACCTTTAAATTAAATGACGTGCCAGGGCTTTTGTAATATCATAGGATGTGCCAAGTCCTTTGTCCTAAATGAGTTAATCAGTGACAGGTCTACACAGCAAATCTATGCAAAAGTAATATAAAGTATGAGTATGTAGTTTTGTGTTGCTGGTTTGTTTGTTTTTTATTGTGGTGGGTGGGGGTGGGGAGGGGAGTGTTTATTTTTTTTTTGTACTTGTAATTGATCCTGTATACAAAAATGGACATATCTCAATTCTTGCTCAAGTCAGAAATAGGGTAACCCTTAGAAAAAGGTTGTAATCTACACCTATCTGAAAGACATGTAAAAAGAGTGTGATTAAAAGTTGATGTATGTTTTTTGAAAATGCTTTTTTTGTGGTAGTATACACTGATGAGACAATAGCCCCAAAACAAATAGACATAAAAAAGGTCTATTATCCAGGCCTTGTACAACTGAAAAACAGCTACAATTTGAAATCACATAGAATGGATTTTGCTACATTTTCTACAACTTCCAAAAATCTTTCAGTAGAGATGGGTGGATGTGCCTAGTTTACCTGTGCAGGATTTATTTGTATGTTTATTGTGTTTCTCCTTATTTTTACTACTATGTGTGTCTATAGGAATGACTATTTTGCTTGTGCAGGATATCAGTGAAGTAGTAACAAGAGTTCTCACAAGGTGAAATTACTAATAAAAATAGAATGGTCAAATTAAGGAAATGTATTCACTAAACAACAAGTTATAGTGAATTGAAAAGAAACACTGAAATGCCAAATTTGGCACATATACCACTTCACTAAGATGAAGTGATGTGGGTATCTATAGTTTCCCTTTAAAAAATAAATAAAACTTAAACTGTCTTTTGAATACAGCCCTAGAAAACATTTGATTGGACAATGGCCAGGAATGGCCATGACAAGAAACTAAGTGCTGGAAATAGTGGTGAATCTTCATTAGCTAAAGACGCCAGTCAAGTAAGTTTTTAGAGATTGGGAAATATTTGTTAAAATTTTAGTAAATGCAGATTTTTTAATTCTGGTTTTATTTGTTTTGCAACAATTAACTATAATGCAATTTAAAAAATTAATTTTATATATATATATATGTATATATATATATATATATATATATATAAAGAGAGAGAGAGAGAGAGAGAGAGAGAGAGAGAGTTTGCTTTTAATGTAGAATACTCAGCATATAGCATATTATTCAAGGGTTGCTAACTACATTAGTTTTGCCCTTTATATAGCCCAGCTCAAAACTCACTTTCCTTTCTGTTTTTTGAGAAAACGTTTTTGTAGTAATGATTGATTTAACGGTTCGTGACAAAGCTCCCTATGTTGATATGTTGTTAAATAATTTAAATTAAAAGCCAATTAACAGAAGGCATAGGCAAAAATGCAAATTTGTGATAATAGGTGATGCCACCTTGGATTCTACACTATACTGAGCAAACCTTTAAAAAAAACGGTAAACTTAGAGAAGCACTTGAGAAGTGGCCCAAAATGTCTGTAGAGATGTCACAAAAGGGATTGAAGGATATCAAGAACAATATATATTGCACATATGCACTATCTGACTTCTCTCAAATAACCCTTGGAAAAAGGGGAAACATGTTTTTTTTAAAGGGAAGAATTTGACTGTGACTATTGTATTTTGTTTTGTATTCCAGAAATATATTAGCAACTTTGTATTGTATCCTTCAGGAATATGTACTTGATTAATAAGGATTTATTGTTATTGGAACAGGGGTCTGTTACACACTGGAATTGTCTGAAATTGATTGTCACACTACATAATAGTTTCTACAAATTATATTTTGAAAACTATGTAAACTGTTAATAAACTTTTTTTTGCCTATAGTATTTTTTTCTTGTGTGTCATTATTTATTTAAAAAAAACAGCCCGACACACACACATATTTGTGTCATCAATATGCACTGACAGTTATTAATACATACAGCTGTTCACACTGCCAACACCAACAGGCAGGTAATATTTATCCAATCCAGGTATTCCTTTTTAGTTTGAAGGAACAATCCAAGCACCATAACCACTACATAGTATAGTGCCAAAAATGCCATGGCACCTCTCCAATGCAAGTACTTAAAATGTTCAGTAATAGCTTGACTTATAACCTGGGGTTTTCTGGTGGCCTCTTCCAGACAGTGAATGTTGATGCAGAGCAGGGTTTAGCTCAGGAGAGCTAGCAAAAGCGATGCAGAGACATAGGCGTGCGCACTGGGTGTGCCTGGGAACACCCTAATCAAACCTCCGTGCTGCACTGCTGGCGGTTTAGGCGGCCTCACTGTAGCGTGGCCGAGCCCTGTATGGTCCATGGGTACAGGGAGCATCTGTCTCCTGTACCCGGCCGGACTAACACTGAGTGTGCACTTCCTTTAAGTCCGGCCAGGTACAGGAAACAAAAGCTCCCTGCACCCGCGGACCATACAGGGCTCGGCCACGCTACAACAGAGGTAGGGGAGGGGGGAGAAATAAATTGACGGGGGAAATGTGACAGGGAGGGGGAGAGAAATAAATTGACATGGGAGGGAGAGAAGAAATTGACAGGGAGGGGGGAGAAAGAAATTGACAGGGGAGGGAGGGGGGAGGATGAGAGTGGGGAGGGAGGGGAGAAGAGAGAGTGACCAGTGGGGGGGAGAAGAGAGTGACAAAGGAGGGGGGAGAAGAGAGTGACAAAGGAGGGGGGAGAAGAGAGGGACAAGTGAGGGGGGGAGAAGAGAGTGACAAGGGAGGGAGAGGGGGGAGAAGAGAGTGACAAGGGAGGGGGGAGAGATTGACATCCATCACACACACAATGCACCCCTTGCACACAGAAAAACACACAATGCATTACACACACACACAAGCAATGCAACCCTTACACACACTGCATCCCGTACAAACACAGAAACACACTGTGCAGCCCTTACACATACAAACACAGATTCACACAATGCATCCCCTACACACTCCACCCCCTGTGAACAAACTCATTGGTGGAACATGAAGGTGGACCCTGGGACCCAGACCTTGAGCTGTGTAAAGAGCCCCCAAAAAATGGAGCTGCTTCCCATTCTCCCAGAACATTGATTTTTGTGACCACAGTTACAAACAGCCTCCAGAGAGCCTGTTCTACACCAGACCAGTGGAGCCAGACTGCAGCTAGAGCCCATCATCATCCTCATCTGGCTGTAAGTAGGCAATCTAGTATATTATTTGTGGCACTAATCTCTAATTTACCTCACATTAAAGAAACACTATAGTCCCCAGAACCACTGCAGCTTAATGTAGTGGTTCTGGTGTCTATAGCCTGTCCCTGCAGGCCTTTTAATGTAAACATGGCGGCACTGCAGCACTGGTGTTAGTTAACATGGCAGATCATATGGGTGGGGCATTGTGATGGCTCAGTGGGGGGCGGCAAACTTTACTTTTGCCTAGGGCGCCAAAAATCCTTGCACCGGCCCTGCCTAACCCCTTTCACTGCCCCTCTACCCCCCAACCACTGTCACTGCTCCTCCACCCACCTACCCCCTGTCACTGCCCCTCTACTCCTTGTCACTACCCCTCCACCCCCCCACCCTCCGTCACTGCTCCTCATCCCCCACCCCCTTTCACAACCCACCTACCCCCTGTCACTGCCCCTCTACCCCTCCTAATCCCTGTTACTGCCACCCCACTCCCCTACCCTCCGCCACTGCTCCTCCACCCTCCTACCCCGTCACTGCCCCTTCACCCCTGTCACCCCCTCTAATCCCCTAACCCCTGTTACTGCCCTCTAACCTCTGTGATTCGCCCCACCCCCTGTCACTGCTCCTCCTCCCCTTACCCCATGTCACTGCCCTTCCCCCCTGTCACTGCTCCTCCAACCCCCCTACCCCCTGTCACTGCTCCTCCACCCCTTCTACCCCTGTCACAGCCCCTCAACCCTCACACTCCCAGTCAACCCAACCCACACCCTGTCATCCTCACGGACACACCCTGTCACCCCCATGCACACACAACCTGTCACAGCCCCCCTCCGCACACCTTGTCACCCCCCACTCACATCCTATCGTCCCTATGCACACACACGGTCACCCCATACACAAACACTTTCAGCCCCCACACAGCAACGCTTGATTTCATATGGTGCCGGGACCCGCGAGAAGAGCCTTCACCCAGCGGAGCTGAAGAGGTGAAGGTTGAGAGCCCTTACAGTGCCACCGGACCACCAGGGAATATGCTGACCATCCCTCCATGGATGCAGGTAAGAAACAAGGAGGGGGGGAGGGGCGAAGTTCGTCTGAATTCACATTTGGAATGAAACGAATTGCACATGTCTATTTCTTATACACCTAGCTAGATGCCAGCAAGAAGAGGTTTGTACTAGTATAATATTCACCTACCATGCAGCAGACTCCATACCTGTATAGTTACAATTAATACCTCTCCCCAGGATGTATTTTAGTGAAGGTTGAACTGATTTATGCTAATGAGCAGTTCTATGAAACTATTCGCACTAAGCACATTGTGACAGGAGAAATTAGATGTTATTGAAATGGGGAAAAAAAAGATCCATTATAAAAAGCAATATCAGTGATGAGTTTGGAATTATTAGTTATGAGTTAATATATATGATTACCATATATACTCGAGTATAAGTCTACCCGAATATAAGTCAAGACCCCTAATTTTACCCCAAAAAACTGTGAAAACGTATTGACTCGAGTATAAGACTAGGGTGGTAAATTTCTAAATAAAATTAGATCCCCCAAAAATTATATTAATTGAATATTTATTTACAGTGTGTGTGTGTGTGTGTGTGTGTGTATGAATGCAGTGTGTGTATGAATGTAGTGTGTGTATATGAATGCATTGTGTGTGTGTGTGTATGAATGCAGTGTGTGTGTATGAATGCAGTATGTGTATGTGTATGTGATGCAGAGCCTTGGTGGGGGGCTGAGCATTTTTATTATTTTTTTATATTATTATTATTATTTAATTTTTTTTTATATTATTATTTTTATGTTATTTTATTTAAATGTTTATGTTATTTTTCTTTGTCCCCCCTCCCTGCTTGTTAGCTGGCCAGGGAGGAGGGCTCTCATTCCCTGGTGGTCCAGTGGTGTGCACTGTGTAGGAGGGGGCTGGCAGGAAGTATTTACTTACCTTTCCTGCAGCTCCTGTCAGCTCCTTTCTCTCTCCTCCGGTCTGGTCAGCTCCCCTGTCAGCTCCCCTGTAAGTCTCGCGGTCTGAGTGCCGCGCGGAGCATTGCCACTGTAATCTGTGGCAACGCTCTGACCCCCGCGGCTCTCGCGAGACTTGCAGGGGAGCTGACCGGGCCGGAGGAGAGAGAAGGGAGCTGACAGGAAAGGTAAGTAAACGCTTCCTGCCAGCCCCCAACAGGACCGCCGGGCTTGTAATGAGCCCAGCAGTCCTTGTCTGTATTATGGCAATGTAAGTTGCCATAATACAGACACTCACTCGAGAATAAGACGAGTGGGGATTTTTTAGCACAAAAAAAGTGCAGAAAAACTCGTCTTATACTCGAGTATATACGGTATATTGATTTGGTAAAAAATATACAATTCCATGACAATATGCCACATTTTACAAGAATAGGCTGTCATGACATGAATTAACAACATGTGGAGAAAGATTACATATTGAGACAGCATATCACAGCTGGATTTGCTTTTTCTTTTTTTTCAGTTGTATAACATACATTCACAGTTTAGACATTTTTTTAATAATGGACCATGTCACATGTGGTAATATATGTGGCGTGGGGCACGTGTGTTCTCAGTGCCCTTCAAGGGTATTGAGCAGGAAAAGTATGTATACTATTGGTGGCTTCATGCACCGGGTGGAGACGCTCTTGTTCTTAGTTAGATATCTGTTTGACATGATGAGGTAGTAAGACTACATTGTCTATTGAAGATTTAAGAAACGGTTAAAGTAGGGATCATAGGATCCGGTTTGGGTATCTGCCACCGCCTGACTTTTTTGCTCAGCGCGATGCATTGGTGATTTAGCATCAGTCAGTGAAGACATTGGCTAGACCAGCTTGGTCCATGGAATGCCACCGCCTGTCAGGCCGTATCTGTTCTGGCTCCATTACGGCGTTTCCGGTATGCGGGGCCGGCCCCGCCCCCTTTCTGATGCGGCTCTCTTACGCTATATAGAGAGACCGCGTCAGATTCAAATGGCTTGGTGATTCTCGGACTTACTTCCGCATTCAAACGCCGGCTAAGCTCTTCGTTCACAAAGTTACCAAACCTTTGAGTATTATAAAGGATTTTGCCTTCTCTGAACCTCTGATCACGGATTGTATTGGAGTCTCCTGAAAACCAGACTGTGTATGACATTCATCCCTTGAATTAAAGCTATACATTCCCATGGAGGACAACTCCCATCAATCTTAAGTATACTAATTAACCTAATCTCTGAAGACTTACTTACTAATGAACTGTTTCTTGCTTGATATAACCTGCAGTTAATTCCTAATGCATTGTTACTTGCATGCTATAATCTTCAGTTACTAAAATATTATTGCATTCATTAAGACTTCGCTCTCTTCACTAACTGCCTGCATCCACCACTTTCCTTTAAAGCTACAGTATCCTTAATAATTCTCTGCTTTCTTGCTATTGTAATTAAGGAGTTCTACAAGCTGCAGTTGAGTTCCAATTCTAAAACCCCTTGTAGCATAACACCGCCTAGTAGGCGGAAATGGGGAGACTGGAGGAGGGGGGAGCAGGTATATGGGATTTGAGGTCTTGCAGTTGGTCATGGTGCAAACTTATTTTTGGTTTGTGGGAGAGGGGGGTTGTGGAGGAGGTGTAATGAAGATTATCGTGTGAGTTTCAAATCCGGGATGGGGAGTTGGTGGGGATGTGCTGTTGCCAATTGGGTGCGGATTGGTTTATTGATTGTTCATGAATCTCATCCATGGGGCCCACACTGCCTGATAGAGTGGGTATTTATGGAATATGAAGGCATAAACTTATTTGATAGTTTAATAACTTCTACTTTAGTGATCCATTCCCTGATGGATATAGTTTTGGGGTTTTTCCATTTCATGGAGATGAGTAGATTGGCGGCTGCAAAGAGGTGAGTGAGGACAATGCGTTGTGTCTTGAGGAATGGGCATGGGAAGATCAGAAATACCAATGTATGTGGTGTGTGAGGGATTTGGAGTCCTGTCAGTGTTTGGATCATCTTCCCTATGCCCAGTATTTCTGGACTAGTCGGCAGTGCCACCAGGTGTGGGGCAAGGTCGCTCCAGGTTGAGAGCATTTCCAGCAAGTATCCAGTGGGGTTGGGAATAGGTTGTGTAATGTAGATGGAGAGTAGTGCCATCTTGAAAGCCTCTTGTAGCCACTCTCTTGGACATTGGTAAAGATCAAGGCTGTGTGTATCTTCTGGAAAACAGTTTTCCAGTGTGGTTGTGTGAGTTGGATGTTAAGGTCTCTGGCCCACTTTTCTGTGTATAGAGGTAGGGAGGTGTTGTGGTCTGGTTGGAGGATTTTGTAGAATGTTGAGAGTTGTTTTGTTTTGACATTGTGCATTATGCAATGAGTTTCAAAGTCGGAATGGGTTTGGGATCCTTTCAGGAGGCTGGAATTAGCTATTTGTGCAAAGTGGAACAAGTGAACCAAGCTCAGGGTCTCCGAACCTACCAAACTGGAAAGGGATTTTATGGCATTACCATCTAGTAGAGACCCTAAATTGAGGTAAGTGGAGCGTTAGAAATGAAGGTAAGATTTGGCCTGGAGTCCCGGTGGGAAGAGACGGTTGTAAGTTAGTGGGTATAGGGGAGATGGGTGTGGGGGAAATATCTGTGGCCCTCCTTGTGTGTATCCATATCCAGAGTGTCGTATGAGGGGTTTGCTTTTTGCCATGGAATCATGTAGAGAGGGACTTCACACATTAAGCATTCTATTTGTGTCCATTATCTGACATGTGGGGAGGTGGCCCATTCATATATTCTGGAGAGCATGGTGACCTTGTAATATCTTTCCATGTTGGGGATTCCCAGACCACTGTTGGACTTATGTCTTGTCAAGATTTCATAGGGAACTCTTGGTTGTTTGTGTGCCCAGATAAAGGTATTGAAGAGTCGTCTAACCCTGGTAAAAAAAAAAAAAAAGGATTTAGGTATGGCTATGGGCAGAGTTTGTCATTTGAGTATTTTAGGGAGTGTGTTGATTTTGAGGATGTTTATTCGTCATGGCCAATTGAAGAGTGGCTTGTGCCATGTTGCCAAATCTTTGGATATGGATTGGAAGAGATCAAAAGTAGTTGTTAGGTTAGCGGGTAAACGGATTACTAAATAGGTGATCACCTAATTGACCCAGGTAAAGGGGAATGTGGATTGCAGGTGTGCCCATGTGGATTTGCCTATGCGCAGTGGTAGAATATCACTTTTTGAGAAGTTGACCTGGAAATTTGAGTTTGTTGCATATGGAGATTTCTTCCAGGAGTAGACCGGGGATGTACTAGTGGTGTCTATTGTAAAAAGGAAGACGTCAGCAAACGCTGAGATTTTATATTACTTTTGTTGAACTTGGTTACCTCGGATGGCTTGGTTGTCCCTAATGTCTTTTACGAAGGGTTCCAATATAAGTATAAAGAGGAGGGGGGACAGAGGGCACCCCTGTCTCGTGCCATTTCTGATGTGTACTGGTTCCGATAGCTGGCCTTTGATCCTAAGTCATGTTGTAGGGGATGAGTAGATGGCTTGCATCCATTTCATCCAGTTTTCAAAGCCAAGTTTCCAAAGGGTGGCCATTAGAGTCCAGTCCAACCTGTCGAACGCCTTCTCAGCGTCGACAGAGAGGAGAAGACTGTCGGTGGGAAGTTGTTGCGCTATGTATAAAAAATGTAGTAGTTTAGCGGTGTTGTGCTTCTCTATTTGGGACAAAACCAGCCTGGTGTGAGTGCCTTAGAGCTCGAAGAACGAGTTTCAAACGGTTGGCCAAAATTTTCGTGAATAATTTGAGATCCAGGTTTATCGGTTATTGGGCAGTAACTATCACAAACGGTTGGGTCTGTACGTGGTTTGGGTATCAGTGCTATGTGTGCCTCCCAGGAGGTGTGAGGGAGGGATGCTATTTGTGCTACAAGGTTAAATGCTTTCAGAAAGGGGAGAGTTATGTTTTATTGTGTTGTATAGTCACTAACATTTTTTTAGCCAGACATATATTATGTATTTTACATTTCCCAACAAATTTTGTATGTGGAGTTATGGAAGGCACGTCATAGGTTAATAATGAAGAACTAAAAGAAGTTTCTTTTGAAACAATTGTCAAAGCACTGTACTTTTCAGATATTCAAGTAGCAGAGTTAAGGGGAATCGGCTGCAGAGTCTGCGAACCAGTTGGTAGAAAGCTATAATTGTTTTGCTCAAATGTTAAAATTTCTAAAGAAAGGACTCGGTCAGGCAGATGGAAGGTGCAGAATGAAGGGATGGCACCTGTCTGGAAGGATTTGGAATAGGGGGGTTGATACCAGACAGTACAGAAAATAGAAGACCTTTACCTTGGAGAATTGCTTCTGTGGTCCCTGGGAAAGGATGAAATCATGTAGCAGGACATGTCTGAATCCCAAAACAGGGACATGGACTAGGAACACCTGTACCTGCTATAGTTGAAGCCTAGTAATTGGGGGGTTATATACTTTGGAAGTGGTTGGCATTACCTATTCGAATCTTACAATGACCACTAGGTACCCTCTGTTGTTTTTGCACCTCTTAGTGCGTTGAGTTACAAGACAGCATTCCAAGAGATCTCAATTTGCTACTTTGTTTCAAAATTTTCATTTTATATTGCAAAGTAGTGCAAGATAAAATATGGTCCTCTTTGTCTAGAATTAACATTGTGTGTACACAGAATTCTTCTGTTTTGTATCTTTTTCAGGATGTTAAAGGACTTGAAATTCCATGCCCCACTTTCCACGCTGTAATACATTTTTCTTTAGAATCTTTATTTTATGCATTCTAAGAACCGGAAGGAAGGGATTTATATGTGTGCTTTTGTAATCTTGCCCAAACATGGATATGCATTTCTATGTCTAGTTTTGCATTTTTCCACACACACTATCACTCCCCCTGCCCTCATTTTTAAAGTATCTGCTTGAAACATAAAAGTTACCTCAATATCCTCTGGTTATAATAGCAAAGCTTCTTCCCAAAGGTTGTAGAAGAAAAAAAAAATGCTGGAGAAATGATGCACATTGTTTTTTCACAGCTCAAAGGAATGTGTAGATAGAGAAGCTGGTGATTCACAAATTATTTCCAATGTAGAATTTCACACAAATAACAATGGCGAAGAAGAAAACCATGTTGTACACATTTCCTGCAGGAGTTTATTACAGCAATCAATAGGATAGTACTGTGAAGCTATACTAAATGAGGAAGTTAAATGTTAACGTCAAGAAGCAGAGATGTGGCTACATAGATCTAGCTTAAGACATGCCTTATTACGGAAGCGTAACAACTCAACTGATTAAACATAAAGAAGTCCCTTTATAACTAAAACATGCCATATGAACAACTGTCATGAAATGGAATACATAATCCTATAAATTCGATTGAAGAATATATTCTTCGAACTAGCAGGGTTGGCTGTGCCACTAATAGTCTTCACTCAACATGCTGGCAAAAGATGACAGTCAATATGCACAGGACTGACTTTTGCCAGCCTAGAACTTGCGTGTCAGGCTGGCCAATTACGTAGTTATGAGGCAGCTAGAGGTACTACTAGAGGTTTACTGCCATTTATAAAATTGAAATTATATCTAAACATTTTTGTTTTGCAGGTGTGGGTGGAAGTGCTAGGTTAGACTTTGCTAAACTATATTTTACAATCTACAATAACAAGGTAAATATTAACTAAAGTGGAAATTGTTGGAAACCAAACTGAATTTCAAATTTAAGGCCAAAGTAGCCACGCTTTTAGTCAGCTATGCTTCCAGTTCAGCTGCTGTAACCTTAAATAGACACTATATGCACCAAAACAACTTTGGTTAAATGGAGTGGATTTGGTGTATAGATCACGCGCCTGTAAACTCACTCAATTCTCTGCCAATCTGGAGTTAAATTACTTACTTCATTACTGTTTATGCAACACTAGTCACACCTCCCTGCACGTGACTTACACAGCTTTTTAAAGCACTTCCTGAAAAGAGAAATCTGATGTTTACACTTCCTTTCTTGCACATTCATTTTACTTTAGATTGTATCTCCTGCTCTGTTAATAGCCTGCCAGAACCTGCAGGAGCCTCCTGTGTGTGATTAAAGTTGAATTTACAGAGCATGAGAAAAACCTCTAAACAACTGATTGAAATTAAACAATTAATTTCATGTAGGCTGTGTCAGTGTCAGGTGTGACTATGGCTGCATGAACAGAAACAAAAGTGTTTTTTAAATTAAAGAACGCTTAAATGGCAGATAAACTGAGCAGTGAAACTTCAGAGGCATGGGTAACCTTCACCACTCCAGATGTTTTGGACTACACCTCCCATAATGCTTTGTCAGCATGAGTGTAAAAGCATTATGGGGATGTAGTCCACAACATCTGGAATGCCAAAGGTTGCCTATCCCTTACCTATACACTAAAATGACTCCATTAAGCTAAAGTTGTTTTGATGCCCAGTGTCCCTTAACGTTTAAAATTCACTTACAGGGTTATTTACTAAAATAATGGTCTGGAACTCAGAATGCTTAACAACAAACTTGGTCCTAGCCTGCAGCTAGTATGATAGTGAAAGAAGAAACTATATGTAATAAATTTAGGCGTATTGTAAGGAAATGTATTACTTTTACCAAGATTGTGTTTAATGTGCACCAACACACAAAAGTACAATATATTGTTCGCAATTGTATGACAATATTTTAATCTACTGTATATATTTTTTATCATCTCTATTACATTGGCAGGTACCCATAATACAAAATTATACTTCCACAAATCATTGGGTGCTATTCATACATAACGGATGTACATACAACCTAAATATTGACAATCTTATGGATAGGAATTGAAAAATGCTACCCTTATATTTTAACAAGGGTGTTATTTATTATGACTCACAAGCATTACCAGGATAGAGCAAAACACTGTCAACAAAGCAGAATAGTTTTAACGGATGGCCAGATTTAATTAATGATTTTTTGGGGAGAAGAGTGATTACCTGAGCAGCTTGTTTGATTATATAGATATATATAGATATATATAGATATATATAGATATATATATATATAGATATATATATATATATATATAGATAGAACATATACATGATATATACACATACATACACACACACTATTGACTTGAAGAGCTGACCATGTCGTTCCAGCACACTACAACAGGATTTGCATTTATTTTTATTCAAATGTTTTAATAAGGAAAAAAAAAAAAAAACAACCTTGTTGTACAACAAAACAAATTGTCAGCCAAAGATTGTGTAGGGCAATCAAAATATATTTATGTAGAGTGTATACCTGAAATGAGGAAGAAAGACTAGGGGGGAGGGAATCCTTAAGCAAGCCAGAATCTGGATGAGCAACCCAGTGGCGTACTAAGGGGGGGCGACCCGCCCCGTGTGCCACTGACTGGGGGGGTGCCATGACTTCCAGTGTCATGTGTCACCCCCCATCATTACACTGCGCACAGCCGCAGCACCTTTGCGCGCAACGTGATGACGTGCGCAGCGCCGTCAGTCCGCCTTCACGGATCTTCAACGGAAGGATCCAATATCCGGGCGGTGAGGCACCCAGTGGTCGGTCTCGGAGGCAAGGCATCATCAAAATGTGAGTAGTCATTTTATGTGATGGGGCTAAATTAGTTAAAGGGGGGTGGATAATGGATTAAAGAATTAAAGGGGAGGGAGGTTTAATTAAAGGGGGGTGCGGATTAATTAAGGGGTGAGGATTAAAGAATTAAAGGGGGGAGGTTTAATTAAAGAGGGGTGCAGCGCAGGGGAGGTTTATTTAAGGGGGTAGGTTTAATGGGGGGGTGCAGGTTTCTATTAATTAAGGGGGTTGCAGTATTTTATTTATTAAAGGAGGATGTGCACTGCAGGTTTTTTGTTATTAAGGGGGGTTGTGCAGGTTTTTTTTAATTAAGGGGGTGTGCAGGGTTTTTATATGTAGGGAGTGTATGAAATTTATGTGATCAGTGTGCAGGGGTTTTCTAGAAGGGGCGAGACAAGGGGCTTTGTAGAAAGGAGGAGGGCAGGAGTTTTCTAGAAGTTTCTCACGAGCCCCTTTCTACAAAAGCACTGGTCTTCCCCGTTCTACAAAACTGGCGCATTTATACAAAACCTCTGCCCTAGCCGCTACATCTTTTGAACCCAAATCCTTTTCCTGTGCCGTTTCTCTTCCTAGAAATGTGTTTAACCCCTTAAAGGATCAGCTCAATGAAGTAGTCTGGGTGCCAGGTCCCTCTAGTTTTAACCCTGCAACTGAAAACATAGCAGTTTCAGAGATGTTTCACTGAGGGTTAATCCAGCCTCTAGTGGTGACCTCTCCTCCCCCGCCAACGTCAGCTCCTGAGTGGAGCCGAATGTACATGCGCGGCAAGAGCCTCGCGCGCATTCAAACAGTCCATAGGAAAGCATTTCTCAATGCTTTCTTATGGACGTTCAAGCTGGATGCGATTTTTGTATCTGGAGGGTTAAAATCTGGGGGACCTGGAACCCAGGCCACTTCATTGAGCTGAAGTGGTCTAGGTGACTATAGTGTCCCTTTAAATACCCTGGGTTGTCTACTTTTACAAATGGTATGCCAAGATGGGAAATATAAGAGATATCGCACTAGTGAACCCTAGAGCCAAAATACATTTAGGATTTTTCTGCAGAAAACACCAATATGAAGCAAAATCGACCAAGCGGGTCTCAGCAATGAAAAATTAGGAAGGCAAGAGAAAAGTCAGCTGAGGCGATGTCTGGATCAGTTTTAAAATATGTTGCACCTTCAACATCTACCGCAGTAGGAGAAAGTGCTGAAGATGTTCAGTCTGTTGAATCCAGAGGTGAAATGCCTGAAGTATCTTCTCAAGAAGCTCCATATGTGAAAGCACAAGAATTGGAGAAGATCATTTTATCTTCAAGCAGTGAAAGTGATGTAGATGAAGGAGATGCCAGCAGAAGCCTGCATCAGCAAGACTGATGATGATGAGGAAGAGGAGACTGTTCGACTATCTTATTCTGATGTTACTGCTTGGCCAGTTCCAGTTCCAGATGTTTTAAGAGTGGACCTTATTAAGAGGGGAAGTTAACCTTTCCAAAATAGAGATGGGCCATTCAGTCCTGTTGAAAGGCAAGGAGAGAAATCAAAAGGGAAGAGTTGACACCTGGCTACTTCATGGTTCTATAAGTCTCTGCCTAATGGCGAAAAAATTCTTAGAACGTGGATGGTGTACTCTCCATCAAAACAAAGTTTGTTTTGTTTTTCCTGCAGACGTTTTGCTGTTGATGACAAAGTAACAGGGGCATCCAGTTATGTTACTGGGTTTCAATTGTGGTGGAAGCTGAACCCAAAGGTGTCTGATAGTGATGTCGCAAACGGTTTGCGGCGAACTCCGGTCAGCTGACACATCCCTGCCAATCTCCGGCAGACCCTCCCACCTCCTGGACAGCATCCATGTTGAAGCTGCCTTCAACATGAATGCTGTCCAGGAAGTAGGAGGGTCTGGGAGAGAGGGTCTGCCGGAGATTGGCAGGGATGTGTCAGCTGACCGGGTTCGCGGCAAGTTTGCGGACGGTTCGCGACATCACTAGTGTCTGATCATGAGGCTTCTGAGCAGCATCTTACATGCTTGGAGAAATGGAAGTACTTGAGAGCAGGATTGAAGCTACAAAAATGCCTTGATCATGTCCATCAAACAACAGTGGACAGAGAGAAAAGGAAACGGAGGGATATTTTGCATTGCCTTTTGGATGTAACTTTGTTTCTGGCCCACCAGAATCTCCCCTTTCGTGGTCATAGAGAGACCATGTCATCCACAAACAAAGGCAACTTACTCGAATTGGTAGAATTGCTCTCAAACTATGATCCGATTTTAAAGGAACATTTCATGAGGCTGAAACATGCTGTTGCATCTGGAAATAGAATGACTTCCTATTTCTCTTCAAAAATTCAGAACGAGGTCTTTTGGGAAATCATGTGAAGGACAAAATAGTGGCTGATATCAAGAAAGCAAAGTACTTTGGGATTCTTTTTGACAGCACCCCTGATGTGTCCCACAGAGAAAAATATTTGTAATTATCCTCCAAAATTGACTGAGATTTTGGACGAATTCTCTAATGAAGACATCTTTAGGGAAATTGAACATCTTCGGAAGCATTTGGAAGCTGCCAATCTCAGTGTTGAAGAAGCAAAGAAATGGACGGCTTTGCAGTTCATTGTTAAATGGGATTATTGTGAATCTCTGTCAAATGTCACTGTGTTTAAGATTCTTTTTGACTCTGTGTGTCTATTGCTTCATGTGAAATAAGTTTTTCCAAATTAAAACTGATTTAAAAAAAAAAAAAAATTCGCTCAACCATGAGTGAGACAAGGTTGACAAATCTGGCTATACTTTCAGTTGAGCATGAATATGCAAGGAAGATTGGCTTTGATGAAGTAATCGATAAATTTGCAGAAATGAAGGCTCGAAGGCAGCGGATGTGAATTATTGCACATTACCTCTGCCGAATAGATTGAGTGGTCACTTTGGATCTGTGTGTTTTTTGTTTATAGAAAGCGTATTAACTTAAGTAAATGTTAATTATTAAAATTTTATTTATTTCTAAGTTAATTTATTTTTCATAGATCCTTTTTTTTCAAGTTGATATACAGTTTACAAATTTGTGAAATAAATGTTATTGGAAAAAATTGTGGGTGTTTTCTCTGCCAAATGCTCTAGGTATAACTCAGAGTGAGGCCATTGGTAAAAAGAGATTATACAAACACCAAGAGAACATTTTTATTTATTTTTTTAAAATTAGAATTCCTAATAATCCTCAATATGTTATTTTCTAGCGTTTCAAATTAACAGCTTTGTTTTTTTTTTTTATATGCATTGTGTATATATATATATATATATATTTTTTTTATTATTTCTTTTTTATTTATTTTTTTTACACACACACACACACACACACACACACACACACACACACAAGATTGCCTCAAGGTCTTATCCACCAATAAAAGGGAATTATGTACAATTGCAAAGCAGCAGCAGTTTTGGCATTCTGCACACTGATCACACTGTACCATATGCTCGATGTGAAAAATTATATTAAAAGCAATCATTAAGTGTTAAATAGTTTTTTCATACTATAAAAGGAAAATGAATAACACTGGGAATTTGTACAAGCTCATCTTAGAAACAATATTGCAGAAAAACAGAAGAAAAAAAATTAAAACAGACATAGATGGGCATCACATACAGACACGTAGGGAACAACCAAAAAAATAAAAAGCCCCTTCGAGCTACTTGTATGCAAAGGCCTTATAGTTTGTTTAGAAAAATGGTGACAAATGAAAACAATGAAAGACATGCAATGAAGGAGGGGGATAATAAAGCCAATTACAACCATTTGGCATAAGTCTGTGCACAAAATTCATTTAGACAAGCGAGGCAAAAACACTCATATCCCACTACTACGTAAGAAACATATGCTAGTCCCTTACCTATAACACAAATGCTTTGCTAAAATGAATTTCAATCCATATAAAGATTATGCTCATTTTAAATAATATATGCAAGTCTACCATAGCAGCATTGCTAGTTGTATGTTTGTTAACACTGAGTTTACTTGCTCTGAGCAGTGAAGAGAACACACACTATGTGAAACAAAAAGAAAAAAAAATCTAAGCTTACATCATTGAAACAAGTTTTAGTTTGTGTGTGTTAGTATTGAATCATTGAGAAAATGAGGAGTGATATTAAATCTTTAAGTGTCAAAACTGTAAGATCTGCACATCAGACCTCAATAAAGGAAGTTAATACCAGTTGATACGGAGACTAATCATTTTTTTTTCCATCACATGGACAAAAAGTAATCACAAATTTGCTATTTTTCCCAGTCCTTTTTAGAAAGTTGCTGTTTTACAAATTTGGCAGTTGCCACTTACTTGAAATCATTAACACCAATATCCTGAAAATGCATATCATATAACTCCATAAAGAAAGGCTTAGCCAGTATTTTTGACCTATATGTCTGCTATTGTCTTAAATCACAATATAATCAATGTGGATTTAGTGTGAATCACGATGATGTCAGAAGCAAACACAAGTGACAACTGCATACAAGTTTTAGACAGAACATTGAAGGGCCAAAGGTGACAGATTAACATAAAACTGCTTCATCTCCAGATGTTTATTCTGAGTAGGAAAAGTCCCATTTAAGAATGCTTTTTGTTGGTAAATTTATACCACAATAAATCAAGGTGCACCACTTTTCAAAATTGTCTCTCACATATTAAGCAAGCTAAAGATGGAATAAATCCCAAAATACAAGTAGCCCTCTTCATGTCTGTACATAGGCAATTGTTAAGTAAAAACTGGAAAGCAAAATCATAATGACTTTTCTTTTTTTGTATATATATATATATATATATATATATATATATATATATATATATATATATATATATATATATGTGTGTGTGTGTGTGTGTGAAAAGCAAACAACTTTGTTAACTATGCTACATTATGGATTAAAAAGTACAGTACTGGACCTGGCTGTATGCAAAGAATGAGGAAAAACATTGAGACTACATTAAAAAGATTCTTAAGTACACTATAGAAAGATTTTCGGTTAGTTTTGAAAGTATCACTAAATCTTTAGAAATACAATTTCTTGTTTGCAAAAATGATAAGAAATAAACAATCCAATGGTTTATAAAATGGAGGTATGGGGTTAGATCTCGTGTAGATTATGAACATTTAAAACGGTGATCGCATACAGCATATATATTACATTAAGGTAACGGACTACAATCATGTAGCATTATCTTATTCATCAGTAAACATTTCCTAATTAAATGTGTGATGGTCTTGTGAAGTAGAGGACAAAAGACATGATCATGACTAACGCTTTGGATCAGATTACTTTGCCTTTCTAAATATATGCAATACATAATAAATATAACATTGTGCTTATGTAAAACTTAATTCTGGTGTACAATTCTAAAAATGAAGCAATCACCAGGAATAAATTATTGGTTACCATGGAGACTTCATATTTATAACCCCTTGTCTTCATTGTGTTGGCCACAATCATCATAGACCCTATATGCACCATACAACTGTACTACAAAGGGCTGGGGGGTAGCAATGTCTTTATATAACCCCTAAAATGACTGAACTTTCCACTCTCCTAGTAAATGACATCACATGTAATGTGATTCTTTGTGCAGAGAGATACATGCTGCAAAGTAAAAAGAATATCAGAAAAATCAAACCTAAGGATCTAGTTAAGTGCTCATTTTATATTTTACATTAGCAAGTGTAACCTCCCAGAGTTATTCTTGGCCTACTACATAATAAAAAAAAGGCAGTCTAAGTAGTGGTTGTCTTAACAATAGTTTCTGTGCACAATCCCCCTCCTAAACTGTTTGGGGGAAAAAGCAGGGCTCTCACTAGCACCAAGAGACACCCCTACTTTAGCTGCAATGATGTAGTGTCAATGTTGCATTATCCGTACAGCTGAGCAGGTGTGACTCTAGCTGCTGGGTAGTGATCCATTTCTAAAGAATTTGGCAGAAATCCAGGGGATGGCACTCAGAGGCTATTGACAACATAAATAAACTGAACTGTAGAGGTTATGGTGCACAGGCACTAGAATGCACTTCCACAACACTAAAACTTTAAAAAAAATTCCAAGTTGTTCAGTAACCAGTAAGAATTTGGAAATTCCTCCAAAATCAGCTGATTTTTAGTTGTTTACCTCCTTGATTCTTTTTGCCTAAATATTGTAAATATGTCAACACAGTTTAAATAATTGTTGCATGAAATTTTTTGTAAATTCAATTATGATTTCATTTTCATTTATATCCAATACCCGACATGCAAGGAAAATCACCGCTATCCCCTGATGCCATTAATATGCATGTACGGTATCACAGGGATGAAGCCAATGCCGAGCATGGCTTTATGGTAATAATAGCCAGATCTGCATACATAATGGTGGTTTATACTTCCATCTGCAGCATACCTCATCCTAGAAAATGCTTCAATAAAGGCTCTGATGTAACGTTTAGGTTAGTAGATTTTACATACTAGGCACACAAATCCAATCAAGTACACAAAAATGCTGTGTTTTTTTTATATGTAAAGAAAAGCACCAGAATATGGGATGGTCAATATTGATTGCTAATAAATAAGCATTCAGTTTACCAATGGAAGGTATCTCAGTATTGACACCTCACATTCATTCTTTAGAGCAATGCCTTTTACAGAAAATCATTTAACAAAATCATCATGAAGAACAAACAAATCCCTATATTTATAATTTCACATTCTTTATACAGAAAATACAGTAGCTGTACAAGAGGTTACTCAATGAGACCCTTTACATTATTTTCTCTTTTTAAAGTCTGGACAACCAATTCCTGGTCACCCATGACTATACTCTGCTTCATATGTTACTATAACATATGTATTCTGCTACAATTAACAGTGTGTTAATTCTTACTAGCTCCTATAAAGGCCATCCTTTGTGGGAGATGGGGAATAGTTGGTATGTATATATATATATATATATATATATATATATATATATATATATATATATATATATATATATATATATATATATATATAAAAAACAAAAAAAATCTTAAATTTAAAACTAAAACAAAACTTTGGGGGAGAAATAAAAAAATCTAATTCTACTGCCAGTCTTCCTGACAGAAAGTTGTAATCAGGTTATCTTTATGAAAACAGGTATCTACCATGCCAGCACTAAATACTCTCTTATTGCAGTCCATTTATACAGCTCCAGTCCAAATTACAAAAATAAACAAACCCCACCCAAGAAAAAAAAAAAGAAAAAAAAAAGTGTAGTTTATCAGTCTTTTATGTTTCTTCTCAGTCCTGGGAATCATTTTCACAGTGTAATTAGATCAACCAGGTTGCCCTTTGGAGGAGTCATACTGTCTGGGAAGAAGTTGACAAGAGTATCAAAGAGTTGTGTCCTCTGAGAATAAGTGTGATCGACATCAGAGAGACCTAGAAAGAAGGCAAAAAGTAAAAATATTGATATATAATACACAAAAAAATACATGAATATAGCACTTTTAAATGTGATACTCCAACAATATGTATCTGTATACTGCTTTTTAAACAACACATTTTCACCATGGTTAAATGTAATTCAATCCACTTACCCAGAGGGGCCAAATCTTTGCTGGATTTAAAAAGTGCAGATGGAAGAAGTTGGAACTGAAAAAAAGAAAACCCAGCATGAAAAACATTGCATCCACACTAAATAAGTTTTAATTAGTGTTTTCTTTTAATATGAATTAATTACAATGCTGCAAGACAGGTGTGCGTGTGTGGTGCAAGAGAGGTAGGTGTGCGTGCGTGTGGGGTGCAAGAGGTAGGTGTGCGTGCGTGTGGGGTGCAAGAGAGGTAGGTGTGCGTGCGTGTGTGGGGTGCAAGAGAGGTAGGTGTGCGTGCGTGTGTGGGGTGCAAGAGAGGTAGGTGTGCGTGTGTGTGGTGCAAGAGAGGTAGGGTTGTGTGTGGTGCAAGAAAGGTAGGGGTGTGTGTGTGGTGCAAGAAAGGTAGGGGGGTGTGTGTGGTGCAAGAAAGGTAGGGGTGTGTGTGTGGTGCAAGAAAGGTAGGGGTGTGTGTGTGGTGCAAGAAAGGTAGGGGTGTGTGTGTGGTGCAAGAAAGGTAGGGGTGTGTGTGTGGTGCAAGAGAGGTAGGTGTGTGTGTGTGGTGCAAGAGAGGTAGGTGTGTTGCAAGCATTCCATTCAAACACTTCTCTATAAGAAACATTGATGTCAAACGTCACAAAACTGCATCTGACTTGATGGAAGCACCCTCGGGAACACAGCCACTACAGGCATGTTCAGTCCTGCAATGAAAACACTGCCATATTTCAAAAACTGCAATGTTTTCCACTGCACGAGCAATAAGCAATGCACCCAGACCCCCTACATTGTGGTCAACTGCAGTTTGTTTCTTTAAAATTCCGCTGTGGTTCATTGTATTCAAGTAATACACTATTGATAACTAAACTGAGACAAATGGGCTCCAGCTACTTTTAAGTGGATCTCATTGCTGCAGAGAGATTTGTTTAATAATGGTTATCGAAAACATGCACTGCAAATAAAGTTCTCAAAACAAAAAAGAAAAAGAAAAGACCGACCCAAACGGTTAGGGTAAGAATAAGGTTTGAGGTGAATTTTGGGTTGGAGAGTTGTTAAAGGATTGATGGCAGCTTTGAGTAGCCTTGGGGTGACTGTAGTCAGCGCCAATCCCTTGGTTTACATGACTGCCTTTTTTTAATCATCCAAATTGTAGTTAAATTCTGCCAAATTCAAAGTGAAATCAAACGGTTGTTAAATGGAATACCACACTTGGTTTAAAGAGCCTTTTATAAATAGCCACTTAGGTTTAAACAGTTAAATTGCACCAAAAGATTGACATTCAGTTGCTGTTTGAGTGCTATTTTATAAACAAATGCTTTTGTTTCTTCTAATTCACCATATACTGTATCATTTTAAATTGGGACAACTCATGACTGCACATCATTTGCCAATTAGTACATTACAGCTCAAAGTTGATCCCTGTCATTTAGTCTACTAAATATCCCTGATTTTATTTTAGGTCCAGACTATTACAATCTCATTTTGTGATTATCACTCTGGGTTCAGTCACTTACCCCATTTACCCACCTATCTCAATCCATTCCTACACCTCTATGCTGCCATACTTTGGTAATTAAGCACGGCAATAACTGTAGCCAGCAAGATTTCTAATATATATAAGTCTCCCCTATTGAACACAACCAATTGTCAGGACAACATTAGAGGTCATGTTTAAAGAAGCATAAGGCTCTTTCTAGCACAATTGCAATACATTACCAAAGTTAGCAAGTGGGACAAAAATTGTAAATGTTGTAGGAAGGATTTTCAGGACGTGCCCTGCAACCACCACTGCTACCAGCCACTTTGTCAGACAGTGACATGGAGAACTTGCTGATTTTTAAGATCTGCTAACTGCAATAGGGAAAACATCCACCTGACTAACAAGCAAATCCCGAGTAGTTCATAAGACTGTCTGGGCAACATTGCATTGTTCAGAAACATCTGGGTTGCACAGATTAGCCATTTGTTATTAAGTGATCATTCAGACACAGAACAGAAAAAATGGACTCCCTACCTCTTTAGTCTCTTCAGGATCAGAGTGATCGACCGTGACAAACAAATCATTCTGCAAGTACTTTAGTGCACTAAGGGGTTCTGTTAGAGCACGCTCCTCAAACCTGGAAGTAAATAACACAAATTGAAATCCATTTACAAATTACATTTACAGAATAACTACACTTTAGTCCATAGACAGTTTAAAGGGATACTCAAAGCAACATGGCCACTTGAGAGATTTGAAGTGGTCATTGTGCCTGGAGTCTGTGTTTCGTTTTGAAATGGTGCACATACAGAGTTTTATATCTTTGCTGGAGGCGGTGTAACTTCACCTCCGGCAGTTATTAGAGCACCATTAGCCAGGCTAATGTTAATTCTGCTAAAAGGAAACTAAGCCAGGGTGTGTAGTGGTTATGGTAATAGGAAACAGCAAGCAGTAGTGGTTATGATGATTAAAGTAACCCTTTAAATTCAATAGTATGATGAGGGTTGCCTTCCTACATGGCTAAAAATGTATTTTCACCCGATTTATTCAGCCAATCAATGGCCACCAAGGCAGGTTTTCAGGAGTGAACAGAAGTTGGAAAACGGGCAGTGATCGTAGAGAAAAGGGTGATCCGGGGGACCAACTTCAGAGTAAAACTCTCTGAAAACAGTTTAATCCCTGAAGGTACAGCAAGCTATGAGTCCATTCTCAGTATCCTTCACAATGCTTATAGAGGTTTCAGCTATACCTCACTGACAAAACGATCATCTGGGATTACCGTCTCTCATGCAGAGGGAGAAGGCCTGCATTTTGAATCTGGATTGTACTTTTTGGTTGGATCAGTCTGGTGCGCAAATGGTTTAAATTCTCTCTGCAGTGGCACAAGATGAGCTAAAACCAGCTTGAGAACAGAGCGGGGACCCACGAAAGGGCAAGCTATATATGGGCTGTTGTGCATTCTAAGAAATTTCTTGCACCCTGTTTTTTGGCAACCCCTGAAGGTAGGACAACTTCCAGTGTCCAGTGGGTGTGATCCATTAAAACAGGAGAAGGAAATGGCTGAGGTGATCAATTGAAACAAGGTGTCATCCTTAGACAGTGTTGCTCTTCCTGCTCAATACAGAAGCAACACGTTATAGTTATTTGCCAAAAATCTGAGAAAGAATTTTTGGTAGAGGTGCAATGTGGCAAGTTTCCCTGTAGTTCTGTTTTCTTTTCTCTGTTATCCCCCTCCCCCATATTTTTTTTTTTTAGTTAAGAGTGTTTGTGTGAGTGTGCGTGCGTCTGCATTTATGTGATCTGTTTTACTGCCATGTATAAATGTATAAAGCACTTTTCATGGAACTTTCTTCTAAAATGTATTAGATTTATAGGTTTGCAGATTTTTTTTACATTTTGTTTACTGCGTAGAACCGAAGTTCAATCACTACTCTACCCTAGGTCATGAAGAGAAGTAGGAAGACTGTTTCCAACCTAGAGATCTATTCAAAAAGAAAGAAAAAAAAAAAAAAAAACGTATAATTTTTTTTTGTGTGTTTGTAATTTGTTTTAGTCATGTGTAAAACATGCAGCGTATGTATAACTTGCAGGAGGCATATGCCTTCTTGGCGTCAGACTCTGATGCCACTGACACAGATTTTGACCCAGGTCAGTTTTCTGACACGACTAGTCCAGACGACGTGATCGGTGTGTGAGCTGGCTGAAGAAAAGCCTCCACAGTTAGCCGAGCCCAACGTCCCCCCTCTTAGTGCCAAGGCAGGCATTAAGGTTAATGGGGATGGCTTCTCCCCAATGCAGTATGTAGAACTATTTTTAGGGGATACCATCTGGGAGGAGATTGCTTCCCAGACTAACTTGTATGCTACCCAATTTATTGATAACAATCCAGGTAGCTATACAGTCAGGGAGCATGACTGGCATCCCACAGATGTCCCAGAGCTTAAAAAATTCTGGGCTTTTACAATGCTCATGTGGATTATAAAGAAGCCATCGATTCGCTCATACTGGAGCACCAACCCAATAATGTCTAGTCCAGTATTCTCCCAAACCATGCCTAGAGCCAGATACGAGTTACTGCTGAGATTTTTAAATTTCAGTGACAATACCCTCTGTCACCCTAGAGATCACCCCCAATACGATAGGCTTTATAAAATACACCCACTGCTAGACCATTTTCAGGACAAATTTTCTGATGTTTATACCCCCAACAAAATGTATCCATAGATGAATCGCTAATGAAATACAAAGGGAGATTAGGGTTCAGACAATACATCCCCTCAAAGCGCTCTAGGTATGGCATAAAACTGTACAAACTGGGCGAGTGCGAAAGTGGATACACGTTTGCCTTTCGTGTATATGAGGGGAAAGATGGTCAACTGGACCCTCCTGGCTGTCCTGACTCCCTGGGGACAATTGGGAAACTTGTATGGGAATTACTAAATCCCTTGTTTAATAAAGGTTACCACCTTTATGTGGATAATTTTTATAGTAGCGTCCGTCTGTTTAAAACACTTTATGGTTTACAGACACTGGCCTGCGGCACTGCCAGAAAAAATTCCAAAGAATTTCCACGATCTCTCATAGAGGCAAAATTTAAAAAATGCGAATGTAAAGCACTTAGCAAAGCTGTAGTGCTTGCACTAAAGTTTAGGGACAGGAAGGATGTCAACATGCTAACCACCATCCATGATGAACGCATGTCAGACGTCTCTGTCCAGGGCAGAGTAGAGTCCAAACCGGTTTGCATCAGGGCGTATAATAAGTACATGGGGGGTGTTGATTTGGCTGATCAGCTGATGCAGCCATATCTTATTTTACGAAAAACCAAAGCATGGTATAAAAAGGTGGCTATCTGATGCAAATAGCAACCCACAACTCATTTTTGCTTTTTAAAAAAAATAATCCATGTAAAACCACCTTTCTCCAATTTCAGTTGAAAATAATTTCTTTAACAATTTATGGAGATGGACAAGTTCCGACAACAGTGCAAGCGGAGTCCAGGCATTTTATTTTTAAGTTACCCCCAACTGCTAGAAAAAAAAAACCCCCAGAAACGTTGCCGGGTAGGTTTTAAAAACGGGAAAAGGACAGACACCCCTTTTCACTGTCCCGATTGCCCTTCAAAACCAGGACACTGTGTAGGAACATGTTTCAATCTGTACCACACAGAACAGTTGTAAGAAGTGTTCCTGAATTTTTATTTTATTTTTTGTTTCTTTGGAAAGCAGCCATTTTTTGTTAGTCAATTTCCTTCCCCCAAATCTCCAGTTAGATTCTATTTGCAGGAGTCCGTTTAAAGATTGCTGCTAAATGTACATTTGCTACTTGCACATTTGGTTTAACAAGTTTTCTGGCAGTAACACATAACCAGCTGGCCAAAACCAGATGACATGTGCATAAAAACCAGAATTAAAAAATTACCACTACCCTTTCTTTGGGGGGCAAAATGGTTGGGGGAAAGAAGTCAAAACACCCCATCTTCTAGAACCTTTGATGTGTTCTTTATAAAAATATATACTATATATACTGTCATGATGGTAACATTAACTGGGGGGGTGCAAAAATATGTCAAACTGAAGATAGACCAAGCATACCTATATATCAAGTTGACATGTACAAGTTCTGATTGTTGCCTTTTGGCCCCCAAACAACCCTATACATGGGGGGTATCACTGTACTCGGGAGATGTTGCTGAACATATTGAGCAGTGTTTGGCAGTGACACATAACAGGATCTTTTAATTCATGCCTAAAGTACAATGTGTGACAAAGAAACAAAAAAAAAAAAAAGTTTGACAAAGGCTGGTGGTAGAATTCAGCGCATGAAAAGTGTTAAAATACCACCATTTAAAATACCCTGGGTTGTCTACTTTTCAAAAATATATGGTTTGATGGGGGTAAAATACATTGGTTAAAATGGGACATGGGCGCAGGTTGATTACATGTCAAAATTCCAAGCTGGGAAACTGATAAGCGCACCTGCCAAACGTGGCCTTTTAGCCCGACAAGCCTATGCATGGGTGGTATCATGTATTCAGGAGATCTTGCTGAACACATATTGGGATGTTGTTCAAATTGATGGGGGTAAAATACATTGGCCGGCTTCAAAAATGTCCCAAATTGGACATGCATGCAGGTTGACTACATGTCAAAATTCCAAGCTGGGAAACTGATATGCGCACCTGCCAAATGTGGCCTTTTAGCCCCCCCAACAACCAGACACACCTATACATGGGGGGTATCCCTGTACTCGGGAGATGTTGCTGAACACATATTGGGGTGTTGTTTGGTAGTGACACCTAACAGAATCTGTGAATTTATACCTGAATTGCAATGTATGTGAAAAAAATAAACTACCTATGCAAAGTTTGGCAAAGGTTTGTGGTAAAATGGCTGCATAGAAAGTATCAAAATATTCTTAGATGAATACCCTGGGTTATCTAGTTTAGGAAAAATATATACATGTTGGGTGTTTTTTGGGAGATTTAAAACAGTGTTACAATGTCACTATTGATACATTTGAAAAATTTACATTTTGAAACAGCAATTTCTTACTTGTACTTATAACCATATAACTTGCAAATAAAAGCAAAAAAACATGTAAACATTGGGTGTTTTTAAAATCAGGACAAAATTTTGAATCTATTTAGGAGTTTGTTTTATTAGATTTTGTAGATCAGTAAAAGATCTTTTAAGTAGAAGTCAAAAAAAATGTTTTTTATATAAAAAAAAATTTCACCATATTTTAGTAAAACAATTTTAATTAAGTTATATGACATGATAAAAAATAACAGTATATAAAGAAAGCCCTTTTTGTCCTGAAAAAAACAATATATAATTTCTATCGGAACAGTAAATGAGAGAGTGGAAAATTACAGCTAAACACAAACACCACAAAAGTGTTAAAATAGCTCTGGTCCTTAACGTACATCACAAAAACAGTCAGGTCCTGAAGGGGTTAATACTATGTTTGTTTTCATAATTTTTTTTGTTGTTGTTGTTGCTTTATTTAGATGTTATTTAGGTGTGATGAGGCACATTATAAACATTGCCATCAGACTGTTTCAGGAGTTCTGAACTTAAACAGTTACTTAACCTCTTATAGAAACATGACATGTGTGACGTGACATGATTCCCTTTTATTCCAGAAGTTTGGTCCTTAAGGGGTTAAAGGACCCCTATAGGCACCCAGACCACTTCAGCTCAATGAAGTGGTCTGGGTGCCAGGTCCATCTAGGGTTAACCCTGCAGCTGTAAACATAGCAGTTTCAGAGAAACTTCTATGTTTACATTAGGGTTAATCCAGGCTCTAGTCTCATTGACAGCCGCTAGAGGCGCTTCCGCGCTTGTCACAGTGAAAATCAGTGAGAAGATGCTGATGTCCATAGGAAAGCATTTCTCTATGGAATGAATGCGCTCACCCCACCCCGGCGTTTAGGACCAAGTCCCCCAAGGACGGCATAGTATGCCCGCCGTCCTTAATGGGTTAAAATACAGCACACTTTTTGGTTGGGTGGTTTTTAAATTGTATTTGTTTTGATGCCTATAGTTTCCCTTAACCCCTTAAGGACCAAACTTCTGGAATAAAAGGGAATATGACATGTCACACATGTCGTGTCCTTAAGGGATTACATTTTTCCATCCCACTACACCATGATTCATTGATAACACTGATTGTTTTCAGGCCTTTTAAAAGGTTTTCCAGTACCTGTTTTTTCGAATTAAGTATTTACAGTGTCTCAGCAAGTACTCTTTGGAAGGTCGGCACAGCTTTAACGACCAGAAGTCATCCAACCTCATCTTTGGAGAGCAGGACTTTCCAGGGTTCCCCCCAAACAAGTAGTGGACCTGAGACAAAATGAGAAAAATTGAGATACTTTTTGGAAACAGTTGCAATAGACTTCACATATTTTACATTACTGACTCTGAATTACCAAATCAGCCACTGACCAAATTATTTGTAGACTTATATTAGTGTTCAGTGCTCCTCAACTGTGCAGGTTTTAACGTACTCCTCACACACATGTGTACCAGTCTTGCTGTTTTGCCTGATAAACTCACACTGATTAACACAGCTTGGTGACTAAAAAGTATTGAATAATTTCAGTTGTGCACAGATTAATTTTTACAGCGGAGTAGAAAGATCATAATATAAATAGATAAGCAGTAAATTTGAACATGGAACTCATGAAAAACTGTTTTGAGTAGAAACTTGACTGCCTGGATTACAAGACAAAAGACAGAGGTTGAGTTATAGGGCTTTTCAAACATTAAAGCACTTGAGCCAAAATGGAGATATCTTATTTTGGAAAAAGTACATTCTACCTATTGCAATAACTACACAGACCTGTTAACATTTCATGGATATCAACACTGTATTTTGTAACATTGGAAAATAGGCAGTGTGTATACCTTGTGCAATTCATCATAAACTAATTGGTGTGCAAATCTAGGGCAAGGCTCTTCTTCCTGAAGGCTTTTATTTGGGTTTTCTTTTGATGCTTGATCATTCTTGTAGACACATGACCTAAAAGAAAAGAACATTTATAAAAAAAAAAAAAAAAAAAAATCTAGTTTTGATTAAATAATGATATACACATTTGGCAGTTTTCTACAGCATAAGCCACACAACCTTTTCACATAATGAGTTCTGGACTGGCCTATGCTTCTTAGTACATACCCAGCCACTGAAAACAAGTGTAAGTTGAGCTGCTGGGAGAAAAAGAGGACAGCCATGGAAACGCATGACTAACCACTCCATAAGCCAACACATTTGAGGGAACAAATATACATTAGAACAATAAATAGGAGTCTTTTTACAAAGCGTGTCAATGAGCACAGATGTGTTGGAATTTTAATTGTTATGTACATTTGTGAAATGGAAGCATTTTGTAGATGCACACAAATATCAAATCCGATATACATTATTGCTGATGTCTGCTTTAAGGAAGGTTACATTTCTTATTTAAATCATTTCACAAAAAAAAAATAAAAAAAAAATAAAAAGAATTGCTCAAGAAAGTCTCTTCAAAAGGTCTAGGACACAAACGAAACAGTGTGAAATGAACTTCAAGTGTACCTGTTAAGAAAAATAACTTGCCTTAAATCGCCCTGAAATACACTGAACACATACATGATGCATTTAATGTAAAATATTGAGATATACTCACCTCACTTATTACTGCTGCCGTCTACAGAGCTTCATGGGTATTACTCTTCCTATAACACTCACCTCCGGTCCAGTCCTTTGCTCCTCTTCTGGTCTTCTTAAACTTGCTCTGCTTGGGAAAACTTCCTTAAGCAGGGCAAACCACCACCATAAAGCCAGCATGACTGCTTCTGAATGGAGTGAGTCACTCTGTTCCTTTATTCCCAAGCATGCACAAGCAGTATAGGCAAGGGAGTTTCCATAGCAACCTCAGCACATGTATGGTGGTTGCCATGCATGTGGGAGGTCTTTTCTGTTCTCCCTCATCAGTCAATCCGGCAGCCAAGAACCAATGCGAAGACCTGATTGTGAAGTATATAGAAGTACATTTTTGGTTTGTTTTTTTTTAAGGATTTTAATAGGGTTTTTCTCCCAATCTACACATTTGCTAGCAAATGTAGATGTGTAAATGAAATGTCATGCTTTTTCAAAACAGTGTAAGTAGTTTAAGTCATGACAGGTCGATCAAAGTCTATCATCCAAGAATGGAGGCAAAAGTAATTATACTGCCTGTTCCACTTTCTTCATGATGCAAACAAGAACAGATATAGTGGACATCTGAAAAGACAACTTTTTAGATGTAAAGAATCTTTATTAAAAGAAAAAAAATTAAATGTATCAGAACTACTTTAAACCAATCCACTTTATATCCAATTTTACGTATTATGACCATTTCAGAGACACTTACTGTTGCTAATCTTTACAAACATTCATTCCATTTTTGATGAAATAAAGCATTTAAAATACACAGATCTACTGTTGCTGTAATATTACTAGTTACAGTTCCAGGCTGTTACTAAAATAGTTTATGGGTCAGCTAAACTGCAGAACTTTAAATTTTAAACTCGAATGGCACCCCTTCACCTACTGTTCGTGCAGGTCATATATGTCTTGTTAGAATTAAAGAACATTTTGAAAAACTAAAAAGCATAGTTCCACTGTCTACATATTTAACATAGACATTCCCATCTCCAGGTTCCTTCTCACACCTTTTGATAACAAATGAGGTTCCCCTTGGTGCTACCATGACTCTGACCCCTGCTCAGCAGTTTGCTACTGCAGAAGTTATATTCCAGCAATACAGTGGTACATCAGTTTACAAACGCATCGGTTAACAATTTTCGGTTTACAAATGAAAATAATGCCTTGGTGTACGATTTTTTTTTTTTTGCAATATGAAGCAAGTTTCCCCAGGATGCATTGCGCCTGGGAGGTTTATAGTGCCGCCCTTGTGCATGCCGGAGTCTGTGGGTAGCACGTGACTTCGAGTGAGGAGGTGTTGGAGCGATTTTTGCATTGAGTTTTGGAGCCATTCTGAAAAAAAAATTTGCAGCGGTTTTGGGACTTGGAACTTTTTGGTGCATTTCTCAAGTGGAAAGTTAGAGAGCTGAACTTCGCCGTTTGCATGCCTTTTACTGTGTGTTCTGCATTGTGGGTTGGTTTCCATGCCAGCTCATTTTGACTTTTTCTGACCTCTGGAACGGATTAATTGGTTTTCAATGCATTCCTATGGGAAGCCACGTTTCGGTTTATGAATTTTTCGCAATAAGAAAAGTCCTGGAGAACGCATTAAATTCATAAACTGAGGTACCACTGTATTACATTTTGTCAAAGTCTTGATATATTCACTGGATGAGTCAGACGAACAAGAGGTTGGACCACAGGCCATGTGTGTCAAACTGTTAAAAAATGGTTAACAAGGCTGTCAACAAAAGGTACTACAGAAGGCTTTGTAAGAGATCACACTATTTATATCACTGCAATAAATAAAACATTTATCATTTATTTTCTGAGATTTGTTTTATTTGTAAAATAAAACAACCTAGGGTCTTGAGGTTTATTTCCTGTAGAAGTATAATATGGTTCTGAAAAACTATTTGGTACAAAACATCTAAAGCAAAGAAGGGTAACTGTCTCCAACTGCTTCGTAACTACAAGTCCCATGATGCTGGAACAGCTGTCTGAAAACAAGGCCTTTGACCGTCCAAGTTGCATGGTAGCTATAGTATCTTGGAAAAAAAACTGAAGAGCCATTTGCTGGTTACCTTTGGTCTATGGCATAAAAAAACCAAATCATCAGACTTGGTATTGACTCTTTTGGCTCTTGCCATAAGAATATAAAAAAAAAATTTAAAAAAAACTTTAGGCCAGATTACCCAAGACATTTTAATATTGCACATAACACAGTTTGAGATTAATATAAGTCTCCAAACTGTGAAAACAAACCCCTTAAAAGGTTTTTACGTCATTGGCATAGAAAATTATTTCGTCATTGGAATAGAAAATGGTTGGAATGGCAGGAAAAGCACAAGATAGTAACGGAGACTAGTCTTTTGCAAAGAAGATATTTACAATGATCATTATTTTTCTCAAACATATAAACTAGTAAAACTAGGTGTACGCCTTTGGCCTTCTAGTATTCAATTCAATGTGACGGTCACCAAAGAAAATTAACTAATTATGAGCATATCATGAAGATATAATCTTTATGAAATGCTCAACAAGGCTACATTGGAATTTAGTTGAAATTCCAAAGCAGTCAAAACATTTGTAATAAGTGGAAGTAACGCCTTAAGATATCCTTAGATGGTATATGGAACAAGAGAAATAAGACTGTAGAGGATTATAGAGTGTATTATGTTGTTCAAATGGAGTTTGGTAAAAAGAGATGCACTTACAGGATATGGAGCTATGAATTAGCTCAAACTTTATGTGCTTGAGCAGTACAATCCCAAGATTTGCAGTGTATCTCTTGATCTAATCAGGTAGACCAGCATATGAAATAAGAACAGAAAAAGAATATAGCATAGCACATCAGGACAGAATGTGCTAATTTTATAGGTAGAATAGGATTGCAGTCACATGTAATGGAGCAGCGTGATGGCTCCTTTAAACAGCATAGAGTGGTATAATCCCCACTTAGGGATATATTGGTTAAACAGTGTCTTCTTCATAATATATACAAGAGTAAAAAAAATCAAATAAGTAATAAAATGAAAATTCAGTTTCTAGCCTAAGAGAAAGTAAGATTTAACTCAGTCCAATGCACCTGGGGGCTACATTTCAGATACTTTTAGCAATATCCATCTTAGATATATCCACTATGTTTGTAAAGACATTTTTAGTATTGCTTAAGCCAACTGTTTGTGGTCATACGACCAAATCTTCAAAATTCTCATCGGCTATCTAAGGAGGATTTGTCTAGACAACAGTAACACTTCGAGAAAGCCATGTATTGTGGTGAAATGTGTTAGTGTTACTATTTAACTTTGCATTTTTAGTATTTTTCTTATTATATTACATCTAAATAAAGATATGATATATTAAAGATTCCTGCACCATCCAGTTTTATTTCTAATACATTCTGGATTGCAATTTCCTCGGTAGGGGAATGTACCGCCCAAGTGACTTAGACAACATTCAACACTTTCTTATGCTCTACTAACCCAGCTCTCCCATTCCTTATACCATCTAAGGAATCTCTCTGTTATGAGGAAAGACATTCAGGCTGCTGCTGGTAATTTAAATACTTAAAGGGACAATATCGTCACCAGAACAACTACAGCTTAATGTATTTGTTCTGGTGAGTCCAGTCAGTGCCTGCAGGCTTTTTGAAGTAAACACTGTCTTTTTAGAGGAAGTGTTTACATTACAGTTTAGGGACAACTCTGTTGGCCACTCCCCAGATGCATCTCTATGAATAGATGCCGACTGGCCAGGACAGTGTTAAAATAAACCACTAGATTATGCACCCGTGGTCTTGCAGAACCTTCCATGCATGGCAGTACAGCACCGACATAGGCTTGTAGTGGACGAATCGCCAGGATTTGAAAAAAGAAGATAGCGGTGCTTGGGAGGTACAGCATCAGGTAAGTATAACTCACCAGAGCTGCATCCCTGGGCCCTTGCACCCCAAACAGCGATGTCACCATCAGGGATCTTTGAAAAAAATATCCAAAGACTCCAGAAGATATAAAGCTTTAAGTGCCTACAAAGAGGCCATCCAAAATTATAGGTTCAACATCTGGAGGCAGATGGATGCCTTGATCTTGGGTCCTATAATCAGGGCTCATATTTTATAATTGCTCACTGGCGAGTGTGTGCCATGGATCCTCTAGGCTTGCAATCCTGAGTAACTAAACCTTGTCAAGTAGCATAGGACCTGTAATTTTAAGCCTTTCTACAATGACACTAGCTGCAACCTTGATTTCTACTAAAGTTCTGACTCCTTTGACTACTCACATGAAATCTACACATTCTACAAATTTGACTACCCGCAGGAAATATAATATAATATAATATAATATAATAATTGCTGGATTTCTCAACCAAGAAGCTAAAAAATAAATGTTTGATTCTGTATATTCACATCTAATAAGTGAAACTATAATAAATAGTTTCTCTGCCATAGAAAAGTGTTTGGTAGGTATAGAAACTCTTATAATTATGTGCTCTATTGTCGGCAACAAGGATATGTGGAGGGAGAAATGCAGCAGACCAAAAAAACAAAAACAAACAGTATATATAAGCATCTATATAGTGCCAACATATTCAACAGTGTTCTACAGTTATACAATGGGGATATACTGCAAGTGACTAACATAAAAAATGTAAAGATACAAGAGGTAAAGAGAGCACTGCTCAATCAATTATATAATATAGAAGATGAGCATACAGCATAGGACAGCAGTAGGCAACCTTCAAGTTGTGGAGAGGTCCCATAATGCATCTTAAAGCCATAATACTGGCAAGATGTACTCCACAACTCCTGGAGTGTTGAAGTTTGTCTACCCCTGGACCAGAACATGACAGGATTTGGTAATTGTACTTGGGTTGAGTATATCTACATTCTTATTTATAATTTAATTAGTATATACATGTACTGAAAAGTTATGGTAAAAATCAAAGGATTTAGACAAGCTGCTACACTTACCAGCTATTACGAACAATATCATATATCCAAAAAGAGTTTCTGACATTTTCCTCACGTTTTTCTTTATCTTTACTGAGACCCGATAATACATGGATTTCATTCAACTCTGGATCAATGGTGGCTCTTTGAGTGAATCCAGTCATGGGGACTACAAATCAAAACAACATTTTGTCAAAGATCCTAAGTGGATTGTAGAACAATCCTCAAAAAAAACAAACAAACAAAAACAAAAAAACAGCAGTTCTAAAGCTGAGGTAACATTGAATTTTACTGGGATTACTTTATTTGTAACACATTTTTAAAGTCCAGAATTATTTCAAATATAGTGAATAATGGTTATAACCATTGGGGCACCAACATTTCCCAAAGAACATATCATGATGGCTCAGATGGACATTGGTACTTAAAGAGTTAAAGGTCACATTCACAAGGGTTTGATACTAGGCAACTTTAGCTATTCATACAGATCAAGTGAATTAAAGAAAAACACATTATTTTTACAGATAAAACAAACAAAAAAAAACACACATTTATATGTTAGCATTTATATTGTAGCAACAAATTCCTATATCAGATGGATGACTGGGTGCACATGCGTTGTTTACCTGGGAGTGAGATGGCAGCAGGATGCACTAAAGGTAAGACAATAGGCAGACTGAGGCAGTGTTATGCTCAGGGCAATGTTCTACTGGAAACTTGGGTCCTGGCTTTCATGTGGATGTTACTTTGACACATAACACTTTCCTAGAGATTGTTGCAGACCACGTACACCCCCTTCATGCCAATGGTGTTCCATGATGGCAGTGTCCTGTTGTAGCAGGATAATGCACCCTGCCACACTGCAAAAATTATTCATGAATGGGTTAAGGAATATGACCGAGTTCAAGGTGTTGCCTTTGCCTCCAAATTCCTCAAATCTCAAACCAATTGAGCACCTGTGCCATGTGCTTGAACAACAAATCCGATCCAAGGTGGCTCCACCTCATAACTTGCAGGACTTAAATGATCTGCTGCTAATGTCTTGATGCTCCAGGTTCAGAGGTCTTGTGGAGTCAATGCCTAAATGCATCAGAACTGTTTTGACAGTTCGAGGGGACGTACACGATAGACAGGTGGCTTTAAAGGGACACTCCAGGCACCAAAACAACTTTGTGCCAGGAAGCCCCTGGAGGCATCACTGCCGACTGTCTTCACGACCGACCGTAAGTGGCCTCAGTTTCTCTCATATCTTGGTTTGCAAAGAATTTGGTGTTTAAAGATCCCCAACCAATCAAAGGCAGCCAAGATTATGAGAAAAAAACAGATGGGAGGGGGAAGAGTTACAAGGAGGTCAGTGCTGTGGAGTAACTGCTGCTAAAGAGACTTCTTTTCATCCGACCATGTGAGTGAGTGGAAGGAAGCTGTGTAACCACCCCGAAGCACATAGGGAACCCAGCCATGTATACATAAGTATAAACAATTAAAATCTTATTGTATGGTGTTAAGGGTCTACATATAATATAATTCAATGTCAGGTTTATACTTATGACAAAACTGTAACGGTAGCCTAATTTACAATCTGGTATCCTTGCCCCTTCATTGTCTAATATCCTTATCAAGTGTCAGTACCACTTACCAGTGGAAAGATTTAAGAACTGCATCCACCACATTGGAATGATTTCAAGTGGGTATTGTGAGAACTAGACCAACCAGAGTGGTCCCGAGTGGTCAATATTTTTTACTTCAAGAATTAGTGGATTACTGGATTCTGTTGGGGTGAACCTTTGGATCGTATTGAAATTTAGCAGAGGTGATTCTATTTGACCAATTGTTATTTTTGTGGATAATTTATGGGATAATTATTAATATTTTTTTAGTAATTTGACTATTTTGTAGCCGCCCTCTATGTAGACTGGTTCTGATCAGCCCAGATTAAACAGATTTATCATGTATACACATTTAAAGTTAGGTTTTTCACATAATCAATATTTATTGGACCTTGCTTATATAAGAATATTGGTTCATCTACAATAATTAGGACACCTTAGAACCATCACTATCTGTATTAGTAGCTTAATATCCTTGTAGAATATTTTACTATTAAAATTTTTATTTCTGATCAACCCAATTATATTCCATTTTAATATAGGGTTTTATACATATTTTAATGTGGTACAATATCATGGTTTTAGTTTTACTTGTGACTGCTTATTAATCTCGTGCAAGAGCTGTAGACAAAAAAGCTATACAAAACATTATTTTAGAGAAAAAAAAAAAAAAAGTATCACCCAGAGGACCTTATGTGCTCCAAAGACATTTTACTCTTACCCATGCCAGAGTCTTTTTTGGTGCCATCTGATATGATTTCCACATGGTCATTGTCAACTTCATAACTGAAAAAGTCATTCAAGTACGTCTTTGACCTCTGTCCTCCAAACACATACAAACAGCGATTTTTCTGGCAATGAAGAACAAGAGAGGTTATGGGGAAACAATTTTCATGTGTAAATGGACACTGTAGGCACCCAGACCACTTTAGCTCATTGAAGTGGTCTGGATGCAAACTCCCATCATCCTTAACCCTGAAGTGGTAATTATTGCAGTTTTTATAATGCGAGCGTGGCCATTGCCGTGTATGCGCATTAGGTCTCACCCGCCGGCGAGTGTTTTCCTGGCACTATAGTTTCCCTTTAATTACAATAACTACGTGATTGTTCTTGATCTGGTTGCATGATTCCAGAGATACAAAAATATAACTAATTTGACAAAATAGTGCCAAGTTGAAAATATATTTTGCTAAAAATGTTAAGCTACAGTAGAAGAGTCTCAAAAGTTTGTTGAGTTTCGCCTCGATTCATACTACTCAAATAGTAAGTGAGGCTTGAAGGTACAGATATAGTTACTGTGGATAGACCTCTAGATCCATAAAAAAAAACACACACACACACACACACACACACACACGAGAATTATGGAGAAAAAAAGTTGAGCAAAAAAAATTTCTTGCTGATTATTGAACCAACGTTATAAAATGTTAGATAGCCCAACTGCTGTCTCAAATGTAAGCGTTTTGCTGCATTTACAACTAAGACGTTCATACAAATCACCCAGTACATCTAACTCTCTCAGACATTCTGTAAGTCTGGGATATTCTCTTGAAGGTTGTTTTTAAACATAAACATGTAGTAGGAGTGAGCTACATTCCTGACTTCAGATTTCATAAAGTGGGAGTAAGCAAAAATACAATTACCAACATAACCTCTGATATAGTACCAATGTAATGAGAAAAGAAAATAGGTTAATTTGCCACACACACACACACCTATATATTTTTTTTATTTATAGGAGTTGACACTGTACAATAATAAAAGAGAAAAAAGCACAACACACAAATTGAAAACTGGCAGTAAATAGTCCATGAAAGAAATATTTTCTTACTGAATGAAATAGCATGCAGTGTCCTATGCGGGACTGTATGTCCTCTGGTCCAGCATTGCATGAGTCTTCTCGAAGAAGTTTCCACGTCCGTGTTTGGCAATCAAAAGCAAAGAGTCCACTAAACTGCGGCTCTGTGGCCCTGCTGTCATCCACACTGCCATTACACGTCAAGATACGCCCTCCAAAAGTGTATATCATGTGCTTTTCAGAGTCCATACACATCTACAAGACGAGAGTTGAATAGTTTACAAATTACAGGCTTGAATAAAATACAAAAAGCTTGTAATTGTGGAAACAAAATTGTTTGGTACATGAATCCTAAAAAAGATAACTGAAACAGATTAACAAATACCTGTTAAATTCTGGGAATAGTATAGTACATATTTAGGAGCAAATTTGATTTTGTTTAAAAACAGAGTAAGAAGCGAATCAAACTGTAATTTAAAATGCTTAACAAGGTTTAATGTGGCACGAAGGTTCCTAAACAGTCCTTGCTTTCATGGATTTTACAAGTCCTCTGTAAAAGGAACACTCCCCCTAAAGCACTGATGTGTAAAGAGTGTCCTTTTTTTCCCCATAGAAATTGACACTTTTATAAATTAACCTTGCTACAACCCCTCCCTGGCTGTCAATTAGACAACCGGTCCTGCTACTTCCTACTTTGACTAGTTCAGTGAAGTTCCTGCTCATGCCTATAGCAGTTCTAAAAGTATTAGAAAAACTTCCTGCTCTGCACTTAGAACTGCACGTCCTGGGTGTCGGATGGTGTAAATTCCACAACCCTGTAATAGACTCTTAGCTCTTTACTTATGTGTGACAAACAAAAAAAAACAAAACAAAAAAAAGTAGTTGGGAAAAATGGTTTCCACAAAGAAGGACTGTTACGTTAATAAGTACATTTCACTGATAAAAACACAACACAATCATTAAAATTGCTAGCTCAATATGTAAACGATGCTACCACTGACCTGATGATCAAACACTAGTTTTGGTCCTCCATCTGCAGCAGTATCTTCACTTAGTAGTGACCATGTGTTTGTGTCGATATCATAGCGGTAGAAATCACTTTTCAGTGACTTGCTGTTTCGAACCGAGGAGTCCAGATATCTGCCTAGAGTATAAATCTGCCTTCTCTGTGTATCAATGCACATCTTGTGACAAGATCTTGCACTTGGGCCATTCTGAAGGAGAAAAACACAATATGACATACTATTGCTATCTTATTTTTTTTAAAGTTGATGTGAGGTTACGATGCTCATGAATATTGAATCTAGTCTGCACACCAATTATTTTTCCGTATTTACACATCAGTAGAGACTTGAAAAGAATTCACCCTAGTAGTTTCCATCAATATACCAGATGGACTGCTATACTACCAAGCTGGTTCACGTTCTGGGTAATGTTCACTGTTTGAGTACTTTAAAACTCAATCCCACCTAACAGGGAATAAACCTGCAGAAAATTTGAATATTGATATAGCCAAGAGCTTGGCATAACACTACAAATACATTGCATGCAAAGGTTGTAATAATAGCAAAATCTATTCCTCTGGCACAGTAAAATGTAAGACAGCATAGTGTGTGGACATCACCAGAAAAAGTATAACCGGTGACAAACATTTAAGAAAGATTTTATCAAATATAAAAATATTTAGGATTATTAATTTTTGACCACCAATTCTATGACACAACATTGAGATCTGATAACTATTACATTTACTCACACATACAAGATAAAATAGCTAGGTGTACATACATAAAACAATGATTACTACTGCATAGGGATGCACTGAAATGAAAATTCTGGGCCAAAACTGAAAATTCAGGATGCCCTTGGCAGAAAACTGAAACCAAAAATATATATCCAAATCCTTAAAAATGCCTGTCAATTCTGTTAAATCACTTATTAAGCGGAAAATTCGGGGAAAGAAAGCCAAGGTCAGGTAGACCAAAAGAAGATTTCAGCCACAACCGCCAGAAGAATTGTTTGGTATACAAAGAAAACCCCACAGGTAACCTCAGGAGAAATATAGGCTGCTCTGGAAAAAGGTGTGTTTTTTTCAAGGAGCACAATACGACAATATATGAACAAAAATTAGCTGTATGGTCGAGTTGACCAAAAGAAGCAGTTACTGCACCAATGCCACAAAGAAGCCGGTTACAATATGCCTGACAACACCTTGACATGCCTCACAGCTTCTGGCATACCGTTATTTGGAGTGCCAAGACCAAAATAGAGCTTTATGATCACACACATAAGCGCTACGTTTGGAGAGGGGTCAACAAGGCCTATGGGGAAAAGAATACTATCAACACCATGAAGCATAGTGGTGGCTCACTGATTTTTTATTTTTATTGGGGGGTGAGGGGGATGGGGGGTCTGAGCTCTAAAGGCACAGGGTATCTTGTGAAAATTGATGGCAAGATGAATGCAGCACGTTCTCAGAAAATACTGGCAGATTATTTGCATTCTTCTGCACAAATGTGGCGCATGGGATGCTATTGGACTTTCCAGCATGACAATGACCCTAAGCACAAGGCCAATTGTTCCAGTGGTTACAGAAGTAAAAGGTGGAGGTTCTGGAGTGGCTATCACAGTCTCCTGACATTAATATCATTAAGCCACTCTGGGGAGATCTCAAAGGTGTGGTTCATGCAAAACTACCAAAGACTGCCTGGAGGAATTTTGCCAAGACGAATGGAAAGCTATACCACCTGCAAGAATTAGGGGCCTCAGACAACTATTACAAAAGACTGCACACTGTCATTGATGCTAAAGGAGGCAATAAAGAGTATTAAGAACTAAGGGTATGCATACTTTTGAACAGTAAAGATTTCATTTTTTCTTTGTTACCAAGTTTTGTTTTATTATTGTGCCATTCTGCCACTATGAATACCATAAGAAATAAAATAAATATATGTTTTGCCTGCTCACATGTTTTCTTTACAAATGGTACATATATTACCAATTCTCCAAGGGTATGCAAACTTTTGAGCACAACTGTATGTCAGTAGTTATATCTAGTAGGACTACGGTCACCCTGGAGTTTGTATTTGCTTTTGTATTTTATTTATTACTGGTATTTATAAAGCGCCAACACATCCCGCAGTGCTGTACAATTAGTGGAGAACGTACAATATACACAGACAAATACAAAAGGTAGAGAGGGACCTGCCCGTAAGCCAATATCTAGCCATTGAAGCTCTTTTATACAAAACCCGTGAGTTTACAATCTAAAGGATACAATGGGGATTTGAGACAAGATTTAGCAGGGGAAATTTGGGAGCAATGGCTAAAAGAAGTTCACAGAGAATGGCAGCTATTGGTAAAATGTAAAGGGAATGAAGAGATAAAAGAGTGAGAATCTCAAACAGCTGGAGGAGCATGCTATATATTTAGGGAAAACCTGGATAGGCTGTAGGGTAGTGCTGAGGAAAAATGCAGAGCTCCTGTATTGTTGGTTCTGGGAGTGTAAGGTGAGGCCTGAAGAACCGGGATGGAAATGGAACAGTTATATGAATATATTAACAGCTGGGATGAGAATAAGAAAAAAAGGGGGAGGGAGAGAGGGTAGAGAAGCCATGTGTTATATACAATTAAAAAAAAGTTTTGCAACCAAATTCTATCACCCAAAATATTACTGTGTACATGAGATACTGGTCAGAAACATCAAATGACAATAATAAAAACTACATGCACAGAAAATTACAGTGGCAAAATACAGGTATAATTGGAAACAATTCTATAGTAACACATGATAATATGGTAGCAATGCAAGAATAAATTAGGTGAAGTATCTTCCAAACTTCAGTCAGTACCTGGGAGTTGTGGGAGTTCATGCAGGATGTTAAATGCAGAGCTCATGTATTGTTGGTTCTGGGAGTGTAAGATGAGGCCATTAAACAGCCATGTTACAGTGCTGCAGCTCAGCCCATGCATTCCCTATTAAGGGTTAATAAGTGTGAAGGGGATTAGAAAAATACCCATTTGTTTCATTAGAGGTGGTACCAAGGTGAATTGTTAGAGTAGGACTCCCCTAAGAAGTTTTCACTTGATGTGGCAGGTGAGCTTACACTTGAATGGCCATTGGAGTGATACTAAAAACTCCAGTTATGTAAATATGCATGGGGATTTGGGAGAGTGCACAAGTAACTTTTTTCTTTGGTTTTTACAATAGGTATTCATGTCTATGTCACAGTTAACATACTTCAGTTAATTCCAACTAAGGAGAGTTCTGCCAAACAAGTGCTAGATTGCTTCAGCTACCCACAGGTAAATAAATACCAAGTGCAAGTCAGTTTCTCCAAATATTTTTTTTCAAACTTCCTGAACAAATGTATGTTTTCTGAATCTGTGGGCATTAAATGACCATTCTGAGGACCAAAATCACATGATGTAAATGAAGTGGTTATGGTTCCCAGAGTTCGCTGCCACCTTCTACCTTTGTGCGTTTCTAGTAAAAGAATCAATGGAAAACTTACCTCTTTCTCTGTATCTCTAGATATGCAGACCCACTGATTGTCACGGACACTGTATGCCCAGAAGTCAGCCAGATCCTGAGTTCCATCCCAACCACCAAATAAATACACCGTCTCTAACAGACAATTAAAAGGATAAAAGGAAATCAATGTATGACTACACAAAGAACTGTTCAATAGAATTTTGGTTAGGAATTAAGTAAAACTTCAATAATTACTGAAACATCTGGGGGTCTGTTTCTGCTCTTGTGCTGTGCAGCTTGCTATAGCTATGGTGTATGATTTTTTTTTTTGCATTTGCCATATTGTGTTCTTTTTGTATTTTAAATTATACCAATAGTTTGTTTTTGTTTTTTTTTACTGCTGTATTGGTGAGCATATCTGGTAAAATAGACAAAAATGGGGGATGATGGAGCACAAAAAGACTAACCTAAAAATGGGGGTGTACTACTAAGTTATAGAGTAGTATCTGAGGGAATGTTGCAGTCCCCTATAGGAAAATACCTCTAACCTATAAATTAACTCATACAAAAAAAAAAAAAAAACAAACCCAACCAAAAAAAAAAACAAACGCATTCTAACCAATATAGATATCCTTGTCACTCTTAAATTCCAGTAACAAACATTAAATGATGTGCAAAACACCCTATAATATATCACACTTCACAACAATGCTTGCTCTGTGTTTGAATTCTTCACAAACTCCTCCAGGTTTAAAAAAAAAAAAAAAAAAAAAAGTGCAGTAGGGTAGTAATAAACATAGAATTTAGAAGACAATAGTGGCTTTAGCAATGATACAAAGTTGCCCAAATGGTTTCTCTGGGTTTAGCTCCATGGCACAGAAGAAACTGCAGTCTATAATCTAAGATGAAAATTAACTACTAATGGACACTTTAGCAGTATTGAGAGTGTCCTTTTATTATATAAATACACACATATACCGGTGTATATATATATATTATTGGTATTTATATAGCGACAACTAATTTCACAGCGCTTTATACATATATACACATATATATATATATATATATATATATATATATATATATATATATATCTATCAATTATAACTTCATTAATTTGTTAATTTTAACTTATTAATTCTTAGAATTTTTCACTCTCAGACATTATTATTTTTTATTTTTTTAAACTACCTTTCCCCAATAATGGTGAAGGCAAGTTTAGTATAAGATGTTTTGCAAACATCTGATGCTTGATACTGGAAACCAACTGTGCATGTGGCACAACTACATGTATATGCAGTATATCTACATCAAGGTACTTTCAAAAGGTATATAACTTAAGTGTTAACTTTTACTTCTTACGCAGAAGGTTTGTTATGCTCTAATCCAGAGATAAGCAACCTTTTAGTAGTACTGTGCCAAAACAAGACCTTTAAGTTGCTTGGCATGCCGGTTCTATTTTTTTTTTTTTTTTTTTAAATTGAGGTGTATATGTTGCTGTATTGTGCTTGCATTATATATAGGTGCTGCAGTTGCTTTGTAGGGTTTTCTTTTTTCCATATTTGGGTTGTTATATATGTTTATAAGTAGTTTGTGGTATTGTGCATAATACCTATGAATGTGTATGGTGGCTGATTGTGGAATTGTGTGGGTGATATGTCACATTGTGTGTTTGGTGGGGTGTTTATGTGTGGGGCTGCTTGTGGCATTGCATGTGAGAGGCTGCTTGTGGGGTTGTGGGCATGTATGTGGATTGTCATAGTTACATAGCTAAAAAGAGACATGTGCCCATCAAGTTCAGCCCCTCTCACATTTGTTTTTGCTGCTGTTCCAAAAGAAGGCAACAAACCCAGTCTGAAGTGCTTCCAATTGTGAAACAAAAAATAAAATCCTTCTTGACCCCAGAATGACAGGTCGATATCTCCTTGCATCAAGAATCTATTACCTCACTAATTAAAATTGATATCCCTGTATATTATGTTTTTGGCAAGTATTCTTTGCAAGTATTTTTTCTTAGGTACATAAATGAGAAAAGGAAAACCAGGAATAGTTAGATAAAAAAACAAAAGGAAGGTATGTAGAAGAGGATAAAGGTCTAGCTGACTGCCTCAATTAATATTTTTGTTCAGTATTTACAGATGAAAATGAAGGAAAGGGGCCAGAGTTAAGAAAAGGGACAAATTAGTCATTTGTTACATGTGAGTGAAAACAGAGAGGGTTTGCTCAAAGCCCTAAAGTATGACAAATGAATAAACTTAACTTTTAATATGTACAAAGTAGTGAAACAAGTGCAAAGGAATATATACAAATAACAGCTATATTTGCCACTTTTGCATTTTATGCAGATTCAGTTATACTTATTAATAGTTTTTCTTTCTTTTATTAGAATGTGAGGTGTACCATAAATAAATTTTTACATACACCGTAATTTAAGGGAAAATATTCTTTTAAATTTCATAGAATTGACAATTAACCTTTTTTTTTTTTTTTTTTTAAATAACGGTTTTCTTACATTTCCCTAATTTGTGGTATACTAAGGTCATGTATACACATGGCATCCTCTGTTACATACTTCTGCCACAAACAGCTGTTTTTCATTTGCAAAAACTTATGCCGTCTCGGGGCAGGGTTGCGGTTGCCAATAAAGTTGTTTTGCACTCTATGGTGAAACGTTTGCGCAACGGACTCTTCCGGGGTCGCGTAACATGGCGTCGGGTGGTACATCGATGTGTGCGACTCCCCGGAAGGAAAGGTGTCCGTATGCGCATCTGTTTATTCACCAATTGGGTGCGAAGAGGCAGCTATTTAAGAAGATCTGGAGAAAAACTCCCATCACAACATTCTGACTCTTGAGAAGTCCTGACGACCACGGGATGAAACGCGTCGAGCCTCACAAGTAAACATCCTTTTAATCTATTTTTAGCACTTTATAGGTATTAATTACCACTTTATACCATTAGTGCTTGCTGTGGACTCATCTTTGCTGTATGTACATTTTTTATTATTATATTTGCATATTATTGTATAACTAATTGTTTGTAATTTATATTCCTCTCCTTCTCTGCCTTTCTTTTTATGGGCTTGAGCCCCATCTCACATCCATTAATTTAAGATGGGTAAATATGTGGTTTCACAAGTGTTTTTACTTGGACACTCAAGGGTGATTGTTTATTGTATTTATAAGGTTTTTAAGGAGTGAACCTTTTGAGTGGCAGCTTTTCGACCAGCTCCTGCACGAGTGCTATATCCACTGTGTATTTGGCAAATGGTTTGTATTGGCCCTGAATATATATGTATAATGCCAGCATATCCTCTTTGAGGCAATGTTTTTCTAAACTAAAGAGATTTACATTTGTTAACCTTTCTTTGTAACTAAAATGCTCCATACCTTTTATCAATTTTTCAGCCCGCCTCTGCATTTTTTCTAGTGCCATAATATCCTTCTTTAGAACAGGTGCCTAAAATTGCACAGCACATTCAATGTTTGGTCTTATGAGTGATTTAAAAAGATTAAATTATATTTTCATCCCGAGAATGAATGCTCCTAGTTATACATGACAATACGTTACTGGCCTTAGCAACTGCCAATTGATATTGCATATAACAATTCCCAAATCTTTGTCAGTGGTGTTGTGTTTGTGAGTACCGTGTGTTGATTGTTTGTATTAATTGTATGAGGGAGAGGCTTATTCTGCAACTCTATGTATACCTAGCAGTGTGGGTGGCTTTCCTAAGGTCCAGTGGGTACCATGCTGGCCAAGTACAGGTGAGGGGCAGGAAGCGTGATAGCTGCTGTGGGCTGCTCTACTCCAGCGTGTATGCCTACTCACAAGTGCTGGACGATTTTTGGGATCACTTCCTCTAAGTGCTGCAATGTGTAAATTTAGGATTGCCCCTTACCACCTGCAATCACTGGTCCTTTGGAATTAGCAGATATTCGAGGTTCCATTGTAACTCCTGACAGGCCATAGCCTCTTTGGCTCTGGCAGCCTTGTGTGCCGTGCAAAGGCACCTCGAGTGCCATAGGCTGCTGACCCCTGCTCTAGTCTACATGCACTGGATAGCGTTAATGTGGTACAATAAGCTCCATCTACTGACATTCATGTATTTATATGCATGCCACGACGCAACAGTAACTCATCCCACCTTACCCATCACAACCTACACCTATTGAGACATCTAACTGCTCAACCAAATTCCTGACCTTATCTGCCCTAATCTTTTTCAAGTCCCTTTTAGACCAATCAGTATAAACTATCAACTCTTCCCTATTAACCTTACTGGACCTCCAGTGTCTGCTTCAAATGATGGCTATATGAAAAAATTCTAAAATAAAAACAGAATTGCATTCCTGAGCAACGTATTGTGGTAAAGAATATGCAGACAAAGTGATTAATATGCAATTACTGCAGTTCATTTATCAACATTTATTTTATGATTGCAGTTGTTGTAATTATTAGTTGGATATGCTTGACTAAATACAAATTGTACAACAGCAGATAAACCACCAAGGTTTTCAAAGCACACCCTCAAGTATACTAATTTATCAAGATGCTTGGAATACACTGGCAAAAAAATATATAATAATATGATCTTTGTTTAAATCTATTTTATTTAAAATGTTAGCGATGCTTAACCAAAAACCATAGAAACCAGTGTAAGTAACTCTGTAAGCATGGAAGCCTATTTTTCAAAGCAGGTGTAAGCAACCTTTCACACTCCACATGTTTTGGACTACAGCTCCCATAATGCTGTTGAGTCAATTTAAAAAGTATATCCGAAAAATAATAAAAATAAATCCAAGCCTGAAAAAGCTGCAGATCTTCTGTCACAGGGGAGGTTTTTAAGTCCTCCCCTCCAACTGAAATATAGGAGGGTTGATTTCACATTGAAATAGGTACTTTTATAAAATGCTATTAAGATGGGACATTCCATACACAGAAAGCACTTCAGCAAGTTGTACACTAAACAGATTTTTTTTTGAGTCTCTAGTATGTGCAGTAGCATTTCACTTGACTACAAAGACTACTAGACCACAAAGGTTGGCTTTACAAATTCTGGCAATGTTTAGAAAGTGGAAAACTAAATGTAAGAACACAACTCTTTCTTCGTGCAACTATTACAAATAATAAACAATTGTTCTAAAACATAACTGATATCAACGGTCCTCTCCATCTTATTTTTATGCATATATAAAAATGAAGAAAAACAAAAAGCAGTTATCATGTAAACATAGAAAGAACAAAAGAACTTAAGACTGTTGCAATAATAGAGTTATTTGGGTTTATCAACAGTAGCCTTTCAGTAGAACTCAGAACCTCTAGTTTTCTAACGAATAAGATGGCCTTTGTGCACACAAATTCTCACAGCTCAGAAACTCGGGTCACTACAACAGCTTCATTCACACTGGAGCAGAGCAAAGCAAAATCTGGCACAGAATGCACATCCGATGGAACAGCTGCCAAAACACCAGCAGCCATAGTGCCAAATGCTTTGTTTGTTTGACATTAATGTAAATGTATAGAGAACAATTTAATACAGTACACTGTCTAGCAAAATAGAGGACCCAAAATCAGATATATTTTAAAGAAAATAATTAACATACTTTATTCAGTATTTTCCAAATAAAAACTGAATAGAAAGCAACTATTAAGCATGAGCATAACCAAAAACAAAAAGAGTACAGATTTGCATTCTATAATTGGTAACGTAAATAGATTTGTATTAAATGGTAACTAAATAATAGTATGCTGTTAGATGCAATTCAAATATGGAGCATTAGCAATATCGCTATGCTGGGTAAATGTACACTGAATACAGCACATACTTACACCAAATGCTGCTTCCAGGACCTGGCTGTGTAGTCACAGATTTGGAATGCAGACTTATCTGAAGTTGCCACTCACAGCTGTTACCATCTTTTCTCTGAGCATCCCCTTCACAGGAGCCACATCAGTGATGTATTCTCACAAATGCAGTCTTTAGAGGACCACGCAAGATCCCTGTACCCGTGGCCATCACCAAAGATGTCAAGTTTGCGGGTCTTGGCATAATAGGAGTCTGTATGTAGAATAATTTCTGGGTATCTGCGCTCCAAATCTATGACCACCCAGTCCAGGTGCTGAAAACAACATTGGGTGTAAGCATCCTGGTTATAGCATGCACATCTGCAACGATTCATCAACTTTTGCCTACCTCACATTCACCACATGGTATCTTTCAATTGTGTTGGAATTTCAGTAACATTTCATCAGTCAGACTTTAAAGTCTATGGGAATTTTTGTAGATTTATGATTAGTTTTTTCAACAATATTGAATCATTGGGAAAGCATTAAGTCAAGACCTTAATTCAACACAAACTGATAATAGCAGCCTACAAATAAATTCAGCTGAAAAGCTTTAACATGTTAGAGGTAGTAAAATAACATATCTACCAGATTGCACATCAATGACCATCTGATGTCCACCTCTCATTCCTGGCCTACTATCTTCTCCATCACCTAAAGGAGGATACAAAAAAAGTAAGTAGATCAACTTAACCCCTTAAAGACAGCCTTTTTTGAGATGCAACGTGTTTGTAACCAAGCTTTTATGGCACTTCTGTTATGTGTTTAACTACAACTTCCACCTTTCTGCTTAACTGCACATACATATACGATATATAAAGAAAAACTCAAAACAGATTGACCAATTAGCTCTGATTGTTAAAATGTCCAATATGTCTAGGATTTCAATTAGTTTTTAGAAGTTATGAATACAAATACTGCAAGGTGGCAAGCTGAGATTACAACTTTATTAGTAGTCACAGAATCCAAAGTCGATACAAAGTTATATATATTTGCAGAAAGTACATTCCCCATGCCATGTAATCAAGAGCATTTTGACACTTTTCATTTACCCATTTTTATCACAAACCTTAGTCAAATTAGTTGTTTTTTCCACCACCCACACATTTTGGTATCGCTTTTGAGTACAACAATACCGACTATATACTTTTTCTCCTAACCCAGCCCTTAATATTGTCCCTATTTCTACCCTCTGATCCTACCCCCTAGTCCCACTCACTGTGGACCCAACTGAGAGAGGAGACCCTCAGGCATCGAAAGATACCTGGAGTTCCTTGGTACCAGGAGAGATTTAACCCCTGCTCGTACCTATACTGCATGACGGTTAATGCGGTCAACAAACGTTAAAGCCTTGCACGAACGTATATGCACTGAACAAAATTATAAACGCAACACTTGTTTTTGCCCCCATTTTTCATGAGCTGAACTCAAAGATCTCAGACTTTTTCTAGGTACACAAAAGGCCTATTTCTCTCAAATGGGGTTCACAAATCTGTCTAAATCTGTGTTAGTGAACACTTCTCCTTTGCAGAGATAATCCATCTAACCTTACAGATGTGGCATATCAAGATGCTGATTAGATAGCATGATTATTGCACAGGTATGCCTTAGGCTGGCCACAATAAAAGGCCACTCTAAAATGTGCAGTTTTATCACTCTGCACAATGCCACAGATTTCACAAGGTTTGAGGGAGCGTGCAATTGGCATGCTGACTGCAGGAATATCCACCAGAGCTGTTGCCCGTGAATTTAACGTTCATTTCTCTACCAATAGCCGTCTCCAAAGGTGTTTCAGAGAATTTGGCAGTACATCCAACCAGCCTCACAACTGCAGACCACGTGTAATCACACCAGCCCAGGACATCCACATCCAGCATCTTCACCTCCAAGATCATCTGAGACCAGTCACCCAGACAACTGCTGCAACAATCTGTTTGCATAACCAAAGAATTTCTGCACAAACAGTCATAAACCGTCTCAGGAAAGCTTATCTGCATGCTAGTCATCCTCATCGGGGTCTCGACCTGACTGCAGTTCATTGTCGTAACAGACTTGAGTGGGCAAATGCTCACGTTCGATGGCGTCTGGCACTTTGATTCATCTGTGAAGAGAACACCTCTCCACAGTTTTCACGGTACAGGGCAGATGGTGTCATTTGGGTGGCGGTTTGCTAATGTCAAAGTGGTGGATCGAGTGGCCAATGGTGGCATGGTATGGGCAGGCGTATGTTATGGACAACGAACACAACTGCAATTTATTGATGGCATTTTAAATGCACAGAGGTATCGTGACGAGACCCTGAGGACCATTGTTGCACCACTCATCCACTCACACCAGATACTGACTGGTTTTCGGACCCCCCCGAAGCCCTCAATACATTTTAGAGTGGCCTTTTATTGTGGCCAGCCTAAGGCACACATTTACAATAATCTTTCTGTCTAATTAGCATCTTCATATGCCACACCTGTGAGGTGGGTGGATTATCTCGGCAAGTGTTCACCAACATAGATTTAGAAAGATTTGTGAACAATATTTCAGAGAAATAGGCCTTTTGTGTACATAGAATAAGTCTTAGATCTTTAAGTTCAACTCATGAAAAATGGGGGCAAAAACAAGTGTTGCGTTCACAATTTTGTTCAGTGTAGATTATGCCTCTGAAGTCTCACTGCTCAAATCTCTGCCATTTAGGAGTTGATTACTTTTGTTTGTCCATTCAATCCTAGCCACTACTCCCCTAACTGTGACAGACAGCCTGCATGGAAAAAAAAAATTCACTTTCAATCAGATGCAACTTACTTTAAAAGTTGTTTTTTTTTTTTTTTTTAATCTCCTGCTCTCTAAATTGAACTTTAATCACCCGAAGGAGGCTCCTGCAGGGTCTAGCACGTTTTTAGCAGTGCAGGGGATAAGACATTTTAAATTAAACAAAATTTACAATAATGGAAGTGTAAACAGTTGACTCATTACAGGAAGTGTTAGGAAGGCTGTGTAAGTAACATGCAGGGATGTGTGATTAGGGTGCATAAACAAAGGGATTTAACTCCTAAATGGCAGAGAACAGAGCAGTGAGATTGCAGAGGCATGATCTCTACACCAAAACTGCTTCATTAAAGGGACTCTCCAGTGCAAGGAAAACATTAGTATTCCTGGCACTGCAGGACTATGTGGTGCCCCCCTCCCTCCCACTCTCCATCCCAAGTAGCTGAAGGGGTTAAAACTCCTTCAGTGACTTACCCGTTGGGGGGAGACCTAATGCGCAATAAGCAATGCTTTTCTATGGTGATTTCGGTGACGCTGAAGGTCCTCACATAGCATGAGGACATCCAGCGTCACTTAAAACACTTTTCGTGTTTTAAGAACACGGAAGTCCCTTTAGTGGCTCTCTGATAGACATCCACTAGAGGAGGACTTAACCCTGCAAGGTAATTATTGCAGTTTATAAAAACTGCAATAATTACACTTGCAGGGTTAAGGGTAGTGGAAGTTGGCACCCAGACCAATCCAATAGGCAGAAGTGGTCTGGATGCCTGGAGTGTCCCTTTAGGCTAGAGCTGTTTTGTTTCCTATACAGTCCCTTTTAGAAAAAGAAAATGGAAGAGTTTTTTTTCTTGTTATTTTTTTAAAGAACAAGTACATCAGCAATTGTTACCTTTAGTGCATTTGGGGATTATCTGGTTCCACTGTGGTTTATATTCCTGCTGACTGATGTACTGGCTGAAGAGACCATCTGAATGGGTACATAAGAGAGAAAACATTGTTATCAAATGCTACCAGTACATAGATGTGCACAAAATACAGTAAAAGACACTGCAAAAAAATAAAATATAAATAGGGGGGGGGAGGGGGGGTTATATATTGATCCCACAAATACAAGGATGGATTTATACTGAGCAAAAAAAATATATGGCGAAAGACACCTAGCATTATTTTTAACAGGTAAAAAAAAAAAATACATGAAAATAAATATTATTACCAATCTCATGTTTTTATACAACTGGCTTGCCACTCTGATCTCAGTGCCAGAAATACAAAGCTCCTTCTGCCGCAAAGCTCCTTCTGCCCCTCCCTCGCACCCAAAGCAGTGGCCAATAAAGGGTGGGGGTAAAGTAAACTCTTTATTTACCTTACCCCACCGCCGACGTACCTTGGCGCTGGGTCATGGTTTTGCCTCAGACGTCTCACGATGAGCGGGCGCTAGTGTGCACACGTGGCAAATACAGAGCACGCGTTTATTTAATGCTTTCCTATGGAGAAAAAAAATCTCACACTTGATGTCCTCATGCAGAGCTTGAGGACGTCCAGCATCAGATAATGGTCCAAAGTTCCATTTGGATGCAGGAAGTTCCTCCAGTTGCTGTCTGGGGGACAGCCACTGGAGGCAGACTTCCTGCTGCATTGTAAATATTGCAGTTTCTCTGAAACTGTAATGTTTAACATTGCAGCACTAACGGCAATAAGGACACTGTAACCTGACCACTTCAATTAGCTGAAGTAGTCTGGGTGCCTATAGAGTCCCTTTAAAGGGAAGCAGTTTTGTTGTATAGATCATGCACCTGCTGTCTCACTGTTCAATGCCCTTCCATGAAGTGAGACTTCAGGGGCATGATTTATACACACAAACTGCTTTATTAAACTAAAGTTGCTTTGATGCTTATAGTATCTGTTTAATATAACAAAATGTTAAACTTTCCACAAACAGGACTGAAATAGGATTGTACTTCTGATACAAAAAACAGAAAAATGTAGCGCTTGTGAAGCTCAATATTTACTTGTATTATAGTCTCTGAGGAATATGTTCGGTATTGGTAACCAAGTGCCTAAAACAGAAAGTAATCGTATATAGTGCAGATGGTATATTATGAAAAGATCTCTTTATAGAAATATAAGATTAAACTCACAAACAAAGAGCTGTAAACTCAGCTCTAGTTGGTATCACTTTTGGATCCGTTTAGGCGATCCTCCCCTTATCAAAGTTATTTCTGCTGGGTCCGTATGGGTGGTTTTTCCTCTTCTTTGGTTAGTTCCCCATATTGTAGTTTTAATCCTAAGAAGAGGGCAAAAACACGGACGATTGCGCAGCACAATTTCGATTCTTTTGTAAAATATAAAATCCCAAGTGGGTACTTACAAGCCTGGAGTCAGATATTATGACTCAATTTTCACGTATTGTGCAGTGTGGGACTGCACTCCCATCAAGCAAAGGCAGGGGCAGGTAAGTTAGGTAACTCCAGAAATTCAAATAATATTAAAATTGGCTTTATTTTAAAATAAAAGGGCATAGATATGACTGAAATCTATTAATAAAACAAATAACATCAATATGTTAAAGTGTAGAAAACCAAAACGCGTTTCGCCACTATCCTGTGGCTTTTTCAACTGGATATATTAATACATATATTAATATATCCAGTTGAAAAAGCCACAGTGGCGTTTCGCCACTATCCTGTGGCTTTTTCAACTGGATATATTAATACATATATTAATATATCCAGTTGAAAAAGCCACAGGATAGTGGCGAAACGTGTTTTGGTTTTCTACACTTTAACATATTGATGTTATTTGTTTTATTAATAGATTTCAGGCATATCTATGCCCTTTTATTTTAAAATAAAGCCAATACCAACTAGAAAGTGATACCAACTAGAGCTGAGTTTACAGCTCTTTGTTTGTGAGTTTAATCTTATATTTCTATAAAGAGATCTTTTCATAATATACCATCTGCACTATATACGATTACTTTCTGTTTTAGGCACTTGGTTACCAATACCGAACATATTCCTCAGAGACTATAATACAAGTAAATATTGAGCTTCACAAGCGCTACATTTTTCTGTTTTTTGATTATTTTATTACTTGAGGTGTTGGAAGCACCATATGAATGTTTAGCAGCTAATCTGAATATATCTGTTACCCATTGTATTGGTTTTTAATACTTCTTTTATGTAAAAAGCGCTGGTCCTTATCTGTTATAGTTATACGAATCCTACTTCTGATACAAGACACAAATATTTGGCACAATTCAGATAAAACATACTATCTAAAAGTATATCTTTTTAATCAGTTTTTTTTCACCCATCTACTTTTTACTTGAATGCTAAACAATTACAAGTAAGCTGTAAAGTATCCATTTAAACACCTCCATCATCACCACAGAAAGAAATTGGAAGCATTGTTCTTGAACAGATTTGTAAAATTAATATTAAAGGAACACTATAGTCACCTAAATTACTTTAGCTAAATAAAGCAGTTTTAGTGTATAGCTTATTCCCCTGCAATTTCACTGTCATTTAGGAGTTAAATCACTTTGTTTCTGTTTATGCAGCCCTAGCCACACCTCCCCTGGCTATGATTGACACAGCCTACATGAAAAAAAAAAAAAGACTTGTTTCACTTTCAAACAGATGTAATTTACCTTAAATAATTGTTTATGGAAGGCTGTGCAAGAGGTGTGACTAGGGTTCATAAACTAAGGGATTTAACTCCTAAATGGCAGAGGATTGAGCAGTGAGGCTGCAGGGGCATGTTCTATACACCAAAACTGCTTCATTAAGCTAAAGTTGTTCAGGTGACTATAGTGTCCCTTTAATCATAGGGATGTTCATTTTCTAAAACATGCTCATTTAACTTTCCCTTTTCTGCCAAGAACCACAGTAAATTATAAAAGGTTTCTACATGAAATATATAGGTTATTCATTTAACATATTTTGTTTTAATGGAAAGTGAATCAAACTCTGTAGCATTTAGAACAGGAACAATATATATTTTATTTTTCGAACACTATTACCGAAAATATCAGGGCTATATTGACAGTGTTCCCACGAATTCCTAATGGGCATTGCACAATACTAGTTTTACATAAGCACTTGAGATTAAATTAATCTGAAGTCAGAAGACGTAGAACTGCTTTAGTGGCATGTCAGAGAGTTGCACAGACATCAGGGAGAAAGGGTCAAAGGTACACTATAAGCACTTAGACCAGAGTCATGTAAAAACTTCATAGGAAAGCATTATACATGTGCATTAGGAGCAGAGGTGGAGCCTGAACCAGTGTCAAGAGACATCGGCGCTGGAATTAGTTAAAGGGACACTACAGTCACCAGAACAACTACGACTTATTGAATTTGTTCTGGTTAGTAGAATCATTACCTTCAGGCTTTTTGCTGTAAACACCTGTCTTTTCAGAGAAAATGCAGTGTTTACATTACAGCCTAGTATTAACTTCACTGGCCACTCCTCAGATAGCTGTCAGAGATCCTTCCTGGGTTATGGCTGCCTAAAATGCATCTAAACATTCAGTATCTCCTCCCTCTGCATGCAGACACTGAACTTTCCTCATAGAGATTCATTGATTCAATTCATCACTATGAGGAGATGCTGATTGGCCAGGGTTGTGTTTGAATCATGCTGGCTCTGCCCCTGATCTGCCTCCTTGTCAGTCTCAGCCAATCCTATGGGGAAGCATTATGATTGGATCAGGCCACCACTTCTGATGATGTCAGCAGACAGCTTGTTTTTCTGAGGCACACAGCATGCAGAGCTACAGCTTCAAGCTTGAATACAGTAAGATTTTGCTATATGTATGGAGGCATGAGGGGCCCAGGGGGGCTAGATGGTGGTTTTAACATGATAGGGTCAGCAATACATGTTTGATGTAGTGATCCTTTAAGTCCCAGAAGGGATTTATAACAGTTTTTGCACCACAGGGAGCTTTAGGGCCAAGAAAACAACTTTGTTTTCCTTTAAGCAAACATGGCTTGCTTAACTATCACTTCATGATACTGGTTTCCAAATTCTACAAAGAAAGCAAGAAGATTGCTTCAGGGAATCATATTGCATTAATCCTCAATAAAAATAATATAACTATTTATAAAAAGGTAGAAATAAAATAATTATAACTAGACTATTTTTGGACAGTTTCCATTCAAAATTTTTAAATTTTTTTTTTTACTCAACGCAGTCACAAAACATTTGATGCAGCACAAATTTACAGCTCAATGATTATCAGACCAATGAAATATTTTTAATAAGATCGGTCCTACCATTCACTGCCTTTTCAATCAACTCCTCACTACCATCAAAGTCCCCTTTTAGTACGAGCTTGTCATGAAGCTCTGTTAACATTGGGTGCTCCAAGGCAATTTTGGTTTTCTTCTGTAAGGATTCAAATGCTTCTGTGTAGTTGTGCTGTCGGAAATGTTTTAGGCATAGGCGAATAGCTTCCTGTTCACGGTACTACTGGAACACAAGGTTAAGAATGAGTAAAATTTGATAAACAGTAACGGCCATAAAATGTAAAATTTGTTGAAACAAAAAAGTGCCAGTTTTAAAGAGGAGATAAATTAGGATATTTTCTAATAGCTCAAAAAATTGATATGTTCATGATAAGTCCAAATCTAACAAACTGTAGCACAAGGCGTATAGCTAAATGGTCAAAAATAAGATCAAGAATAAAGACATATGCAGATAATTAATAAGTACAGTTTTTTTTTTGTTTTGAACAAACAAAAAGTTGACTGTGCAGTTTATACTGAAATAAAGTCCAGACTGAAATGTCAACTTTTTCTTTGTAAAAAAATAAAAACTGCACAAATAAAGGACCACTGATTGGAGGGGAAAAAAATTAAGTATTGTGAATGCACTTTATCGAGGAAGATTATAGTTTAGGATGGAGTTTTTGCACCAAGGCACAGCAAGATCTAGATCTCACAGCAAATCAGACAAAATATAAGTGTACGGTTTTTATAGTGGAAATTTGTCAATGCAAATTAAACTGAATAAATGGGAATGGGAAGAGTCTTCACAATAATGGGAATAATAACATACAGATCATATCCTTCCAATCAGTATTTCACTTTTAGGACCACTCCATAATTATGTGCAGTAATTGGAAGATACTAAAAAGACACATTTAAAGTACACTATAGTGTCAGGAATACAAACATTTATTCCTAACACTATAGTGTTAAACTGTTTAGATGACCAGCCCTCCAAAGATTGCATTGAAAAGGTGATTTTACTCACCTTTTCTCCCACACCGGTCTTAGTACAGCTGGCCCCGCTAATCAATCTTTATTATATCAGCCAATGCATTCCCAGAGGAAAGCATTTGAAGGCTACTGCACATGCATGGCAAAACACTGTGTCAATCAGTATCTCCTCATAGAGATGCCCTGAATCAATGCATCTCTAGGAGGAATGTTCAGAGTCTGAATGCATGGTGTTGAGATGCTGAAAATAGGTGCTACACACTGTGCAGCACCTCTACTGGCTGAGTGACTTCGCCTAGAAGTGTTACCAGGCAGCAAGGTAAACACTGCCTTTTAGCTGAAAAGGCAGTATTTACATTGAAAAGCCAGCAGCTGCAGGCAAAGGCAAGTTTTACTTTCCTCAACCTGACCTATGCAGGGGCTGCCATCTTCCCCCATTAGTCCACATCAGCACCAGGAGCACATGTCATGGATGTCTATAGGTAAAGCCAATTTCAGTGAAATTCCAATACAGTAAATAAGTATTTCATAAAGATTCTGAAGTCAATCTTGCAAAAATTTACCTATAATCAAGTCCCGAGCAAAGTGCCTTCGTTGCCTTTTACGTTCCATCCAACGTCATAGCCTCTCAGAGAGAGTACAATCAAATGCTTCTCAAAGAAGCCTCTCATAACTAGCCCCCAGCACACTGCAAATATATAGATCTGCATTGCAGGGTTTCAAGCAGAAACACTGCACATACAGACTGCTACCACAATGACTACTTCTAAAAGTAGAAGTGGTCATGGTGGCTGGAGTAACCCTTTAAATTAGCAAATTCAGTTGTCAGTCACAACACTATTTAGTGAATACAAATTTGTGCCATCATCTGTAACAGCACATTTAAACTCTTGATTTGTGAAACAGTTCACTGCAATAACAAGCAGAAGAACAGTTAAAAGCAGTCCTACCTTGCTGTACCAATGGAGACACGGCTGTACCACATCTGGTTCATCAATACCATTGATTTCAACATACCAAATGCTAAAGTTAAAGCTTGGTCCCCAGGACAAGAGAGGAACTAGAATGAGAGAGAGAGAGAGAATGCAAGCATTGAAACTTTAATCTGCCGTGGAAGTAAAGCAAAAAGTAAATGAAGGATTTTCTAAATGCCTAGACAAATATATGACAAAAAGAGGAAAAAACACTTTCTATTACCATTTACCCAACATTTGGCTGAACAGCTCTACATTCTGCAGGACTTAAAGGGGCACTATAGTCACCAGAACAACTACAGCTTAATGTAGTAGTTCTGGTGAGTATAGCCTATCCCTGCAGGCTTTTTAATGTAAATACAGATGGTCCTCACTTTGCGACCTACCTGTTTTACGACGGCTCACAGTTACGACCAGCTCTCTAGCGTGGGGATTTATGGGCTTCCCCACGTTAGAGTGCTGGTCTATGTTCGGGGAATTTATCCCAAACAAACCTCCACTAGTGCGCATGCGCCTCATTTACCAACCAATTAATTTTACAACCGGGTCGTAAGAACAGAACAGTCAGTAAATAAGGAGCATCTGTACTGCCTTTTCAGAGAAAATGCAGTGTTTACACTCCTCAGACAGCCATCAGAGGTGCTTCCTGGGTCACTGCTGCACAGTGTGCAGCACAAACGTTCAGCATCTCTACACTTTCCATGGAGACACTGAACTTTCCCCATAGAGTTGCATTGATTTAATGCATCTATATGAGGAAATGCTGATTGGCCAGGACGGCATTCGGATCTGTCCCACCCCCTCTGTGGGATAATGTCATAATAATTTCAGCCAAGGTTGTGTATCTGGGGCTGGGTAAGATGGGAGGAGCTCCGCGTGGTGCTGGAAAAAGTTGAGTAAATCACCTTTCTAACCAGAGATAAGGGAAGATGATCACCTAAACTGTGGTTTTAGAACTAATCCATAGCAATAAAGAAAAATGATGTGGAATTGAGAATTTATATTCTTGGATGTCACATGCTAGTAAGACATCAACCAAGTCCATAGGATGGAAAGACATTATCCATCTATGCATTATCCTTTGGCAGACAGCTTTATTGGTTCCTTGCACAACTATGTCGCATTCCAACTCGTGTTGTGGATGGATGGGACTTCATTTTGTATCCCCAACTGGCAGGATGCAATAATTTGCATCTTGTCATCTTGGTGTGAGTGTTAGACAAATCAAAGGGGGCTCTGGAGTGGTTTACACCACTGCAGATTCCATAGACAGGCTGTCACTGACAAGAGGGAAATAATGCTGCAAAACTACAGATGTCAAACCTTGATATAAATAGGTAATAACAAAGAGGACAACATTTTTATGCTACAATAACCTTTAAATAAAGTTAACAAAATGCATTACTTGAAACCAATAAACTTGTTGTCATCAACACAAGGGATCTTTTAGTTAGGAATGAATTATATTATTCAGTGATTTCTCTTTATTACTACAGAAGGGCACTGCGTGAACAAGTACATATTTAATAAGACAAGAAAGTTACATATCTAAAAACAAACACACACCAAAGAGACTAACTGCCGGCATTTAGTTAGATGGAGTCTGCAAGTATTCCTCAGTCTAAATTTACATATGCAAAAAAATGCATTCCTGGACTATTTATATCATTTAGATCTATATATTATTATTAATATAGCGTCAAATTCCATAGCGCTGTACAATGGGTATATGTACACACACACACACACACACAATTGTAATTGTATCACACTAATACTCCTGCGTGGTGGGTAACCACTTGTGGATAAACTATAACAAGACCAAAAAAAAAAAAGACAGGAGTTGGTACAAGGGCGTGAGTGGAAGACTGTACTCCTTTAGTACAAGCAGCTAGCGCTAATAAAAAAATCGGATTTTAATAGATAAAATGTATATACTGGTACATCAACAAAATTTATTTAAAAAAAAAAAAATGGAAATATATAACAAAATCCACAACAAAATTGACTATCTAAATAGTGGCCAGAATGATAGCAAGCGGAAAACTAAACCTATGGGGAATAGTCACATCTCACACCCAAGATTAGTTGTGGGTTGCACGGTTACTCATACCCCATTGCCAACAAGATTCCCTTTAACACAGCAACAATATTAGCTCTCACTACTTCTGCATCATGGTACATATTCTAGAGATTTACATCTGCATTTAGTGAAGATTCACGTGTGTGTGTGTGTGTGTGTATATATATATATATATATATATATATTTCTAGTGAACTGTTGCTGGCATTTGACCCATTAGCTGAGTGAGCTTATTGTCTGAGCAATGAGATATTTGATTATCCAACAAGGAGGAGGAGTTTTTTTTTTTTTTTACTATTGGCCTGTATGGATTTAAAATTGTATAGTGCCAGGAAAACAAAGCCGCCTTCAGTCACTTACCTGAATCCAGCGCCGATGTCCCTCGGCACTGGGCAGGCTCCACCCATGCTCCTCCCCCGCATACTTCAGCTGATGAGAGAGACCTAATGCGCATGTCCGGCAATGGCCGCGCATTAGGATTTCCCCATAAGAAAGCATTATTCAGTGCGTTCCTATGGGGAAAATCTGACACTTTAGTCAGATAAGGGACTAAAGGTCTGTTTCAATTCCGGAAGTCCCTCTAGTGGCTGTCTGGTAGACAACAACTAGAGGAGGAGTTAATCCTCAGAAGCAATTATCGCAGTTTATAAGAAACCGCAATAATTACCACTGTAGGTTTAAGGGACATTGCACCTAGACCACTTCAATGATCTGAAATGGTCTGGGTGCCTACAGTGTCCCTTTAAGACATTTCAAATCTAGGGGATATCTAACTTCCACAAGATTAGAGTTGATAGTAATTGAGATATGACTATTCTCTATAGGTTTAGCATACTCCCTATCATCATAACCTATTAATATCTATTTAGTAGATAGTCAATTTTTTTTATTATATATATATATATATATATATATATATATATATATATATATATATATATATATATATATATATATATATATATATATATTTTTTTTATTTTATTTTATTTTTTTATGTTTTTTGGGGTTTGTTGATTTATATACATTTTATAATCTATTAAAAGTTTTATTAGCACTAGTTTTTTGTACTAAATGAGAACAGTCTTCCTTCCACTCACACTCTTGTACCAACTCCTATTAGCAATACTCAAGTTTTTCTTTTAAACAATTTTTAACAATTTTTCTGTTTCTAGTTACATATCCTATTTAAAATTGATCTGCAAGACTTTTCAATAGATAAAAGAAATATTTCATAGATGACAAATTCAGGCAAATGGGAAGAGTAGAAGACAAGATAGTGGTTAGTACTTGTTTAGAGAATATGAGATTTGAAGTTGTAGAGTGCTCTGTAAGAGGAGAAAATCAATGTAAAAAAAAAAAAAAACACTTAAGGAAGAAACAGAAGAAAAATTATTGTTAAGGTGTAATATGGACACTAAGGATATGTGGGTTACTGTGGTTAAGAGGTTTTCAGCTGTATTTTGTATTCGAATATGCCAAATGCAAACTGTATATTTTAAATTCACACTATAGTCAGTCACCAGAACATCTACAGCTTAATGTAGTGGTTTTGGTGTCTAAAGCATGTCCCTGGTAGGCTTTTCAAAAAAAAAAAAGGTAGTATTAACATGTAAAGAGGTGCCTAGTAACACCTCTCGTGGCAGTCTTTCATAAAGCCACTTGAGGTGCTTCCTCTGTCAGTGCTGCACAGTCGTTCACCATCTCCATGCTCTGCATACAAGCACAGAATGCTCCCCATAGAGATGAATTGATTCATTGCATCTTTATGAGGATTTTCTCATTGGCGTGGCACAGCATTTTGCTGCTCATGAGCAATAACCTCCAAATGCTTTCCTATGGGAAAGCAATGGATTGGCGGAGATCATCAAGATTGATGAAGTCAGTCATGGAGGCTGAACCAGCTGTGATGAAACCAGTGCGGCATTGGGGGAAAAGGTCAGTAAAATCACCTTTTCAGCGAGATCGGAGTGTGGCTGGTCAGCTAAACAACAGGCACTACAGCATCAGGAATACATGTTTGTGTTCCCGACACTATAGTGTTCCTTGAACACAAAAGTGGCACAATCTGTAAATTGGCTGGCTTTGAGGAGAAAGAGGACATAACCAATAATGATTTCCAGAAAACACTATGATAGGGTGCATGGAAGAACAAGTTACCAGATGGAGGGGAGACAATGGAGAATAAGTGAAGAACTTGTAATAAGCTAACCAAAAAACAAACAAGAGTCCTATGCATCCAGTATAGGTGTGCACACCCAGGTGCTACCACCATTTATTTGAGGACAAAGAAAGCAGCAAACGTTAAAGCACCTGGTGCACACCTATGCTGGATGCGCAGGACTCTTGTTTGTTTTTTGGTTGTTTATACACTGTTGGTACTTTAGAGGAGTATCTGCAGCACAGGTCTAGTTTTCTTTGTTTATACTCTGAATTTTGTAGGCCTTCTTTGCCTCTACCTCACCCTATATAATGTAATAAGCTAAAATTGTGCGTTAAATGTACTAAATATGACCTTGGGGTTGGGAAAGACAGTGTTCATGAAGTACGTTTCTTTCCAAGTGAGTGAACTGGAGTGCCAGGATGTCTCACAAATTTGTGATGCAGGAAGTCGGAAGTAGTTAGGTATGTGTAGCAGTCTGAAGAATTGCCTGGGCTATTGGACAGAAGGTCATGTATAGAACTGTGGAGGTTAATGTAAATCAGTGAAGTACTCAGAAATAAAACTAGTCTGACAGGAAGACAGAACTGGCATTTGACAAATGCTTATTTGAGAGCCAAAACGTTGTGATGCACGGTTTCTGATTAAAGTCTTCCTCTTTAAGGAAGCCTCTGGGAGTGCCTGGGCTTTTTGTCCTTGGGGTTTGCCTTCCCCTCTTGGAGCACCCTGATAGTATTACTCTCTTTTAGTGTGTGCATTCCACATTACTTGTTCAGGAACTGACATGTGAAACAAAAACATCTTACCTCAAATCTAATTGCTGGACAAATTTCAAAATTAAGTATCTAGCAAATTGCACAAAAGTGATATTGAAGTATAACATTTTACACTACAGTTGTGGACTACAGTTTAAAATAGAGATATGCAGCAAAAAGGTAAACTTACCTATTTTAATAAATCGACAAGGAAACATCTGCTCGTCAATTTTATGCTTCAAGGTGAATGTTTCTTTGTTGTAATCATTCTTTAAACCACTGTAAAGACACAGAAAATAATATTCATCTACACAACAAAAAATGCACCTTGTATCTAAAGACAAGAACAGAAACATCCCACTGTTTTCCTCATTATCTCAATTTCACAATGCATTAAGAGTTTACACAAAATTTTTCACATATTCTAATGGCTTTTTTCAAGAGATGATTGCTTAAAGGGACAGTTTACGCACCAAAATCACTTTCTTAATGAAGTAATTTTGGGACACAGATGCTGCCTTTGAGGACTTGCAAATGGAAAATATTTATTTCTGAGAAATGGCGCCGTTTGCATTTTACACTTTCCACTCCGATTTGTGGCTGTCAATTATTGACTTAAATAGATTCAGTTAATGAATATATGTTATATCCAGCATCAACATGCAAAGTATGCTGACACCAGATGCTGTGTACATCGAATACTGGAAAATTTATCTGATTCATGCAGTTTAAAGGGACACTATAGTCACCAGAACAACTACAGCTTATTGAATTTGTTCTGGTGAGTAGAATCATTACCTTCAGGCTTTTTGCTGTAAACACTGTCTTTTCAGAGAAAATACAGTGTTTACATTACAGCCTAGTGATAACTTCACTGGTCACTCCTCAGATAGCTGTTAGAGATCCTTCCTGGGTTATGGCTGCCTAAAATGCATCTAAACATTCAGTATCTTCACCCTCTGCATGCAGACACTGAACTTTCCTCATAGAGATTCATTGATTCAATTCATCACTATGAGGAGATGCTGATTGGCCAGGGCTGTGTTTGAATCATGCTGGCTCTGCCCCTGATCTCCCTCCTTGTCAGTCTTAGCCAATCCTACGGGGAAACATTGTGATTGGATCAGGCCACCACTTCTGATGATGTCAGACAACTTGTTTTTCTGAGGCAAACAGCATGCAGATCTACAGCTTCAGGCTTGAATACAGCAAGATTTTTCTATATTTATGGAGGCATGAGGGGTCCAGGGGGGCTAGATGGTGGTTTTAACACGATAGGGAATATAGGTTTGTGTTCCTGACCCTATAGTGATCCTTTAACTTGGCCTTACCATGCACCTACATAATGTATCTAAGCATTCTTCATATGAAAATCATAGGCTTTCAATAACATGCACATTTTTAGGAATTAGACAAAATCTTGTGTCTTGAGTAAAAACTAGTCAAACTAAAAGTGTAGAAAAAAAAATGTTTCCAGTTTGGCTATTTTGGCCTAACGTGTGAAATTCAGTTGAACAATTTCCTCTTTAGGTAATTAACCTGTAAATATATATTTACAGACACTGCAGTAGAGAAAATCCAATTACTATAACTTAATACTGTATTTAAACATATATTTAAGAAATATTGTGGAAACCCCCAGCCTAGTTACCTAGATAAAAGTTCTGTCATGTTTTCTTCATTCATTCCACCAAACACTTTAAACTTCTTCAAGTTGCAGACATGCGTCTTCTCATATTTTCCAAATGTAATGCTTTGAACGATGGCTTGCCTTTCCAACTTTAAAATTAGGTACTGTGAGAGAAGACCAAGCAAATCAATGTATTACATATTACTTGACCAAAAGCAGCACAAGACAACTTCGTTCTAGGTATGCAGGGTTTAGTAAATCTAGTATGTAATCACTAATCATGTCTGCAGTTAAAAAAAAAAGAAAAAAAAAATCCACTTACCTGAGGGGGATAATTGCTTTCTGAAGACCATCTTGAAGATTGATCATTGGGTTTATCCACTAAAATGTTCCTTAAAACAGAGGGAAAAAAAACAACTAAAATTACCATACAGGCCAAATTTACCAGCAGAGAAAAAATGGAAATGGGGCAAATTAAGCTAACTAATTTTTTGCATTACTTTGTGAAGGATTAAAGGACCCCTAAAGTCCCCCAGGCCACTTCATCTCAGTGAAGTGACATGGGCTCAGTAGCCCTTTAGTTTTAACCTTGCAACGTAAAACAGCTTTATTGTTTTTTGAACAAATAGGGAGACCTATTTAACTAGAGGCAGGGACACAAATATTTGGTATACAGGTTTGGACTCCATTACCAGTGATTTAATATTTAAAATGTTTAAAAACTGTGCTACTATTTCTAGCAAGATCTTTGCATTTTAGACAAAACTTAAAGGGACACTATAGTTCCAGTGAGACACCGAGGCCACCTATCCATCCCGCATGCAAGATTGGCAAAAATGAATCCAACAAATCTGTGTTAATGTACAACGATGATACTATATGATATTTCAATATTCTTTGGTCATTTTTGTTGCTTAGCTATCCAACAGCAAGGTTAATTTGTATGAAATGATTATAAAAAAGGAAAAAGTCAAATTGTGTTGCTGTGGAAAAATGAAGTATCAACTCACAAAAATAAAGCATGCAGTAGCACAAGTTAATTGATTTCTAAGAGTGTCACTATTAAAACCCTCACAGTAAATTTGCCTTAACAAAAAAAAAAAAAAACTTCAAAACACTTTTGATTAACCCTTGCTGTGGTGATCCACGACAAACACACACAATAAAAAAAAATAAAAAAAACACAAAACTTACCTGTGTTCCAGGACCGAAGTTCTCCCTGCAGCCCAACCCTCATTTAAGAGACAGAAGGGAGAGTATAGGCCGCATTTCCAGACAGGCTAATGATGCCAAAATAATGTAACATCATTACACTCTGTATGAACGTTTCGTAGTGAAACATTCAACATACAGACTACAGACACCACGACAATTTTAAATTACTGAAGTGGCCATGGTGCCTGAAGTAACCCTTTAAGAAATGTGTGTAATCATTTAGGATGGAATGTGATAACTTAATATTTCAAATAATCACTGGTGCCTGAAAACCAACAAGTAATTGTTACAAAAAAAAAAAAAAAAAAAATTGTGGTCACAATCCAGTCTATTTGGAAATCTTGGTTAAATTAAAGGGACACTATAGTCACCAAGACCACTTCAGCTCAATTAAGTGGTCTGGGTGCCAGGTCCACCAGGTTTTAACCCTTCCGATGTAAACATAGCAATTTCAGAGAAACGGCTATGTTTACATAGCAGGGTTAATCCAACCTCTAGTGACTGTCATCCTGACAGCTGCTAGAGGCGTTTCTGCGACGCTGCATGAGAAATATGCATCCAGCGTGCAGAACGTCCAAAGGAAAGCATTGAGAAATGCTATCCTATGGACTGTTTGAATGCGCGCGCGGCTCTTGCTGCACATGTGCATTCTGCTACACTCGGGAGCTGACATCGACGAGGGAGGAGAGGTCACCAGCGCAGAGGGAGCCCGGCGCTGGATTAATGTAAGTAACTGAAGGGGTTTTATTGTCATGGGAGGGGGGCCCTGATGGTGGTGGCGGGGGGAGGGTGTTCCTAAGGATGCTATAGTGTCAGGAAAACGAGTGATCCTTAGTGATCCTTTAAAGCTTACAAAAGGCAGTCAGTAGTTGTAACTAATCATGGAATAGACAGTTATGCTTCTTTTCAAAGAATGTCAGACATTATGACTGAGCAGCAGTTTTGAGAGTTAAAAAACACAAATGCTATTTGAAATTCCAATTTCTTTTACTTCTGTCCATGTATTCATAACTCAACAACAAGATTATACAATGAAACGAACCCTCTAAAGACTCCTATACATGCAACATAGTATGCATGCAGGACACCAAGAAACATGGTTTGACATCGTATCATGAGACAGCACCAGGGGGATTCTGGTACCATTACCAATACAGCAAGCTGTAATGGTCATGGTGCTTGTAGGGTTTCTTTAAAGTCTGTTTTTATGCCCACCCAATGTTTAGCCCCATTTCCACCCTTTAAATTGTTTTTTTTAAAAGGTAACATCTTTTATTAATGCGCCACATTCTTGTAGGTACTGGCAGTGACAAACTGTTCATGCCCCTGTCTGCCTATACTGTCCCTGCATGCCCAGCAGTAGGAAGGAAGAGGAATTTGCACTGTGCATGTGCAATGTTCAGGGAAATACAGTAAGCGGCATGGTCAGGTGAGTATTATGTGAATACTGAGCTTGACAATGGAAATAAAACTTGCCTTAAACTCTACCTTTGTCAAGCCTAGGGAAATTACAGAAGACCAAGTCTTCATATCGATGAAGTGGTTGTGGTGCTTAGATTAAACCTTTAACTGATCTGAACAAACCGCACCAAGTCATCCACTGTAACTTAAAGGCAAATTTCACCTAACGCATTTGATATACTTACAATGATATACATGAAGGCCTGAAGGAAATGATTATACTCACCAGAATACAATGAGCTGTAGTTCTGGTGACTATAGTGTCCCTTTAAATTTATCTTTATTCCAGCCTTGGGATGGTCTCCAGTCAGCAGACTAATACGCTCATGTACATACTATTACTCAAAGTGGGCAACCAGTGATAGAAAGATCAGGCTCATGAGGACCAACTGCCTTTTACGACAAAACAAAAACAAAAACTCTGCACTTGTATTTCATTAACCTGCGAGACAATCAGAAACAGTTAAGTGAAAAAACTGTAAAACGGATCCCTTTAAAAAAGGTTTGAGTTTTTTTTTTTTTTTATCATCCAAAGGACTTTGAGACTACACATGCTAGGTATTTTAATGTCTACATAGTTAAGTCCAAAGATCTTTTAAAAAGTGTACTCTGCCAAAAACCAACTTCATGTTTGGCAAAGGGATCTGCACACAATCCAGTGTCTAGCTTATATAATGAAATTAGGGAATACAACATAAATAGCATTTGCACAGGCAAACAAATTCTTATGTACTTCATCGAATACCCTGCAATTATAGTCCTTGCATGGCTTAAAGGGGTAGTGCTATTGTAATCCAGGAGTGTGAATTGCACACTAAATTCATGTGTGCCATGTGCGAGCCAAATATATTTAATAATCAAATATTCTGTAGCTGAAGAAAGCAGGATAGAGAGAGAGTGCAAACAGGCAAAAACACAAATATGGACTTACCGTAAATTATTTTTTTCTTAACATGGTGGCAGAACGTACATATGGGTTGTGCTTCCTAATTGGGACAAGCATCTGCAAGATAGAGGATTAATAAAAGTCCCTCCCCTTTACCCTATAAAGGGCTTCCCCCGGCAAACCCACCTCAATAGTAGCAAGAATACACCCCTAAACCACAAAATGTAAGCAAAATTGTAATTTAGAGGGAGGGAGATTTGTACAGCCACCATATTAAAAAAAAAAAAAAAAAAATTTACGGTAAGTAAAAATTTCAGTTTTTTCTGACATATGGTGGCAGTACGTATGGGATATAGAAAGATTCCCAATCAGGTGGGCTTGATACCTAAACAGCGTCAAGTACCTATGCTACAACGCAATTTTAGAGGCAGAGAGTACATTTAGCCTGAAAATGTCTGACTTTTTTTACGGTGCTAAAAACTGACCAAGAAGCAGCCATGCGGATTTCTTCGGGTGAAGCAAGATCTTTTATCTGCCCATTGCCTTTGTGGAATGTGCTGTGAAAGACGCTGGCGAATCAAAACTACTGAAGCCATTATGATTGACGAAATAACGAGAAACAGAATTAAGAGAGGCTTCATTCCCCTTAAAACTTCCCTAGAAGTTGACAACAGGTGATCTGATCTTCTGAATTCAGCGGATATTGATGGGTGCATCTGAAATTCCCTTTGAATATGCCATCTAGTTCCAGCGGGGAGGTGGCATAATTATAAAAGGCTGAGCCGATTAACGGCTCTAAAAGATAACTGGAAGAATTGAAGTGTTCAGATGAAACAACTTGCACCCTGACGGAATATAAGAAATTCCACTGAAGATGATATATCCTGAAGCTCGCTTACTCTCTTGGTAGAGGAATGGCCACTAAGAATGCTGGTTAAGCTTTAGCATATTAAAAGGAACCACCTCCAAAGTAAAAGGGGACCTGAAAGACTGAAGAAAGATCCCAGGAGGGTAACAGAACTTCCAGGGTGGCCTAAGAAACCTATTGCTTTAAAGTAACTTCTAACCAGTAAATACAAAGACCAATCCCTTCTCAAAAAGGACTTAGTGAATACAATTTGGTCTTAACGTGGAAACCCCAAACCTGTGGAAATCTCCTGCAGGAAATGTAAGTTTCAACCACCCGAACAAATTAACTAGAAGACAATGACGTTCCTTACAAAAAATGTAGCAACTCTACCCAAATCTTCATGTAAAAGTTAGTGGCAGTACGACTAGAAGATTATATGCAACAAGTGGACTCTGCTTGGTGGGTCCTTCATCTCCTGAGTCTTCATGAGTCAGTTGCCCTACGTCAATAAGAACCTATTCAACACTTCCAGCAGGATATCCTGTCTTCCAAAAGTGTTAGAGATCGGAAGATCTCCAAACTTGAAAGTCATCTCCACTAATGCCAAAAACAGGCTCTTGTTTGGCCAGTACGGAAAAATTGGCAGAACCACTGCTCTGTCTGTTCACCTCTTTGAAGAAGTCTTGGGAACAGTCTATAGGGGGAAAAAATGTAAACCCAGAGAAATACCCTTAGATAGACCAACTATTCATCGTGAACGGTCCTGTACGGAGAGGCAAACCTAAGAATCTTCATGTTCTCCCTCTTTGCCATGAGGTCTATCCCGGCACTCCAAAATCTCTCTGTAGACTGAACATCTATAGACCATTACGCTTGATCCCAATTTCTTTTGCTGAGGTTGTAGGTGATGACATTGTCGACACCTCATGAATGGGATGGAGAGAGGACCTCCCAGAGATCCTGAGCTCAGTACACCGTTTTGGTACATAGCTGAAACAGACCTTGCCTCTAGCATCACCCTTTATGTTGATGTGAGGGAAAGAGTCGTGGTCTGACCGCATTGTAATAGGTCCCTCAATCAACCAATATCTGAAATCGGTGAGGGGAGTGAAGAACTGCCTTAAGAGCTCTGAAATGAGTGAACTAATTTTCTTAGGAGCAAGAACGCTGGAACTTTAGAGAATTTAGACGAGTGACCCAGCCCGTGTTAGATGCATTCGGTGGTGAAAATGACTACATCTACAGGCTGAAAGGACAGACTTGTTTGAAAAAAACTTGACGTTGTCCACCAGTTTAGCCGATCTTCCGCTTTTTTCGAAGAGAGTCTAGGAGACAGAAATCCAAGTTTTCCACACTTTGACCCAGAATAATTTTCCACTGTAGCAGCCAAATCCAGATTTTGCGCAGGAATTGAATAGGTCAGACATCCCAGCAATCTAATTTCCTGTTCTTATGGAGGAATTTTCACTTTCTTAGTAATTGGACCTTTCCTTTATGAGTGCAGTAGATGCAGAGGTAACATTTTAAGGTTAACATGAACCTCAAAAAAACTATCCTTCCTGGAGAAGAAGAAGAAAGTACATTATATAGTCTTTGTATCCAACAGTGTTGTTGTAGCGCTCTGCTAGCTACCTGGACATACTTAAAAAGGCAACAGTCCCAATTAGCAATAAGTAGCCAAACTCCCAAATAGGGAATGCCTCGTTCCGTAAAATATGCTGTTAAGGGAATTGTTTTGAAGAGCAATGAAATCTCTTCAATCCACTTATTATGGCGTATTTTCAGAAAACTTTTTGAGGGGCCACAATAGGGATATAAGAATTCTGAACCTCAGGAGAGGAACCAATTAATTTAAATTCATAACCAGTTTAACCCCTTAAGGACCAAACTTCTGGAATAAAAGGTAATCATGACATGTCACATGTCCTTAGGGGGTTAAAAGGAATGATCAGAGATTGATAACCAGGAGATTCCTGAGGAACCCAACGAACTTCATGGTTCACAGGACCATATCTCAAACTCATTGAATCCAGCAGGAACACGGTTTCTGTAAATCAAATGTTTGGAAGATTATGGATTGGGCAGATTTGAAAAGAGCAAGCGGTACCCTCTAACTAGATCAAGAAAACAGTGATTGCAAGTAGGTTCTAATTAAAAGCCAGGCAAGAGACATTCAGATATATACTGGTTCCCAAATGGTACGCCAGTCATCTACCTCAAAGGGATGAAGTGCTGCGTTAACCCTGCGAACCCCAAGGGTTGAACAAGGTCTAAACCCACTGAGCTATCCAAACTTAGTATAGAAATACAGGATTACGCCTCCAAGCTTCTTGGCGTCCTAAACACCTACCATTGTCGGACATAGTTCTACCTGTCTTTAGGCAGAGCTGGTTTCCTTTTTCGACATAGATTATAAAAAGATACCCCTTTTCCTAATGGGAGTAAACAGGGGACCGAAAAGGACGCCGAACTGCCGTCCAAGCTTAAGCCACAAGGATAAAAGAGAAGCAGCAGATGAACCAATGATCTTGGCCATCGTAAAATTGTATTAGTCAAATCCATATAAAGTATGTGACAATCACAATAGAACAGGAAACTGACGAGATGCTTATCAGGAGACTTAAATAACCTCCATTAACAATTGTAAACAAAGTTATACGTTTTTGGACACCGCTGCACCTGCCAGCAAAGACCAATACCGATGCCAGCAGTCTGGAAAGATTATCTGCAAGAAGTCTCCGCCTTCTTGACGACAGGGTTTTTAAAGCAGCTACTTCTGCAGATTTTTATGGATTCCCAGTGTTCCTGGGGGTGTAACATTTACCTATTTGATGGTAAACATATTAAACGCCGGGCAAGAATGGCTTGTTCATTCAGAGTGTTCATATTTCTGCATATGAGAAAGACATGGGGTTTGAGGAACAGATAACCCTCATTAAAGTTTAGCAGATTTATCCTGCCCCCTGACCGATTCATAACCAAGGTGATTTGTATGTTTTATAAAATACCCCTTCCTGTCTCATTGGAGATTCTTGGCTGATATCAGCAAGTCTAATGGCTAGAGTAGGATTCACCTTTTGGGGCTTGCCTTGAGTTGGCAGGTGAGCTTATATTCAAAATGGCCATTGTGATAAAACTAAAGAGACCCCATTTTGTTTAAAATGTGCATAGGGATTAATGCCAGAGCGCAGGTAATGTTCTCTTTGTTTTTCCTAACGAACCTTGTCAGTACATCAGGTGGGAACCAGCTCCACACAGTATGATGAACGAGACATGTAGACAGACATTCACCAGACATTAGAAGTAATCGAAGGATGCTGCTCTTCAGTCTCTGCAGAACATTTTAAGCAGAGCAGCTGATACACTATTTGATTCTTTTTAAGAATTCAAAGATATGAATGATTACATATTCTCTGCTTAATTTTTACCCAAGAAAATGCAGCACCTTTTTTATATATATTCATATTTATAAACCCCAGAACCATATTAAGGGGAGTAGTACGGATACAATAAGCAAAAGTCTTGTATAGCAGAGGCATTCCACAGTGTACAAAAAGTCTGTTTTGCACATACAGTCCACTTTCTACAAAACAATTACATCCATTACTTGCAATTTTAATCAGAACAGATTTTCAAAGCAAACTCGGCAGTTTCCCGTTAGTTCCGGTTCGCGCATTTGCAATAGCGCACCTGGAAATTAAGTGAAACGCAACATCACCCGGGCGTCCCTTCCAGCGCTGTTCGCAGGCACACAGCCTGCAACATAATGAAGGCATCCCACGGCCCGCCCACACTCACCAAGCCGGAACATACTTGGCGCAAAGTTAAACAGAAAGGGCTACAGACGGAGCCATGCCGCTCAGCCTACCACCTGGCAGCTATCAGGCTTCCTCCCCCAGACAGGAACCTGTGTGCCTCACCTTCAACAGACTCTCCATCTGTCCCGTGCTGGGACAAGGAAGAACTGGGGTGGGTTTGCCAGGGGAAGCTCTTTATAGTAAAGGGGAGTGTGGCGAAACCAACCTTGCCACTGTGAACTGGAGAAGCCTGGTTGCTCGCCTGCTCCCTTTGGACTATGGCCCTGCAGGTTAAACCGTTTATTTCCCCTGCAGAAAGGCTTATTTGTGGGATCTGAGTGCCATTCATCTAATAATGTGCACTCAGATCCCAGCTATCTGGGGATATGTGAAATGTCTGTGTGTTATGTGTAAATGTGACTTTATGTATTTTAAAGTGTTTTGTGTCTTTTGCAACCATGTGCTTAATGGAGTCTTGTGTCTATCCTGGGAGATAATTGAATTACTCTCCAGGATAGAAGACTCTGAAACTGGTTTGGGCCAGAAAGCCATGCTTCATTTAGTCACAAAGAACTTTCCCTTAACTTTTGAACCCCTGGTCTGATTCGTGCCATTTTTTAATATGTTGTTCCCCTGAATGGATTGATTATGAAAATGTATGTTTTATGTTTGTGACATGTATATTTTAGAAGTTAGAAATATTCTGTAAAAACTGTATTCCTCTGCCGGTGATAATGAGATTACCCATTGTGTTCAGTAATCATATCACCTGCAGAGGGGAGGATTTTGTGTGGGAGTGTCTGTGTGTATTGTATGGATTGATTGGTTGTTTTGTAACGCCCTGTGGGCTGTACTATGTTTGTGGATTGGGAATAAAAGAGACTGTATGTGACAGTACAGAGAGTTCCTGTTTTAACCCTCAAAGTGAAGTGTCGTCTCATTATTGGGGGAAGGATTTATTGCATGCTGTTCCAGTTTGACTGCTAGGAGAGTAAACCTATTCGTATGGTTCCTATTCAACTGTCTACAGCATTCATATGCTTGAGAGAAGGTATACGCTTCTCTGGTTCGGTGATTGTGGTGTCTGCTGCAGTGCTTGGAGTCCTCAGGAAGCGCTAGGAGCATCCTTCAACGGAGGTACCCAGTCGGGGTGCCAGGCGATCTGTTACATTGGTGGCAAGCGGTGGGATGGCATCCTAGTGCGAGGTAAAGCAGCTCGGAGACACAGTTCGTGGATTTACAAATTGAGGGCAACGCTAGTACCCGTACAGCGACCCTATCTACAAAAGAACTAACTTCAGCAGCACAAGCATGGCACCCAGCTACACTCAGGAGCAGTATGACAGAGAGTTTACCATGCGGCTGGCTTTCTTTGGACCCAACCCCCCGGAGAAATACGTGCAGCTCGTAAGGAGCCAGGTAGACGAGTACATGCAGTTCATGGCAGATCCAGCCAAAGGTATCGGCCGCCCTATCCGGTGGCAGAGTGCATTACGGGGACTCAAAGGTGTACCCCAGGGAGCTGAAGGTGTCGTCCTTCCTCCCCAGCGGCAGAGTAAGTCCCAGGGATCTGAAGGTGCAGTCCTTCCTCCCCAGCGGACGTGTGTATCCCAGGGAGCTGAAGGTGCAGTCCTTCCTCCCCATCGGCAGTGTGTATCCCAGGGAGCTGAAGGTGCAGTCCTTCCTCCCCAGCGGCAGTGTGTATCCCAGGGAGCTGAAGGTGCAGTCCTTCCTCCCCAGCGGCAGTGTGTGTCCCAGGGAGCTGAAGGTGCAGTACTTCCTCCCCAGCGGCAGTGTGTGTCCCAGGGAGCTGAAGGTACAGTACTTCCTCCCCAGCGGCAGTGTGTAACCCAGGGAGCTGAAGGTGCCGTCCTTCCTCCCCAGCGGCAGTGTGTACCCCTGGGAGCTGAAGGTGCCGTCCTTCCTCCCCAGCAGCAGTGTGTACCCCAGGGAGCTGAAGGTGCCGTCCTTCCTCACCAGCGGCAGTGTATATCCCAGGGAGCTGAAGGTGCAGTCCTTCCTCCCCAGCAGCAGTGTGTACCCCAGGGAGCTGAAGGTGCCGTCCTTCCTCCCCAGCTGCAGTGTGTACCCCAGGGAGCTGAAGGTGCAGTCCTTCCTCCCCAGCGGCAGTGTGTACCCCAGGGAGCTGAAGGTGCAATCCTTCCTCCCCAGCGGCAGTGTGTATCCCAGGGAGCTGAAGGTGCAATCCTTCCTCCCCAGCGGCAGTGTGTATCCCAGGGAGCTGAAGGTGCAGTCCTTCCTCCCCAGCGGCAGTGTGTAACCCAGGGAGCTGAAGGTGCCGTCCTTCCTCCCCAGCGGCAGTGTGTACTCCAGGGAGCTGAAGGTGCCGTCCTTCCTCCCCAGCAGCAGTGTGTACCCCAGGGAGCTGAAGGTGCCGTCCTTCCTCCCCAGCGGCAGTGTATATCCCAGGGAGCTGAAGGTGCAGTCCTTCCTCCCCAGCGGCAGTGTGTACCCCAGGGAGCTGAAGGTGCCGTCCTTCCTCCCCAGCGGCAGTGTGTATCCCAGGGAGCTGAAGGTGCAGTCCTTCCTCCCCAGCTGCAGTGTGTATCCCAGGGAGCTGAAGGTGCAGTCCTTCCTCCCCAGCGGCAGTGTGTATCCCAGGGAGCTGAAGGTGCAGTCCTTCCTCCCCAGCGGCAGTGTGTATCCCAGGGAGCTGAAGGTGCAGTCCTTCCTCCCCAGCGGCAGTGTGTACCCCAGGGAGCTGAAGGTGCCGTCCTTCCTCCCCAGCGGCAGAGTGTCCTGCAGGGAGCAGAGACCGTCAGTCTCGCACCCCAACCACAGGACAAAAAAATGAAAGGGGAGACAGCTGGTCCCCCTCTCCACCAGCAGAGAGAGTGTCAGGGAGAGGAGCCTGATACCCCTTCTCCCCAGCGGCAGTTTACAGTTCAGAGAGAGGGGCTTGTTACACCCTCTCTCCAGCGGCAGCCTAACCCAGCAAGGGGAGATGTTACACCCCCCAACAGTGCAGATGGGACTGTAGTCTCTGCACTTACAGCACAAGGGGTAGGGACAGTCGGTCCTGTTCCCCAGCCACAGAGCAGTGTATCCAGAGGGGAGACAGTCGGTCTCTCCCTCCCACAAGGCTACTTCCGTGGTAGCACTGGCATCAGGGCAGAGTACCACTCTATGTTTCCATCACTCGGGATATCTCAATCTTATACCAACAACTCCTGACAAAAGAAACCTTGAAGCCACCAAGAGTCATGTGAGAATGGGAGAGGGACACCAGCCTATCAAAAGTCTCAATGGATAAGGTAATTATCATCACTCATCAGATCTCAATCTGCTCGCACATTCAGTCAAGCTAGGGGTACAATGCTACATATTTTCTGGGCATAACCAAACGTGGCAACATACTGGAGTACAAAGGCATGTAGAGGAAATCACATGATCCACTACTCCATCCACGCCTGACGTGATGCTCCTACAGAACACCTTACTCACATTGTGACTGTACAAAAAGTAATTCAAGAAACATTATTTTACAGCAGCGAGGGGCCTGATAACGCTCCTCTTGAGACAAACCTCTGTCCACCAGCATACAACAATGAATGCCGATAATTGAGGGAATAAATACAATGAAGGAAGCAATTGCTTCTGCCAACCTGACTACCAAAAAACACATAACCATGTGGTCATTCTAGAGCCAATACGTCTCCAGAGGACCAACTTCAACACACATCACACCCATGCACTTACACCCCCACCCAGCCCCTATGACCTTCAAATATGTTTCACTCTTTTTCTTCTTCTCACTACCATCTTGGTCTTCCTATTCTTCAATCATTACCTGCATCCCATCGGCCAAGTAAGCATGAGCGGCTTACCCTATATTCCCAAGAAGGGGAGACGATACCCATGACCCCACCAGAGTGAGCACTTAATCAGAGCATATAAGCTTTACTTGTCAGAGTTAGAAATAAATCGAAATGTAATCAGTGCCCAGTCAAAAATTTACTCGATGATCCCTCGGGCTTGATACTTCTGATCCGGTTGCTATTTGAACATTATAATTGGGGAATTGAGAACTGTCCGGGACATATATGATTCATAGTCTTGTAATGCATATTTGTAAGTTAGTGAACGCTTGTGTGAGGAACCAGCCCATAAAGAGCCCCCACACATATGATATCCCCAGAGCTAATCGGCACCATGAGCATGCCGACTGCAAAAAAAATCCAGCGCTCAGAACTTTAACAAGTGCCATTTTCACTACAGCCCATAGATGAGCACCTAATCTGTAAAAAATAGCTCCTTCGCGTATAAGCTATCTGGGGATATCATATGTGTGGGGGCTCTTTGTGTTATCCATCTGTGTGTCTGATGGATAATTAAATTAAAATTAGCGGTGTATGTTGCAGTCTTCTCCCAGACACAGATGTCAGGGTGCGATTACATATACCTCTGCTGGAGACTCCATGCTGGGGGGGGTCTTTGTATATCTATGCTGATTTCAATAAAGTTTGTTCTCCTTTTCATTATGTATTGTCTAGTGTTTGTCAAATGGGGCTATAATCACTAAGGCGGCTCTTCTTCCAGCTAGAGGGAATCTTATCGGAGATATCCAGTCTAGATATTGAAGCTCCGCTACACTACATACTTCTATTACTATCCAAAGTTGCTTTATTATAAGTGTATATATCTGTTTCAAGCACAATATGTCCTGACAGACATTTTTGATGAAATAAACTTTTAAAGATAGCATATTTGGTGCTGTAAAGTCACACACAGGTGACTTTTGTAAATAAAAATAAAAAATCTCCAAAAGGAAGCGCGAGAATATTTGTATGCCTCTCATAATTGAATATATGTTTAGCTTCTACCTTTACCCCCATAGTACAGTGCTACGGAATTTGCTGGCGCTATATAAAATAATAACACGCCTAACCATTATTCTTTATCACAATAGGTGTGTTGGTTAGTGGTTCTGATCTTCTAGGTCAGGGTTTCCCAATTGGTGTTCGGCAAGAGCAAAATTGGGATTTCGCTGCGATTTGCCCATTGGGTGGCCCAAGCACTTAGGGCCACTGAATAGGTATTGCTAAACAGGGTATTCTTTGGTTTTTTTGTATGTATTGAGGCTATGTATTATTGTCATTGCTGCTGCCCAGGAGTAGTGGGAGGCTGAGCGCAGGACTTATTTTTGTGTATTGGTAATTGCTGAACAGGGGGCCAGCAACACTCCAAGCAAGCCACTCTCCTGCAGCAAAAAAGTAAGCTAACAGGAGGGTAGCTGCAACTATAAATATTATGGCCTGTGTGCCATTGGGGCCAGTGTGTCAGTGTATATCTGCCTGCAAGTATGTGGCAGTGTGTATGCAGACATCCCAGCAATCAAGCACCAACACAACAACAGCACACCCTTGCAAACACAAACATGACATACAGAGACACCACTGAATTCCAAAATTATATACAAACATTTAAACACACCCTTCATTCAAAAACCAATACTACACAAAAATGTATATTCCGCATTTAAAATCAAACATTACAAACACACGCCTATATTAAATTGCTAAATGTATTTCCAAACACAGAAGCATACCTGCTCCTAAGTACTATAATCTGTTTACTACACATACATACATACACTCCTCACTTACCGACCGGGTTCCGTTCCTACAACCTGGTCGGTAAGTGAGGAGTTAAGTGATTCCCTGCTCTGCTGCGTTCTTTTATGTTCAGGGACATATCCCTGAAAATAGACAAACGCACAAGAGCAGGGAATCCCTCTAATTCCCACAACGGCTCACACTTACCACCCCACAAGAGAGCTGGTCGTAAGTGCGAGCCGTCGTAAAACAGGTAGGTAGCAAAATAAGGACCACCTGTGGGATTCCACAATGTTGGTACACTGTGTTAAAGAGTTTCACAGGAAAAATTAATTGGGAAGTCCTGTCCTAGGTCAATATCCTTATGAAGTTGTTAGGGTGCCCAGAGTGTTCCTTTAATACTGAAACTGCAAAAGTTGTAACTATAGCAGAGTTTGAGATTTTTTTTTTCAGATCACCTATTTCTGAATAAATTGTAATTCATAGTTTTACAATTTAAAACTTAGTGAATAAACACCATATAATTTGCTAATGTCTTAGTCATAGCTAGGCTGTATCATATTCCAAATATTCATATATACAGATGTAAAGAATGGCATAAACAAAATTATTCAGATGAGTGGAATAATAAGGTTATAACGTTAAAAACTAAGGTCAGGAACACAAAGGAAAGCATTGGATTGGCTGAGCTTGTCAAGGAGGTAGATCAGGCACAGAGTCAGCACAATTCAAACACAGCCCTGGCCGATCAGCATCATCTCATAGAGTTGAAAAAAGTTCAGTGCTTCCCTGCAGAGGGTGGAAACGCTGTGCAGCACTGCCCCATGAAGCACATCTAGTAGCCATATGAGGAGTGGCCAGTGGGGGCATACCTAATCTGTAATATAAACACTGCATTTTCTCTGAAAACACAGTGTTTACTGCAAAACACCTAAAGGGAATGATTATATTTACCAGAACAAATAAAATAAGCAGTAGTTGTTCTGGTGACTAGAATACCCCTCTAAGGACAAAAGAAACATGTACACATAAAAACAATGGTAAACCACATGCTTCTCATTTACCATAATATAGCATTCCCTAGAAATTACATCTTTATCTTCTATAAAAGACAGATGTGAGCTACTGTATTTTAGCTTTGTGATATACTAGAAACACGGTTTAGGCAGATTCTGCAGTCACACTCCTACAATGTGACATGGAAAACAAAACAAAAAAAGAGGTTGCAGCCTATGTGCCCTTCAAATGAGCTCAATGTTGTGTTTGCTGGCCTTGTTTACTTTTGGTAGCATCCCAGTTCACCTAATGTGTTCTTCCAGACAAGGTCAAGTCTGGGTTATTGCTAGTTGTGTTAATATGACATTTAAAAGACGTATATGTTCTGAATATTTTTAAAAGGCATAACAGGAGTTTATTAAAACTAAAGTTAGAAAAAAAAGGGTGTTTTCCATCAAATGGCAAAAAAAGAACATTAAAATGAACACTCCAAGCAATACAAGATACACCTATTAGACAACTATAATGGAGTACTCTGAGACCTTCTTAGAGTTAGCAAACTGTTTTAGAATAATTTGACAACTTATCTGTGGTTTGTCGGGTACCCACTGCTACCTGAAGCTCTGTGCAAGCACCTTCCGTTTGCTCCACTGAGCTATGCAGGTCAGATTCTAAGATTAAAGGGTTGGCGATGTCAGACTTAGCTTCCAGTATCATGTGCCCAGCACACCCCAGATACATTGTTTAACCATTCTCAAACTGTTTGACTACTTGCACTACATACATTACAGCAGGCTGTAGTGGTTATTTTGTTGTGCTCCAGCAATTGGCAATACATACCTGGGAAAATACTTGTATCTATGCTCTTAAAGTTAACAGATATGCCAACATAAGGAACACATGCTTAATCTCTTGGGACTGTTTTAAAAATATAATACACTAAAACAAGATGAAGCTCAATGTGTGTTATTTTGGATACATGTTTTTCTATTGCAGACACCAGTCTCAAACAAAACATAAAAAAAAAAGCTTGAGGACACTTGAAGCATCTCCAGATTCAAAATATTATTTACACGATGACAAACACACACACAGGGCTGTTCACTAAATTGAGCATTGTCCTGAATTTCAAAATCAAGACGGTTTTCAGTTCCACTAACTTGAAATACACCCTAAAATCGCTATAAATCACACATCAGTCAATAAGTGATAGTTAAGCAGCAGCAAAAATGAAATAAATAGAACAATTAGCTAAGTGTGATCTAATTCCCATGTCCCAAAGTTTGCAAGGCTTTTCTCAACAAGTTGTTACTCCATACTTTAAATTTATCACAGTATTGAAACTACACAAGTTTCAATCGCCTTTCAAAGTCAATCCCAGAGAGGTAGACAGAGCATTGGCTAGATTTAAATGCGCACATACTGACATTGGCCATGATGATTGCAGATCATTGTAAACAACCCTCTGCCTGCTTCTAGTGACCACAGACAGAAGCAGCCAGAGCTGCATGTCAGACACGAGTCTAGCAGGACAGTTATTGGAAGAGATGCCATTACCGCCCAGGAAGCCCTCATATCCCAGTATACAGAGTGCAATGTGTTCATATAATCAGAATACACACACACAGTGTATGGAGCATGCCTGCAGTGTATGTGTGTGTAGATATATACATAGAGAGATATACATAGATACATAGAGATAGATACACAGAGAGAGAGAGAGATAGATACACAGAGAGAGAGAGAGATAGATACACAGAGAGAGAGAGAGATAGATACACAGAGAGAGAGAGAGATAGATACATAGAGATAGATACACAGAGAGAGAGAGAGGAGGGAAGCACAGAGTCCCCCGTGCATGGCAGGCACAGAGTGCTGTGACTAGGCAGGCTGGGGGCGGCGGGCCTGGGTACTGCCATGGTGGGATACAGGCTGGCCCGGACTCTGGTACTCACTCAGGCAGGTAGCTGGATGAGAAGGAGCTCCACTTGTACACAGTGTAAGCCAGCACTCTACACTCCGCCGCCATCTTGTCAGCAATAAGCTGGGGGGGGCGGGGCCTGGTGTCCTGCTAAAGTTGGTTCCCTGTGTGATGTGTTAGCACAGCTCTCCGATGCAGCCAGCAGGCCGTGCGAGGTGGGCGGGGCCGACTGTGTGTGAGTGTGTGTGTCTGAGGTGGGCGTGGTGACGGAGTCCTGTAAGGTCAATAAATCATCCATCCCAGTGAATAACTCTCCCAGGCAAAAAAGAGCAGGCTGTGCCTTTAATGTCTCTGAGAAGCAATAGAAAATAAGGCTGCATTTATTTTTTCTAAGCTCATGTGATTAGCAGACTGTTTGTTTGTTTATTCTTTCTTTCATCATCCCCTGCTAATAAAACAGGTCCCCTCCTCATATATTCTTATTAAATCCCCTCTGTTAACCCTTTCAGTCCCACATCAAGCAGCACCTTTTATCACCCCGCCACTGAAAGAGTTATTAAATGACTTCTGCACATGGCATCGCTGCAGGCCTCCCAACAGCCCCAGTTTAGAAGGGACAATCCCTATTGTAGGGTGCTGTCCTTCCGCCCCAGAAAGTGTCCCATCATTGGATTGCTGTGTATTGGGACTCTGCAATAAGCACTGAGAGCGCTCCCTGCACAGGGTGACCAGATTCTGAAAATAAAAAAACAGAACACCCATTAGCGATACAAAAATAGCTAAAAACAAACAAACAGAGAAACACATACATACACACTAGAAGTCTATATGGCCATAAGTGGCTGTTACAACGCAGCCTCTTCCTGATTCTCAAATGTGTGTCTTTTAATTCACATTTTGTAGGAGCATGATCAGAGCACACACATAGCCTATACTAG